TCAGAGATATCAGAGATATTTCTGTCCGACTGAAGCCACTTGAGAAATTTGAGAAACTCTCCTCAATCAGCAACTGCTCGATCTCAAAGAGTACCTCATCACACACTTCTTTTAAAGCAAAACCACCGAACAGGGTGGAAACTCCAAAGCTTAGAGTTGGCCTGGCACCACGCACAGAGTAACAGGAAATAAAGTTGTTTTCATTTTACAAAGTGACAGAACCAAACAGTATTTCAAATGCACTGAAAAATACCCAGGAAAAAAAATTTGAAGTGGCATTGTATTAATCTAACCGTGGGTGCTTTTCTACCCCCCACCACCCCAACCCTCAGGCAATCCTGTCCACATTTATCGTTTTGCTGGGCATTTATGGGAAACAACAACTGGAACTTGTACTGTGCCTTTCACAATGCTAAATGTTCTCAAAGCGCTTTACAGAGACTCAGTTGGAGTCTCTGTAAAGTACATTTCACCCCCAAAATACACAGTCAACCCACAATGCACAGTAAAGGGCTTTTAGACTATTCAGTGACGTGATAAGGCGCTATGTCAAATGCAAAGATTATGATTAGTATTATTACTATATTTTTAAATTTGCGTTTTATTTGCCTGTGTTAAAATCGCATTAAATAGATGGAAGGTGTGAGAGAGGTGTGTTTCTCTCCCAGTAGATATTCCCAGGGCTGGGTTTTCTGAGCAACTGTGAAGTTCTGGAGCTCAGGGGTTAGAGCATTTGCCTCGCAAGCGAGAGACCTGGGTTTGATTCAGGGCAGGGCGAAACGTTGGGCAAGTTTCCTTCCTCCAAACGCCTCTGTTTACCTCGCAGTAAGTAGGAACCCGGTTGTTAGCAAATTGACGGATCGTTTTTCCGGAGTTAATGATTCTTTCCAAAAAAAAATAATAATTTGGTTATTATTAATCCACGACTATTTGTGGGACGCTGCTGTGCGCAATTGGCTGCCGCGTTTCGCCCACGAAATATGCAGTCAATTCACTTGACAGTATATCCTGGGACGCGTTTCGAGACGTCTCGAAGACGTGATAAGGCACTGTATCAAATGCAAGGATTATTATTATCAACTCAAGCAGCCTGAATCCCCATATAAACCACTCGATTTCAATTTCTAGCCAAAACCTCAGTGAAACACGAGAAACGTGCAGTTTAAAACAGCACCCCTGATGATAGCTTTAAGCCACAGCATTATGTTTACTATCTATAAGTCAATCTTCCTCTTTCTAGATTTCTAAATGAAATGTGGTTTGGTCACAAGGCTTCTCATTCCCCAAGTATCCACCAGCATTACACAAGGTCACTAAATATACTTTCCAGGCCATAAAGAGCTCTCGCATGCTTACAAGTATGAGCAGCATAATATGACGGCAATTTTCAGTCAAGGAGATCATCACATTGATTCTTGAAAAGTTTTTGTTTATTTTCCAGACACCCTTGATATCCACCGAATTCTGCACGCGACACGTTTGTGAATCAAAAGTTAGTCTACGTGGGAGTTAAGGTTCTGTCCCAGCAAACGGAGGTGGGAACAAAGATAATAATAATAACGATAGTAATAATAATAATAAAATAATCCTTGCGTTTGATGAGGCGCTTTATCACTTCAGAGAGACAACGTCAACAACAGCTTGCATTTATAGGGCACCCCTCGCTCGGGGTAGTGTCCTGGAACGCCTGCCATCTCAAAACTCTTCACAGGGTATACCGTAAAGTGGATTTACTGTATTCTGTGGGCAAAACACAGCAGCCCGTTGCGCACAGCAGTGTCCCACAAACAGCCGTGGAGCGAGTGACCAATTTTTATTCTGGGTTATTGCCAGGACACCGAGAGAGAGAAACTCCTTTCTCTTCTCGGACGGTGGCCACGGGATATTTAACATCCACCTGAACAGGCATTCGGGACCTCGGTTTAACGTCTCGATAATCCCTGCATTTGATATTGCTCCTGTGAGATTATCTTGACGCACTTCACACATGTTGGGTAAAGTGTAGCCACTGTAGGGAGCAGCAAATCTACGCACACCACCAACAACGACAACAAATTACATTTGTATAGCGCCTTTCATGTCGGGGGGACGCACCAAGGTACAATTCACCCCCATGCATACAGGTGTGAAGTTTGTGGGGGGGGGTGGCGGGAAATGGTAGAAATGATTCCAGTCCTGATTAGTGGGAAATAGTCAGGGCTCAGTTTTGCTTTGGTTTCTGTGGTCAGGAGGGAAGTTTGGGCTTTTGTTGCTCACACTTCTTAGTTTTCATTCAATCCGGGAAAAAACTCACACAATTTTACTTTTTTTATTAAACGTTTAACCACCTGATAACTTCCCGATTAATGCTGAACGTTCTCTGTTCAAATTTCTTGAGCGTTTTGAAAGGAGAACGACGTCGACAATTTTCCTTTATATAGTCTTTCAGGTTAACAGGACGTCTCCAAAGTGCTTCACATCACTGACTGAGCACCTGAACTCGGAGGGGAGGTAACTTAGGAGTGTGATGGGAGCTGGAAATAATAATAGTACTAATATTAATGATACTAATAAAATGGGTTTGATTCCCAGCAGGACAAAACCTTGGGCAAGTTTCCTTGCCTGATAGATGCCTGATAATAATCCTTCAAAAAAAGCAAAAGCAATAATAAAATTGGTCACTTCAATCGACGAATGTTTGTTGGACAGTGCTGTGTACAATTCGCTGCCATGTTTCGCCTACAAATATACAGTTAATCACTTTCCAGTCAATGCTGTGAAGCGCTTTGAGATGTCTAGAAGACATGAAAAAGTGCTATATCAAATTATTATTAATAATAATCCTTGCATTTGATATAGCGCCTTATCACATCTTTGAGACGTCTCAAAGCGCTTCACAGAATGTAAACTGAATTGACTGTGTATTTTGTGGATTGAGCGACCAATTTATCATTTTTTAAAATTTTGTTATTTTGAAGGAATTATTACCATTGCAGTATTGTTACCAAGGGATTATCCGCCAATCGACTAAGAACCGGGTTTCTACGTACTGCTAGGTAAACGCAGACATATGGAGTAATGATGACCAAAAGCACGTTCGAAGAAATAGGTCTCAAAACAGGGGTGAATTAGCAATGATTATAATGATGGCAACATGCTGCAGTATGCTCTTCAATCTGCTCTTCCTCTCCCCGTTAGCTTGTCCGCTATCTCTTGGGTTCCTCCTTACTTCCTTGTTGTCTCTTCCTTTCACCTTATTACCTCTATTGTCGCCTGCTGTTCCTATCCTGTTCTGTAAACCTCCTGCGGTCCATGGAAAGTCAATCAAAAGCTAACCGTTGCCTGAGGCCACTTTGGCAACTAAGAACAGAAGAACCTGCGCTAAAGTACGAGCTGTTGGCGTAGGGAACGTGGGGTCTAGAAGAGCCAGCCGACTGCCCTCCCCTCACAGCATCAAGCTGCTTTATGTATCATCAAACAGGAAATAGTCTGGTATGGAAACGGTTACCCCACTCAGTCAGAGAACACTGCAGAATGCGACTTGTTTGCAACTTGTAGTGTGAAGCCGTGAAGGTAAGAAGCGGAAGGGAGAGGGGGTGTGAACCAAAAGCAGAGCATCTCATGCGTGATCTCACTCCACGTGGGAGAGACTTAAGGTCACTAGTGGACACTTGTTAGCCAAACCCCCCCCGCACCACCCCTCCCAACACTTCAACTAATTTCACAATCATTCTGTATGTATGCGTCACACCTTCTGTTTTTTTCCAAGTCACACTCAGATGTAATTATAGCACAGGCGGTTTGTGCAAGTCCAAAGTTTGGCTTGTGAGGGAGTCTCCACGACCCACACACTCATGTTTGGGTGGATCACTTACTAAATGAGTAGGTCACAAAAAGAATCAGAGGCTAAGACCAAAGAAAGACTTGTATATGTAAAAAAACAAACTGAGACCACAACAGAAAACTCCAGAGACCTGGGTTCGATTCCCAGCAGGGCGAAATGTTGGGCAAGTTTCCTTGCCCAATGCGCCTCTGTTTACCTAAGGATTCTTAGTCGATTGGCGGATCGCTTCTCTGGGGGGGCTAATAATTCCTTCAAAAACGATAAAAATTGGTCGCTTCAATCCACCGCTGTTTGAGGGACGCCGCTGTGCGCAATTGGCTGCCCCTTTTCACCCACAAAATATACAGTCAATTCACTTTACAGTATATTCTGTGAAGCGCTTTGAGGCGTCTCGAAGACGTGATAAGGCGCTATATCGAATGCAAGGATTATTATTATCAAAAGAAAGATTAAGATACACTGAAGCTAAAAGCACAGCGTGAAGGCAACAGCATTAAAATAAAATAAAGGCGGTGAAATTTGTTGAGCTCCTTAAAGCATTAGGTCAAGGGCTGTTTTAAGGAATATCACAAATGTTATCCCAAAGGTAGGTAACATAGAAGGAAGCCTGTGCCAGCTCTTTGAAAGAGTGACCAACTAATCTCACTCTTACCCCATGGCCCTACAAATTTTTCCTTTTCAAGTACCTATCCAATTCCTTTTTGAAAGCAACTATCAAATCTGCTTCCACCGCCCTTTCAGGCAGCGTATTCTAGACCGTAATAACTCGCTGGGTAAAAAAACTGTCTCCTTGTCTCCCCTCTGGTTCTTTTGCCGATTATCTTAAAATCTATGTCCTCTGGTTACCGACCCGCCCTCCAACCCAAAACCCCTCCCAGCATGAAAGGCGCCATACCATAGTTATTTTGCGTCCTATTATTTTTTAAAATCCTTTTCTCATGCATTGACTGCCATACGACTCTGGCATGTTGTCAGTAAAATACTGTATTGTCGCGTAGTTCGATCTGTGTGCTCTACTGCATTAGTTACCCAGAGCCGTGTCTGAATTTACGCCTAGATCGAATGGTTGACGGAAATTCAATCACCATTTATGGCTGGGTGACATCACGGTAACCCAGGCTCAGCCTTTGGTTTCACAAATACAAATACAGAAGTAGTGGAGTAGACCAGCCAGTGATACTCTGAGCATCTTCTGAAAGGATACCATGGCTCTGAGCTCAGTTCTGTGCTTGTTTTTTGTCCTCTCGGTGCTGCCAGGTAAGTCAATAGGGTTTTTAACTTTTATTTCTGTAAAACGTTAAGCTTGTTGAAATGTTTTGCTTTGAAAAAAGAAGCTTTTGCTGGAAAACCACAGCACATTTTGAAGCTGGGGCTGACATCCTGTTTTATGAACTTATTCAGTGTTTTTTTCAAACACACAGACAGATGCACGCAGTAATTGCAACGAGCGTTTAACTTCAAAGGCAATTGAAGGTTTCCGAGCGGGGAGATTTTCTCTATGAAAATGTTCTGTAAATTACGCTGATATTTTTTCTTTATCTTAGTTATTCAGATTGTCAGTCCGATTAAGAATGTGGTTAATTATCATGAGATTGACTAGACGTCGCTACCTGTGCTTAAAAGAGTTTAGAAGAATTTCCTTGATGAAATACCAGATAAAAAACAAATTGCTATGTTCACACGGTGTCTACTCGATTCTAAGGCCTGGGTCTTTTTCATTAAAAACTGCATTAAAATTAGGCGTTGCCATAGAATTCAATGTTGCCCTAAATCTGTAGGTGTGTTTTGTTTTTGGTCGATTATGGTCGATCAGTGAGGTAAATATGAAGTACATTTGGATTGCGATGTCGACGAGAAGTAATTGAGTTGTATAACCTCATCTGGTTTAGCGAGGTGTTTATTTTTTTTCACAGGTATTTTACAGACAGAAATTGAGAAAGAGAGTGAGAGAAAAAGAGACAGAGAAAGGGTCAGAGTAAGGAAAAGTGGGAGAGAGACAGATAGATAGACAGAGCGAGAAAGAAAGAGAGCCAGAGAGATAGCCAGAGAGACAGGCAGAGAATGAAAGAGACAGAGAGTGTGTGAGACAGATACAACCAAACTAATCAAATCAGAGAGAGAAACAGCGAGAGACAGCGAGAGCTAGAAAAATGTCGGAGAGAGACATTTGTTTTTCACATGACTGTAAGATATATAATAAGTGTTTCTTTCTATGAATACAAAAGTTGTGTCTAACAATTGTATTAAGATCCCAGCGCCTTGGGACGTCCTCCCGACGTGAAAGGCTATACAAATGTAATCTTGTTGTTGTTGTAAGGTTCAGTTTTTTTCCTCCATATATTCTATAGTCTGCCTGTTGAGGGGATATCTTAGATTCAGGTCAATAATAATAATAATCCTTCCATTTGATATCGCACCTTATCATGTCGAGAATTGACATCCATCTCGCTACATAATATATCATCCTTCAGATGAGATATTAAACTGAGGTCCCGTCTCTTCAGGTGGACATTAAAGATCCCATGACACTGCTCAAAAAGAGAAGTTGTTGTGCTGACCAACACTCCCTCAAATAAAATTGGTTATTCACAAGTACTTATGGCTGTTTGTGGGGACAATTACCGTGTACAAATTGGTTACGACATTCATCCACAAAACATGTACCAATCAATACACTTTTATGGTGTACCCCATGAAGCGCTTTTGGACATCCTCCTGATGTGAAAAGCACTATAGAAAATGTAAGGATTATTATGATTATTGTTATTGGGATTTATCTTACTTTTATCATGAAACAAGTTGTTTGTTAAATCTTGATAATAGGATTTCCATTCTTAAGATGTCCCTGATTATATTGGAATTGTTATTGATTGGCATAAGATTTACACTGTAGAATGATGAACACATCTCCAAACTAGTTATAAATGTTTGAAGTCTTATTAAGGTTTTAAGATTATAATTTTATCAGGTGGGTTGCCAAGTTCTTTCTAATGGTCCATATGGATGATTAGAAACAATTTGGTTTGCTTTTGTTTCCAGGGAGTAAGGGTATCTAACTGCAATTCTTTCAATAGACTATGTGAGCTAGAGCTCACTCTTCTTACAGCTTTGGTAAGAGACATCTGAAATGGGATATTGTAACATTAAATAGATTGAGAAAGTCTGACAATCATCCATGGAGTGAGTGACCAATTTTATTTGGGGGACTGCTGACCAGGAAACCCGGACAAAGTCCCCTCTCTTTTCGAATAGTGTCCATGGGATCTTTAACATCTCCCTAAACAAGCAGACAAGGCCTTAGTTTAACATCTCATCTGAAGTATACGGCACCCCAGGACTGCACTGGAATGTCAGCTTAAACAATGTGATCCAACTTCCGACGTGGGGTTTGACCCCACAACCTTCTGAATCAGAGGCGGTAGTGCTATTACTGAGCCAGGCTGACATACAATGGGATCAAATGGGCCTTCTTCATTTGAATGCGTAGAATCACATAGACCTTTATAGCATAGAAACAAGTTGTTCGGTCTAACTAGTCCATGCTAATCTATACTGCATACAGCCTCTACCCTTCCTAATCCCTACTCATTCCCCTTTATTCCCTTCTCCCTCATCTATGCATCAATTTCCTCTGTGATACATTCATACTTTTCATTTCAACCACAGCTTCCGGCAGCGAGTTCCACAATTTCTCTTGTGATCTCATGAGCGAACCTCCCAGTATTTTCAGGGTTTAGATTTAGTTCAAGTGGAGGCGACATCATATGTTCCCCACCCTCACTCCACCCCCAATCCACTTCCCCCGTCTTTCGGTCTGAATGCCCTGCTGTAGAAAGAATGATTCATGCATTGGTCTGGCTAAGAAAATACAGAACTCTCCCGCCCCCTAACTGTGCAAACCTTAAACTGTCCAGTGCCTTGGAATGTCCTCCCGATGTGAAAGTCGCTATATAAATGGAAATACATATTGTATTGTAAGCAGAGTTGAGTGGAGTAACCAACTTCCCTGAAATTTCAGTACACTCTGTTTGGGAATACTGTTAAAAACTTAGCAGTAAAAGAAGATTTAACATTGACATTAATTGTCCAAAACTATGATCTGTGCAAGAAGCAATTAGAGACCATTTGCCCCTTTTTTATGTTGCTCTTTGCTCCACCAAGAGGCCATCCATCTAATTCTCAATTCTCTGTTCATTCCCTGAACTCTCTAAAAGTTCTTCTACACTTCTCCTTGTACGTGGAGTCCTGTAGCTCAGTGGTTAGAGCACTCGCTTTGCAAGTGAGAGACCTGAATTCAGTTCCAGGCAGAGGGCGAAACCTTGGGCAAGTTTCCTTACTCCACACAGAGCTTAATAATAAACCCTCCAAAACCAAAAAACAATAATAAAATTGGTCATTTTCGATCTACGACTGTTTGTGGGACATTGCTGTGCACAATTGGCTGCCGCGTTCGCCCACAAATATACAGTCAATTCACTTTACAGTGTGTTCTGTGAAGTGCTTTGGGACGTCCTCCCGACGTGAAAAGCGCTATATCAAATGCAAGGATTATTATTATTATTATTACTCCTCTGGTCACAATCTTGAATTCATGTCCTCTTGTCCTCAAATCCCCTCTCAGCAGAGAAATTATTTTCACGATTCATTCTCAAATGCAAGGATGATTAAAATATTATTATTTTTGTTACATTAAACAACAATAACTCGCATTTATACAGCGCTCCCAGCACAGGAGAGTGTCCCAGAGTGTTTGTTAGTGGCGGAGCCTTAGAACCGAGTCAGGGGGGGAGGCACAGTCGAAAAGGAAGGACTTCATGGGGAACCTAAAGATGGGGAAGGACTCGCCCTAACCCTAAAGGAGCACAAAAGAGGAATCAATTCCCGAGACCTTATAGTCTACGATGGCTTAGCAGCGTACTGCCAGCATACATTGGTTTTAGTGGTCAGATACCAATTTGTCTGTGTCTCAAAGAGCTATTTAGGTATTGAAAGATAACTATTTAAAAAAAAACTTCAAATTGAAATTGTTGGTGGAAAGATTCGTAGGATTTGAAGGCTTTATTTGGACAGGTGTCCAAAGGTCTCTTTTACGTCAGCTGTGGAAATGTTGGGGAGCTACCCTTCGTGAAGGGCACTAACAAATTGTTATTGAAATTGATGTTGCGGAGTTTGGTAGAAAGCAGGATGGTTTGCCTCTGTGGGGTTGAACTGAAAGGCAGCTAATAAAGCTTTAGTATTAATCAAGGTTCAAATGATTAACTTAAGTAAAGCTTCATTGTTATAAGAAAGACTGTGCAAGTTCACTGTGAAAAGTGCAGTTTTTTGTGGTTTGAATATGGATTTGGTCGGTTTTCTTCTTCTTTCAGACACTTAGCAGATGATTCATTCTGAAATGAAAGTAGCTGCCTCCTAATGTGTTTAAAATAGAAGCGTGAATAACGTGAGGTTTTAGCCTGAAATTTTTTTTGACAAACAGTTACACCGTCGCCCAATTAACTTTCCAGAGGGGCTTCATAAGTGTTGCAGCGAATCACACCTGCTTTCAGTTGTTTTCACACCAAAAAAGGCCACGGTAGTCACAATGCTTACACTTAGCGTAGGAAGTTATAATGCAGCAAAACCTTTTTTTATAAAAAAAACCTTTCAAACCTGGAACCCTTAAAAGGTATCACTGGAAAATATGCCTTTTAACAGGTAAAAAATATACAGTCAATTCACTTTACAGTAGATTCTGTGAAGCGCTTTGAGACATCTCAACGACGTGATAAGGCGCTATATCAAATGCAAGGATTATTATTCTTATCATTACCCAACTTCATAAAGCCAGACCTATTCTGATGATAAAATTTGTACAGGATTTACTGGCAAATAAGGGTGAAATGGCATATCATGAGGACTTCCTGTGAAATGATAAAATCTTTCAATGTCCTTTCTGTTTCCAGCAAATTCACAACATCTGGAGATACAGAAGATCACTGTGCTTGAGGGAGAACCAGCAATTCTCAACTGCACAATAAATGGCAGTGAGTCAGCAGTCATCGAGTGGAAAAATCCAAGAGGTTATGTTATATTCTTTACCAACATGCGAGGTAAGAGAGAGAAAATCATCGTTCATTGTCAAACCCAATTGCCTGAGGCAACCAATCCAATAGTTGAGCAAAAGAAAATTGCACAGTGAGATTAGGTGGTAAGTGGAGAAAAGTGAAGACTGTGAATTTCACCCACAAAATTCGCAGTCACTACACTTTACAGTATATTCTGTGAAGCGCTTTGAGACGTCTCGAAGACGTGATAAGGCGCTATATCAAATGCAAGGATTATTATTACTATAAAAGACACTCAGGGCACCATGGGAGGAAATAAAATCACCCAGGGCTTTTGTTCCTCATCAATAAGCAGTACATGTACCCATACACCTTACTTGCACATGTCAAATAAATAAGATTAGGGCTTGGCTGAGATGCTCTGATAGTCTGCATAGGACTGGTCTGATGACACTGTCCAGGCTTGTAGATGACGAATTGCAGTTTGATAAGAAACCGGAAGGTGACCAGTTGCAGTGGAACTGTATTCTAACAGACGTCACCGTCTTCGTCGGAGAAGAAGATCAATCAACTAAAAAGAGAATGGTTTGGAAAGTGTATCAAGTGGTTTGGATGCAATGTTGGAGGCGGCAATTTGGGTCACTGACTCAACATGTGGCCAGTGTATGTACTGTCTGCATGTACTTGTGCTTCCTGTCCAACAGCTTGTGAATCCAAATAGCAGCAATTACAGACACCAATGTGGTCTGCTACAAGCCAGTGCTACTCAAAATAATCATCTTGTTATAGCTTTTATATTCCGCTCACTGTTTTTCTCCCATTTCAGTTGCTATCGTTAAGTAATGATGTAAGCTATTTTTATTTAAACATAAGCAGCAGCAGATTACCAAGTGATGTATATCAAAACAGATCAAATGTTTTATAGTGCCCTTACTGAACCAATAGACTTTTCTTAAAAAAAACTATAATATTTCTGTAATGCCAGTCTATAATAATATAATCCGATTTGGCTTTGAGTAAAAAGATGTTCTTAGGCATCTGAGTGAAATATTACTCCAGCTTGCAGATATTATCAATGAAAGTTGTGGTTAACAGTTTTCATTCTTTCAACAGGTCTCAAAGACACAAGGTACAAGTTAGTGAACTTCTCAAACACCATGTTAATTGTCAGCCTTCTTAATACCACAGTAGAAGATGGAGGCACTTACACTTGTTTACAATACGGATACGCAATAGAAACTAAACAAGTGCTCCTAAGAGTTCTAGGTATGTAGATTCAAGAGATTAAAAATAGCTAATTATAGTCACGCTTTTATCATTCCTAGAACATGCACAGTATGCTTTGAGACACGCTCCCAATGTGAAATGACAGCGTAACAAATTTAATTATTATTATTATTTCTAAAGAAAGTGCTGCTGTGTAACATGCCGTTAAGCTTTTGCTGAAGCATTGTAAAAAGAAGGTTTTTGCCTTTACTCCCCAGCACCGCCAAATCGCCCTACGCTGTCCATGACCAAGCATGAGTTGCATGGAGAAGAGAAGAAGGTTTTCACATGTATTACCACCGGAAGCAAACCCAAGCCCCAAATCACCTGGCTGCTAAACAACGAAGTGAGGCTGCAAGGTGAGGAACATTAACCTATTAATGGTGACCCATAGATGCCAGCAAAGGTGATACAACAACAACTTGGATTTATATTGCGTCCTGCACGTAGGGTAGCATCCCGGAGTGCTTGACAGTGGCGCAGTCTGACCCTAAGCCAGGGGGAGATCAAAAAGAAAGGTCTTTAGGTGGGATTTCAAAGTGGGGAGGGAGGGTGAATGCGAGGACAGTCAACTACCTTGAGAAATACCTTATGCTGTTATGGGAAGATGTTGGACAAATTAGATAAAATAGGCCAAAGGATTTACTTACCCAAACCTCTCTTGCGATGATGTTCATTGGTTGGAAAAGTTTTTCGATGAAACTTCAATTCCTCATGAGCCTTTTTACCATAAAGCTGGCAAGAGAGGATTATGGTAAAGTGTAGTGGCTGTGTATTTTGTAGACGAAGGCGGCAGGCAATTTTGCAAGGTCCCACGATGGATTTATTTGCTCACCGGGAGCTGTCATTCTCCACTTATTACCCACGACTTTCGCAGAGCTTGAAAAGAATGAAAAAAAATGCAAAAGAAAATTACAAAAGAAGTGCTATAATTCCAGTCCAAGTACTTCCAATGTCCAGCATTAAGGTCAAATATTAGCCAAATACTTTGAATGACCTTTGTAACATCGCAACATATGAATCTGCCATTGATCTATGGTCACTGACCTATGTGTGATGAATCTTTTTATACAGTGCACACAACGTATGAACTTGAAAATAATGGACTGAAGTTTACAACAACCAGCACGCTGAAAATCATCGAACATTACAATGAATTGAGAATTGACTGTCTGGTTGAACATGAAGGCTTGACGAATACTCTTAGAGCAACTTTACAATTTGGCAGTAAATGTAAGTGTGTTACTCCTATTCGCAAGGTTCTGAGTGAACGTCACCGACTGATGTTCAAAATAGGCTGCAAATTGCACCAGTCAATAACAGGTGGAATTTCAACATACTGTATTATTCTAACAGCAAGAAACACCTCTAAATTAACCCAGGAAATGACAACAATTATTTCTAATGATAAATTATTGTTTCTAATATGTTTTTGTTGAACTTGGACTTACATATTAGCTTTAATGATTGATTGATTTTAACTAGCAATGGAAATAACTAAATATTTTGTATTAGTAGTAGACTTTACTTGTTGGAAATTGAAATTGCACTACCATTGCATAAACAATCTAATCTTTTGTTTGAAACGTATCTTATATACATGGTAGTTTAATGAGTTCAGGAACAAAAGTGTTGGAATTCACTTTCATATTTAAAACTGTTGCTTTAACATTTTTATTTTAACTTAATCACTCTATCAATAGAAATGGGTCAATAGAGATAGTACAAAGCCAGATGTTAATTATAGTCCTGGTGTGTTATATCTGCTGAACTTTTTTTTCTGTAGCAAGAAAAATCCAAATAATAGTACCCACGAATAGCAGTGAGAAGGATGAAAGCATCACCTCGGACACATCTTCTTCCACTGATTGTGAGTTGAATGTTCTTCAAATACAGTAAACAATATAGTGTTTTTGTCTCTGTACGCTGCACTCATAATGATACCAGTCCATAATAATAATAATCCTTAATAATAATAATCCTAATTATTAAATAATAATTTGGCATAGCACCTTCAGGAAATCTCAAAGCGCTTCACAGAATATACTTTAAAGTGAATTGACTGTACATTGTGTGGGCGAAAATCCCCAACCAATGCTGATCGCTGGTCAGCACTTCCTTATTCTGAGCTACAGGACCGATACAGAAAGTACGACCGTCAGCTATCATAGCTGACTTCCAGTCACAACTCATGCATGGTTCGCAGAATGAAATGTTGGCGGCCACCTGACGAGCCAGAAGTCAGCCGGGTCTCAAGACCCTCCTCTTCGACCATGCCTTCGGCAACCCTCCTACCCTCCCTGCCCTCCACTCTCCCTGATCCCAATCCACAGACTCTCCAGCGCCTTGGGACATCCTCCCGACGTGAAAAGTGCTAACACTAATGTAATTTTGTATTGGTATTTTGTATCTGGGCTTCACCACGCCTGTCACCATACAATTAGACCTTTTGGATAAGTCAATACAAGGATCCAAAGCCCTAACCGCACAGTAAAAACATCTCTTTCTAACTCTTTCTCGCTCTTTCTAACAGCGATTCCATTGTATTTTGTTTTCCAGATAATCCTCTCCGATCGACTGAATCGTACACGCACACAACAAATGGTAATTTCTTTTCAAAATTAGATTTTTTTTTAAAAGAAAATTCTCACCTTCCCCATCAAAGTGAATGATTTCACACATCTTCCTCTGTGGTAGTGTTGTGGGAGTCAAGCAAACATGAGGTTAAAGCTTCCCTTTCACAACTGCAGCCGCACTCTGCTCCATGAGACGTGTCCTTGTCCAGGAGTGTGGCAGGTGAAATGTCAAATGAGATTTTTAAACACTCCAATATTACTTATGGGTGTCAAGGATAATCTCAATTTCTCAATTTATCGTCGTTTTTTTTAAGAACACATTTTCAACAACGTTTCGCCCACAAAATGTAGTCAATTCACTTTACAGTATATTCTGCGGAGTGTCTTGCCGCGTCTCAACTACATGATAAGGCGCCGTATCAAATATACTTTATAATCAAGGATTAATCAAGGATTATTATTAACAACATTTTGCATATATGTAGCACAATGTTATGCTGATTGCTTTCTGAGGTTTCACTCCACTCGAATTGCTTATGGCGAAACCTAACCTTATGATGGAAAATGAATAGTAATTTCTCTCCTTTTTTTTATTATCAGAAATCAGACCAGAATCAATGACTGAAAACAGCACCCAAAATGCTTTCCCAACCAGCCGTGAGTGCACATTTTTCTAAGATAAAATGGTTATTTATTTATGAAGTGTCAATTGTATATTTTCCTATTCTGATTTACTGTACTGATAATGTCCTCACATCAATAGGAAATCGTATCTAGAGAGCAAGAATGACAATTCATTCTGTACTTCCTTAGATGGAAATATAACCATAAAGCCTATCATTTAGCAAATCAGTTCAAACCGGGGTAAACTTTGTAAAGACGTTGAGGCAAAGAGTTGAGTCCTGTAGCTTGGAGGTTAAAACATTCACCTTGCAAGCGAGAGGACCTAGGTTCGATTCCCGGCAGGGCGAAACGTTGGGCAAGTTTTCTTACTCCACACGCCTCTATTTACCAAGCAGTAAGTTGGAACCCGGTTGTTAGTCGATTGGCGGATCGTTTTTCCGGGGGTTAAAAAACCCTCCATTTTAAAAATAATAATTTGCTCACTCAATGCACGACTGTTTGTGGGGACGCTGCTGTGCGCAATTGGCTGCCGTGTTTCGCCCACAAAATATACGGCCAATTCACTTGACAGTACATCCTGTGAAGCGCTTTGAGACGTCTCGAAGAGGCGATAAGGCGCTTTATCAAATGCAAGGATTATTCTATTATTATTCCATCGTAACTTCCAGTTCCTTGTGTATTCACCCCATTTGAGCCACAGCTTACTATTTTTTGATGGAACGACGCTATTTATTCATTGACGGACGGGTTCCACCTGGTGGTTGAGTGCAATAACGCATCAAACTATCAGTGGTCAAAAATTGCTCTCGTTTAATAAAGTTCACAGAGTTTTATTTGACATGTAAAGTACCGCACGTTCAAAGATATCCAAAGTACACTATAGTTTCACGACAGTTGCTGTATTTTTTTTAATCACTTTAATTAATTTACAATACAATACTAAATTACATTTGTGTAGCGCCTTTATGTCGTGAGGACGTCCCAGTTTTCTCTACCCCTCTCTTTGGAACTCCATGGTCCAGTTCCTTCGTTTTGCTCCCTGCCTTCCCTCCTTCAAAGCATGTCTCAAGACCCCCCGCCCCCTCTCGACCACGCGCTCGGCCACTCTCCTTGCCCTATCCTCCCTGCCCTCCGGCCCACCCACCCCAATTCCAACCCTCTGGTCCAAATCCCTGACTGTCCATCGCCTTGGGCCATCCTCCCGACGTGAAAGGCACTACACAAACGTAATTTGCGTGTTTGTTCAGTCAAAGCACGATGCAAAGATCAGCAAGAATACAACGCAAAGAGATTCAACATGCGTTTCCTGTTGCAATCGCTTCAAAAAAAAACTTTAAATTATGTAAAAGGTGATTTGTAACAAATTTGAACTTCAATAAACATTTAAAAAATACAATGTGATGATCAAATGTAAATATGTTAATTTCTTGCTTTTATTAATTTCAGATTCTTTCTTCACATCAACAGAAGATCCCCAAATCCTTACAAACGGTAATTCACTGCTGTTGTATTATCAATACTTAAGATGTAGCATTTGAAATTTTTCTGCAAAAACTGTTGACCCCTATTTCTGCCAAGCGGTTGATTTAGAATGATATCATGTCACTTTTGATATTTTCATTGAATATCAGGAACTCAGAAAGACAATTTGTGACAACACGAGGATGTTGGTTTCAAACTATTTGCAGGATTTCTTTGTACTGACCTCGGAAGCTTAATCCAATTTTTCTTTCATCAACAGAAAGTGAGACGTCAATGAATTCAAACTCAACAACCGATGAAGAGTCACCAGTAACAGTTAGTGGTCAAAGCACCTTGCAAACTAAAGCAGATTTGCACACCTGTAAGTTAACGGTTTATAAAATGAAATATGTTTTTTTATTAAAAGATGTGTAATTGTCTTATCTTGTTAACTGCACATTATTTTTTTTGCAGCATTCTACAGCAATTCAACTGAAAGCAACAGCACAGAGCAACATGGTACATGATTATATTCTTCAATTTATATTTTATTATGGAAAAGATGTGATATTTCAAATAAAAATGGCAATGCAAAGTATAAGTACTCAGTAAATTTTGGCACAATTGCCAGAAAAACTAATAAAACAGTTTTAACTGTTCATATAACTCAAATGCCAGCAATACTCAGGATAAATTGGTCATTTATTTTTATCAGATAAATCTGATAAAAATACAGAATCATTAAACTTGACAGCGAGTACATAAAACGTGTGAGAAACTAGACATTTCCAAGTTATATGCATTGAGCTGTTTGAGGTGTACAAGATATGGCAACAAGTCACAGAATTGATATTCAAATCAATAAATGTAGCATTATAAAACCTAGTGCAGGATTTATTAAAAACACACAAAATAAATACTGAGGTATGTTCAATTCCCTTGAGATGTAATATAAGACTTGAGGATCTGTTACACGGTTCTCTATATCTAAGAGCAGAGTACTATAATCACGTTCATGATACAATGCATCATCCAATGTTGTCATTGTTTAGAAATCACTGTAACGTTCACCGAAGATTTAATAATAAAAACATATCAGGTGAAATAGATCACAATGAACCTATTCCCACAAACAAACACATTTCATAAAGTATTTCTGGAATACATAGACTTTCAGGGTTTGAGACCAGTAAAGATGCTCCTTCTGTTCTTTGTCTTAACTCTTTATCGAAGTATCTTACTGCGTAGACTATTCTTCAGACACACACATTGTGGTTTGTATTGGGGGGTGACAGCAATAGAAGCAAAACAGATTTGATGCAGATATGTAAAACATATCTTAATTTGGTTGTGCTGTTCACTTGTACTGGTAACTCTTTGGAGACAATGGGTGAATTAATTTAGTTTGTGCAAGTGACGGATTTTATGTAGCTTCCCGTTATTCAGCAGAATCCATGGGATCATTATTAATGTCCTTTCTCATGCTTTGGAAAACAAATGTACATTTCATCCCGTTCTAAGTAGAACAGCCTGGATTAAATCCCCAACTGTTTATCTGTTGCTCCCTCCCCTCATCCACTCACATAAAACACAGAATACATTTTGGATCGTCTTCCTGACTAATGCCACGTAAAAGAAAAGCAAGGCTGAATTTACAGATCTAAGATGAATTAATTCTGTTAGGTTGACAGGATGACTCTGCTTTTAATCCTTGCTTCAAGTAACTTGTCAAGGAGGATTTTGGCAGAAGTAGTGCCATATGTCTTACTTTCTGTCTGAATCTGAAAAACCAGGATATTAATGCACAATTAAATACTTGCATCAATGAACAGTAAAACTCACGTAAGTCTTATCTTTATAAATGTTAATTATTTATCATCTTTATAAATCGTATAATTTCCTGAGTCCGTGAGCCCCATTCAGTTTCCAATCAAAACCACTTAGGATAATTAATACAAGAAGTCAAAGAAGTCTAATTAATAACAACCTAACTTAGTGACAAAGTACCACATGCACACTTACCAGCTGCTTTGAATTACGCATGTGCAGATTATTAATTAAATCAGATTTTATATGATTTATACAATTTTGCCTGCAACTTGGACATTGCATAAATATATTAAATGTTATGGCCTAGACTGATAAGGCTAATGTGAGTTTTACTGTATTTAAGAGGAAACTTGATGCATACAAGAGGGAGAAGTAATGGTAGAGTGTAATAGATGAGGGAAATAGGAGAGATGGGGGCTCGTGTGGAATATTGGGCGACATATTGAACCAAATGCCCTGTTTCCATGCTGTATTGCTCTATGTAATGCTATGTTACCCTTTGTTTCTGTTATGGACAGTTTATTAACCCTGATTGTCATCTTTTACAGAAGAGAAATCTGAAAACCGCAGCAATCAAACGAACCAAATGAAGCATAGCACAGCTTTAATACTGATACTTATAGCATTCCTGATCTGTGCTTTATTCATTATTATCCAATTATTTGTGCTAAAAGTGAGGAAAGAGCACATGAAATGGAAAAAACGTAAGTCTGCATTTTAAAAATATCTTATTTTAGCTACTAAAAAAACAATTCCACCAGTTAAATAACCCAATAGTGAAAGACACATGGTGTATCAACATGCTATGTTGACTTCATGATCTCAATCAGCAAGAAATAACACTTAGTGGACAATAGTTTGTTTTTCAGAGAAAAACTCTGAAGCCAAAACAGTCAATAGGATTGTAATGCTTACAGATCCTCCAAGGCTGAACTTTAGATGAAACTAAGGTCCCGGTTGCCTTTTCAGGTGTATATTAAAATCCCACGGTAGTATTCAAACAATTCTGCAAATCACTCACTTCAACAACAAATTACATTTGTATAGCAGATTCACTGATGTTCTTAATGCTATATCAAAGCAAGTATTATTATTATGCAGTAGAGGCCTGAGAATAGGCCACTTTAATGGTTAATACTGGGGTAACTAAATTAATAGAATGTTAAGAATTGAGGACAAATTATAAATCTAAAGCACTTTTGCCGCATGATCAAATTACCAAAGAAAAACAAAGCAAATTAATATAACCAATAAATCTAAACAGTGATACTGTTGACCTTGTCTACAATTTGAAAAATGAGTTGCTCCCAGGGTCCATGGTCAACAATCCTCCATTTAAAATTGGTCATTCATCTCGACTTGGACATTTTCGACATTCGTTGCTGTTTTGACATGTTTCAATGAGATAAGGTTCTGTATCTAACACAAGAATTATTATTATTAATTCCTTGAAGATGTTTGCTTTTAACTGCGCTGTTTGCTTTTACTGTATGCTTGTTGGATACCATTGTAGGTATAGTGGTTAAAATTAGCTTTTGCTTTTACAGAGAATGATGATTCTGAACAAACCGTTGAAAGCAACAGATCAAACAAGTCAAGTAATGAAGACAATTTTCGACACGAAAGTAATAATCGAGGTAACTAGGGATGATTAACTCCTTTGAGAACAGTAGCATTTTTTAATCAAAAAGTGTAACAAGATTAACATTTTTTTCAACATATAAATTAAAGGCTTTTTTTAAGACTGCATAATGTTTTTTCAGATTATATGTATGATAAAAACTAGACACAGATTAAATCTTAAAAACACTGCAGTCAAAGGATAACAGGGATTAAACGGGTTATTGAGGCCTCTTGCTCCCAGCCTTATGAGACAGTGAATATTTATTAGTTTAATCTGTTTAATCCTTAGTACAGAATTTCTTTGCACTTTTCCTTCTTCTTCAAGCTCTTAAGAAACAAATCATAATTTATCCAAACAAAATTTTTTAAACAATCAGTTACCAATATTGAAATCCCATTAAAATCTTCACTTTTTGGGAAGGAAATCAGTATTATTAATTCAGGTATTGCAAACTCAAGTACAACCTATTTTTTCTTCTTGTACAGAACATATTTTTTTGCCTTACACAGAGCAAAATTTAGTCACGCAGTATGCAGTTCGTATAAATTCAGTGGAACATTTGGAGCAGCAACATTCCAACGGCATCCACGAAGATCACCTAAATAAAACCGAAAAAGAAAGTGATGTATAATATAAGCTATTTTGCAGTAGAGTAAAACTTATCTTTGTTTTGTACAGTTTAAAAATGTTTTAAAAATTATCTTCTACGCTCGATGACTGAATTTCAACTTCTATTTTCATACAATTGTAATTTATAAAAAATATACAGCAAGTTATTCTGCCCCTTGTATTCTATGCAGTGAATTTATTGCTTCGGGCTAAACTCTTATGTTGCTCCAGTGACTTTAACAAATTTGTCCCTCTGAACTTATAAATAAATGAAATACAATTTTAAGCTATGAATAACACATTATAAATGTAGAATTCAATTTTACTTTCAAAATTGCATTACACTTATTTCTAAACATAGCTAATAATATTAATTATAAGAAGACGGACATATTTCTAAAGCATAGATGGCTAAAGTTAAAAGTATAGCACTTAAACTCACAAAGTGGAGCACCCAAGCAATAATTGTTGGCATAATATGAATCAAATTCAGAATTTTGAAATGTTTTAATAAACAGAAATACATGCAAAAATGTTTATTGATAATAAATAGCTTGATATAAATGTTGCACTATATTTAATGCAGGTTAAAAAAAATGTTTTGGATACTACTTGCCTGCACAAGAGTGGTCATTACATCCCAAAACTCTGGAACTCTCTCTTGATCCCTCTGTCTTGCCTCTCCTCCCTCTCCACCTTCAAGTCGTGCCAAAAGAAATTCCTTTTTGATCGTGCTTATGGCTTACGGTCACCTCCCTCCTCTTTCAACCTACTGGCTCGTTGTCAAGACTATACCACTGAGAAGCGCTCCGGGAAGTTGTTGTTATTACGTTTGGGAATGCCAGTTCTGGGACTGTAACTCTTTTCCTCTAATGGCGTCACAGGAGCAAACATTTCTCGGCAACGGCTGAATGCAGCAAATACAAGAGTGAAATTTCCATTTTTCTGACTCATTTTCCTGGTGGTGGTTTCTTTACTACCGGTGAAAAGAAGTCTGGAGTGGCATCACAAGTATTATTCTGAATAGCTCTGCTACTGAAAGCTAAACGACAATTGGTTAAGCCCCTACCAACCCGCCCGTTCCCTCCACTCAGCCGAATCTGGCCTGCTCCATGTCCCCCCGAACCATTGGCGGGAGAGCCTTCAGCCACTCTGCCCCCAGCCTCTGGAATTCCATCCCCCAGTCACTCCGCCTCGCCCCCTCCTTAGCCTCCTTCAAGTCCCGCCTCAAGACCCTCCTCTTCGACCATGCCATCGGCCACTCCTTTCCCTCCCTCTTCTTCCACCCCCAACCCCAGCTCGGGTCTGAAATGCTGTACTCAGTCCAGCGCCTTGGGACGTCCTCCCGACGTGAAAGGCGCTCTACAAATGTAATCTTATTGTTGTTGCTGTTGTAAGAGATTTACATAGATTGTTCAGTACTGACACAGCCCAACTTGTCTGTGCGAGTGTTTATTTTCCACACCAGTCTTCACTCACTTTACTTCCTCCCATACTCTTCTCCCTTGGGTGTGTATTTAGGGAACACTTCATGCTCTTTCAATCAATATTTGTTAATAAAATGTTAAAGCTACACCAGCAAATCTGTACAAAGAATCAGATAACTGGCTTAACACAGTGGAATTATATAAGTGTCAAATTCAAACACAGCACGAGGTGAATCTATGAATCATGTTTTGGCACAAGTGAACGAAGGACTGTGACTTATCATAAAAGTGCATCATGAAAACAGCAGGGATTTAGCAAACTGCAAGAAACAGATTCAAGAAGGCTTGAGAAAGCAGCAGTGCTGTCTTTGACACCTTTCTGCAATCTAAGTTCATTTGGGGTGGCTTTCCAATTCCCTCTCTTGAAGTCATACTTTTTAAAAAAAATCTGTTTCTTAGTCTTTTTCCAGCTGTAAGATTCGTCAGTGTTCCTTGAATAAAATAAAACATGTATCTTCATTTTTCCTTCCTTAACCCAGATTGCTGAGAAAAATCTTACAACAATCTTGTACTGACCTAGTTGAGATGAGCTTACATCAGAGGTATTTATTATAGCATCTTTCACAACAGGAGGCAATGAGGACTTTGCACCCAATCTGCAGGTTGAGATCATGGCCAAAAAGGATCTTCTTGAGATGGAGTGCCAAGAATGGAACTTGCAGTCTTCTAATTTGTACGACTCAACTGCACGACCACTGAATAAGTTTGGTGAGCCGTTAGTGAGGTAGCCATTTTGTTGTCAATGTTTGTAAACTCACTGATCAAGATGGATAAGGGATGATGGCCAAACAAGGGTGACAGATTAATACAGTATATTTACTTTCAATGGCTGAAAAGAATGCTGATTATGTGTATTCTTCAGCACTCAGGTCCTGTTCTGCTGAAGTAAACCTTTCCAGAATTAACCTATTTTACAGATTTTGATGAATTTCTTTACCCACAGACAATTAATATCTGGAGCTCTATCCCAGAGACTTTGACCATTCCCTCCTGCTTTTTAAGGCAATCTCTTTTACCGCACTCTCAGCCCCCACCCGCTGAGATGCAATGATTCCGTGCACCAAAAAACAATCAAACGAAGCAGATCTGTCTTTAGGTCCTGCAATTTAAGCAAAACTGAAGAAAGCATTCGAGGAACTGTTAGATCAAGACCTATGGGAGGTTTTATTTTCCCATCTGATTGGATTTTCCTACAAAAAAGTGTGTAGAATATGAATTAGGCAGTTTAGTTGTACCAACTTGCATGGTTTTGCAATGTAGGTCCTGGATTTTCACCAGTTCTTGTTTTTGATACAAAACAAAGCTGAGAAAGGCTTAGCAAAATGTCAAAAACATCAAAATTCAGTAATGTAGTACCTTTATTATGAATGTATCATCAACAATAATTTGCATTGATATAGCTCTCCTCATGCTGGTTAGCGTCCCAGAGCGCTTGACAGTGGCGGAGCACTACGCTGAGCCAAAGGGAGGTGGCAGATGAGTTAAGTGAGTTGGTGTCACTTCAGTGCAAATCAGAGCTATTTTAGGCCTACCTAAGATTTAAAATTGCTTCCTGGCTGCTGACCGCTGCATTTCGCCCCAAAATATACAGTCAATGCACTTTACAGTATATTCTGTGAAACGAGACTTCTCAAAGATATAAGTCTACATGATATCAACAGCAAAGATTATTATTATTATTATCGTCTGCTCCACACTAGCTCAAGACTCTCAGTGAGTGTTCTGAAGCTTTTTATGGCACCCTCGCGATGTGAAATGATACAACACCAATACAATTTACATTTATATTTCCACTGCCTTTCACGTCAGGAGGGCGTCCGCGTGTGCATTGCCAGAGCTGGGAACGGGCACCCGAGCAGTCGGGCCGGTGGGGTTTAGAGAGGTAGTGGGTAGGGATGGGACCGTGTTGGGATTGAAGGCAGAGGGAATAGGATCTGGAACTGGATCTGCTGGGAGACGGGGACCCACTGAGCACAGCGAGGATGGGGTGATGGGCTTGCGGAGCCTCGTGCAGGAGAGGACAAGATCTGCACAGTTCCTGACAGTCTGCCCATAAATGTAAAGTGCCACTCAGCCACTGCTTCTCATCTCTCTCTCCCCCCCCCCCCCTCACACCTGTCTCTCTTTCCTTCCTCCATCTCTGTCTTTTGTCTTCTGTCTTCCTCCCTCCTTCTCTCTGTGTCCCTCTCCACCTTCTATCTCTCTCTCTCTCTCTCTCTATCCCAACCCTTCAAACTCGTTCCCTCTCTCTCGGTCCCTCCTTCCTGCTCTTCTCATCCCTCACCTGCCCCCCCCCCCTCTTTCTCTCTCTCTCTCTCCTTCTCCCCCTCTCTGTCTCTCACTTTCTCCTCCTCTCTCTCACCTTCTCCACCCTCTCACCTTCTCCCTCTCTCTCTCCTTCTCCCCCTCTCTCTTTCACCCTCTCTCACCTTCTCCCTCTCTCTCCTTCTCCCCCTCTCACCTTCTCCACCTCTCTCACCTTCTCCCCCTCTCTCTTTCACCCTCTCTCACCTTCTCCCTCTCTCACCTTCTCCCCCCCCTCTCTCTCCTTCTCCCCCTCTCTCTTTCACCCTCTCTCACCTTCTCCCTCTCTCTCCTTCTCCCCCTCTCTCCTTCTCCACCTCTCTCACCTTCTCCCCCCCTCTCTATCCTTCTCCCCCTCTCTCCCACCTTCTCCCCCCCTCTCTCTCTCTCCCCTTCTCACACACACATACACGTGTGTGGTTTATCTGTCTGTCTTGTCCGTCTTGCCTTCCTCCCCTCCCTCCCTCCCTCCTACCGGGCGGGGGGGGGTAGAAAGACCTCAGCCTGACCTTGCAACAAGAGAGAAGAGCCCACACACGCATCCGCTTTCCAGAAGCTTCCAGGACGCGAGCCGTCGCGGGTCGGCGACGTCATGACGTCGACGCGACGTCGCGACGCGTTTTGAACGGCGTCGCCCGCCCATTGGCCGCCCGCTGCCCGTGTGTGACGTCAAGCGAGGGAAGGGGGGGGGAGGAGCCACCTGCCTGCCTCCCCATTGGCTGGAGGGTGCTGGATCCTTCTGGAAGCTTCTCAGGTGACGGGAGGGGAAGGCGGGAGGACGAAGATAACGGTCGACGGGAGTCAGTCAGTCAGTCCGAGCTGCTGCCCCTGAGAGGAGGCCGGTTGACCATTACCTCAGATCGAACAATTTACCTCAGAAATACCTCGCGCGCCATACCTCAGGAGCAGGTGAGTGGCCGCCGCCCGCGTACGGTCTTGCGTTCTACGGCTGTCCGTCGCTCGAAGCCCTCCCGACGAACGGTCTTTTTTTTTTATTGATCACAGTCGATCACGACGATCGATCAATCAAATCAACGCATACATCCATAATAAATCGTCCTTGCCTTCTGATGCGCCGCCCGCCCGACCGCCCGATCAAAGTCGTCGGGGACGCCGGATGGCCAGAGCAACGGGGAAGCCGGCTCGCCCCGCCCCGCCCGGTGCAGCTCATGGCTTTGTGTGAGCTGCGATGATGATGATGATGATAATTATTATTATTAATTAATTGATAATAATCCTTGCCCGCGGATTACAGCGCCCGATCGAGTCGACCAGGCGCCTCGAAAGCGCTTCGCGGGCAACCGCTGGTCAAGTGGAGTGACTTTGTGTGTTCTTGTGGGTGACGGTTTTGGGGGCGCGGGGGCTATATTTTTTGAGCGCTGTATTTGCTCCCCCTTTCCCTTTCATGATGGCAGGATGGACATAACGGTAAGGATCCAGCTGTCTTGTCACAATACCCCGCTTCCTCCTCCTCCCCTCACCTCATCTCGATTTATATATAAAATATATATGTTGAGTGTGTGAGTGTGTATATATATGTATAAACACACACACACGTTTGTTTTACAGTTAAATTGTGCGTTTGGGAATAATTTCATTCATTCTTAAATGGTCGTCGGGGAGGAGGGGGAGGGGCGGGATTTTGGGGGCGTCTGAGAGGGGAGGGTCGGGGAGTGGGTGGGTGTGGGTGGGGGGGGGGGGGGTGGGAAGAGAAGGATGAAAAGAAAGGGGTGTCATTTGATGCTAAATGGGCTCAGATTCCATTTTAAAATGGGCAAGCTCCCTCGGGCAAGGTTAAATCCGGTCCGGGATCTTTAAACCGAAAGGAAAATCGGAAAGGAACTCGAGACGTCCATCTCGGGGGGGCGGGGAGGGGGGGGCAAAGGGTTTCCACTGCCGGTGAACATAATCCCTCCCGAGAAAAATAATACACAGTCAGTTCACTTCACGGTTTGTTCTGCGAAGCGCTTTGAGGTGTCTCGAAGGGGTGATGATCGAATATCAAATGTAAGCTGCTATTGTTATTAGAATTTTGTTCAGGTAACGCCGAATGAATCACCATGACATTAGGAGAGTGTTTTTTTCCCAAAAGAAGCCTATTGTGCCCACAAAATGTACAGTCAATTCACGTGATAAAGTATTATATGATATGTAAGGATTATTATATCTCTCCCCTCCCCCACCGGCTTAGTCTTGTGTGTTTTTAAACAAATATTTTAGTTAGAGCCAATCCCTCCATCCATGCTTTTTTGTGTTAACTGTAATAATTTTGAATGTTTATGAGTGTGCTTCAAATTTTGCTTTACGTGCGTTAGTGGCCTTTGACTTAATACATCTCTTTTTAAAATACTGTACAGTGATTAAGACTTGATTGGTGGATTTATCTATGGAAGCTGCTATAATGATCTCAACTCCATTTTCCATGAATGGGGATGCTGCATCAGTAATTGTTATCTAATCCTGTGCCAGTGAAAAGACTGCTTGGTTGAAGCACTACTTACTAACTCGTTTGCGCAACCTAGGTGTCAGGTTCGACCCACAACTGTCCTTTCCCACATCTGGTCCCTGACCAGTACTGCCTTCCTCCACCTCCGCCACATTGCCCACCTTCGACCGTACCTTACTCCAGCCGCAGCCGAAACACCTGTCCATGCGTTCGTCACCTCCTGCCTCGACTTTTCAAATCCCCCCTTTGCCGGACTTCCCAGTTGCACGATGCACAAGATCCAACTAATCCAAAACGCCACAACCTGCACTAAGCTCCGTACCCCCATCACTCCAGTTCTTACCAGGCTCCACTGGTTCTGTATTGCCGAATGGATTGATTTAAAGATCGTCACGCTTGTTTTCAAATGCCTTCATGCCACGGCACCTCCTTATTTTCCAATCTGATTAACCCCCCCACCGCCCCAACCCACTATGCGCTGTCTCTGCTTGAGTGGCTCCATCCAGCCTCCTGCATGTCTGTCGTACCCTCGTGTTCTACCATGGGGGCAGCGCTTTTAACTACTACAACTCTGGAGCACTCTTCCTCTATCCCTCCGGCTTGCCTCTTCCTTCCCCATCTTCAGGTCATGCCTGAAGATCTTCTTTACCAGCACTTGAGTCCATTTTGTGCTCCGCCACTGTCGAGCGTTCTGGGCTGCTACCCTGCATGAGGGAAGTTGTATTAATGCAAGTTGTATTGAATTCAAATCTTGTGCATAGTCTGAACACAGAAGTTTCTCAGGTCTTTTGCAGGAAGTAACCTTGTTTCACTTAATGCTGGAGTCCAGAAGAGATATCTTAATCATTGTAGACATTGATTCCTCTATTTAGTTTGGTTTTATGGGAGAATAATAAAGATTCTTACATTTAGTATTGCACCTTTCTTATCGGGAGGATATCCCAAAGTGCTTCATGTGAAATGCTGTAATGTGGAGTGGCTGAGTGTGTGTTTTTTGTGGGAGAATGTGGCAACTAATTTTTGCACAGGAATGTTTCCAAAGTGGTTATGAAATGAATAACCAATTTAATTTGGGGGATTGTTAGTCAGGACAGCGGGAAACACTTCTCTTTTCAAATATTGCAATGGGATCTTTAACATCCACCTTGGTTTAACATCACATCCGAAGGATGGGTTAAGCCAAGGGGTCCCACAGGTGGCACATAATTGATATTGTGTTTCTCTTTTTGATAAGTGTTTACAATTGTGCCTGACTTCTGTTGTAGGCGTGAAATAAGATTCAAGTTTAAAATAGAAAATCTCCTTTATTTTCTATCATCAAATTATACACTCTGCAAATCTCAATTAAACTGTAATTGATTGTATTGAAATTGATTGTTTGCTTACTAGAAGTCACAAATTACTGGCATTGGTGAATATGTTTTGAGTACCAAATCTACCTTTCAGCATTTTTTTAGGCAAAATGTCCAAGGGACCATCAATAGGCATTGATCTTGGAACCACTTACTCCTGTGTCGGAGTCTTCCAACATGGCAAAGTTGAAATTATTGCCAACGACCAAGGTAACCGCACCACTCCAAGCTATGTTGCCTTTACTGATACAGAAAGGCTCATCGGTGATGCCGCCAAGAACCAGGTGGCGATGAATCCAACCAACACAGTCTTTGGTGAGTTACACAGATTTATTTACTGTATGGTAACATGTTTTCATTTTTATAAACTGTCATTCCAGATTTATTACTGTTAGCACTTAATCAGACTAAACCAAAATACTTATTAATATGGAAAAGCTTTCATATTACATGGATTCCATTTTAGTAATTACAATTCTCCTCATAGCTTAGTGAGTCAAGGCACTGTAGCAATAAGTAATGCAACTTATGAGTTGCAGGCTCAAATCCCAGGGCAGCAATTGAAACACAATTGGCCTTTGTGTCTCCGGTGCCCTGAGACATCTTTCCACTGTGAAGAGCTCAATGCAAGTGTAAATTGTTGTTGTTAGGTAAGACAGTATCAACGAGGATTCCAAATCCTGGTTTATTCAGAAACCTTGACTGGAAAACGTATATGACCACCAGGCAATATCGGGTTGGTTCTCATGTTCCCTGCAATTGCCTTTCAAGTTTACACATGGTTAATTATCATTACTCTTGGACAAAGTCACTTAAAACGAACCAGCAGAGACCTGATGGGCGGAATGTACTTTAATTTCTAGGATTCAGGCAGAACATTATAGTATACAACAACAAAATTACATTTATAGAGCGCCTTTCATGTCACGGGGACGTCCCAAAGCGCTGAACAGTCAGGTGTCGGGGCCCGAGCATGGGGGAGGGGTGGTGTAGGGGGTGAGGGAAGGCAGAGAGGTGGGAGGGCGACAATCGAAGAGAAGGATCTTGAGACCAGCCTTGAAGGAGGCAAGCGAGGAAGCGAGGCGAAGGGACCATGAGATGGAGATCCAGAGTGTGGAGGCAGAGACTGAAAGCCCGGCCACCGATGGTAGGGCGGGTCGGATGGGAGATATGGAGCAGACCGGAGCCCGCTGAACGGAGGGAGAAGGCAGGTTGGTAGGGAGTCAGCAGGTCAGAGAGGCAGGAGGGGGCAAAGCCGTGGATGGCCTTGGAAATGAGGACGAGGATCTTGGAACTCGATCTCTTGGGGATGGGGAGCTAGTGGAGACTGGCGTTACTTGCATGCACATAATTTGCTGTGGAACTACAGTTGAAGAAGAAAAAGGGAAATATTTTATATTTTGGTTTGTAAATGGTCTCTTTATTTTCAAAAAACAGATGCAAAGCGTCTGATTGGCCGCAGATTTGAAGATACTGTAGTCCAGGCTGATATGAAGCACTGGCCTTTTGATGTTGTAAGTGATGGTGGTCGTCCCAAAGTTCAAGTGGAATATAAAGGAGAGCATAAGACTTTTTATCCCGAGGAAATTTCTTCAATGGTGCTAACAAAAATGAAGGAGATTGCAGAAGCCTACCTTGGAAAGGTATGTGTGTTTGACCCATGGTAGTTATTTAGCTTAAATTGAGTTTATTTTTGTTTGACTTCTACCTTTGCAATAAGGAAGAAATTCGTATCACGTTTTAAAAATAAATCCTGACTCTAATATTCAATAAAAGGGTCACTCAAATACAATGTTAAGGAAGGGGCTTACCTTAAGGATAAAGACTAATTGGGGTTTCTGACTGATTGCCTTCAAAAATGGAATCTAACTCATCATTCCATTGATTTGTTTTTTAAGTTCATTAACTTCATACAATTTTTTTTTCGTAGCACAGAGTTTTAAAAATGATCTTGTTAATGTGGTGATTAACTGAATAATTACATTGGATTCCTGTTGCTAAGACATATTTTTGCATCTTACAGATAGTTACAAACGCTGTTGTTACCGTACCTGCTTACTTCAATGATTCTCAGCGTCAAGCAACTAAAGATGCCGGAACAATTTCTGGCCTCAATGTACTCCGTATTATAAATGAACCAACAGCTGCAGCTATTGCTTACGGGTTAGATAAAAAGGTACAGTATTTTGAAACAGAGAATAGTTTGCCTATTCCTTTAAAATCAGTTGAATCATTTTATGTGGATGTATCAAGGATCAAACAGAATGTATGTTCAAACTTTGCAGGTGGGTGCTGAAAGAAATGTACTTATTTTTGACCTGGGTGGTGGTACCTTTGACGTTTCCATCTTGACCATTGAAGATGGAATCTTTGAAGTGAAGTCAACAGCTGGTGACACTCATCTTGGTGGTGAAGACTTTGACAGCCGAATGGTCAACCACTTCATTGCTGAATTCAAACGCAAATATAAGAAAGATGTTAGCGATAATAAGAGAGCTGTCCGCCGTCTCCGCACCGCTTGCGAACGTGCAAAGCGTACCCTGTCATCGAGTACGCAAGCAAGTATTGAGATCGATTCCCTATATGAGGGAGTTGATTTCTACACCTCAATCACCAGGGCACGTTTTGAAGAGCTCAATGCTGACCTGTTCCGTGGCACACTAGATCCTGTAGAGAAATCCTTGCGTGATGCCAAACTTGACAAGGCTCAGATCCACGACATTGTGCTCGTTGGTGGTTCCACTCGTATTCCCAAAATCCAGAAATTACTGCAGGACTTCTTCAATGGCAAAGAATTGAATAAGAGCATCAATCCTGATGAGGCTGTTGCATATGGTGCAGGTACGGAAACATTTTGCTTCTGTAATATTCTTACGGGGTGCAGGCTTTCCCTTAATACATATAATTATAATTATATCATAAACTGTACCACAGTGTGAAGGACTGCCACTACATTCTCCCTTATGCACTAGGTCGACCTAGATGTGCACTAGGTCGATCAGGAGTGCTCTTTTGGGAACTACATGTCTAAAAGTTCCTTTTCTGCTATCTGATTAAACTGTCTTATCTGCCACCTAGATGAGGTGGAAGAAGAGGGAAGACTGGGAGTGTAGCTCATCTGAATTGTAGTCATGAAACTAGGTCGTCCTTGGGACATCCTCCCGACGTGAAAGGCGCTGTACAAATGTAATGTTGTTGTTGTAGGTCCATTTAAAATTGTTTTCTTTTAATTAAGAATGGTCATCTTATTGAAACTGCAACATTTTCTTTAGCTGTGCAGGCTGCTATCTTGGCTGGTGACAAATCAGAGAACGTCCAAGATCTGCTGCTGCTGGATGTCACCCCTCTCTCCCTGGGTATCGAGACAGCTGGTGGTGTTATGACTGTACTCATCAAGCGGAACACTACCATTCCAACCAAACAAACTCAGACTTTCACCACATACTCTGACAACCAGCCTGGTGTGCTCATCCAGGTAAGAATTAAATATTTCACAAGTATCCTTACTGCTGATGAAATCTGAAAATGTAATCTTAACATGGGTCATCATTAATATAAATTTGAATATGGATGAATTTATAAAGTGTGGAGGAAATTTGAATTATTTAAATTGGAGATTTTCTTAGTTAGCATCTTATATTTGAGAGTGGGAAGGAATGTCAGTGGGTCTAACTGTCTTATTAACTTAGGTTTATGAAGGTGAAAGGGCCATGACTAAGGATAACAACTTGCTGGGCAAGTTTGAGCTGACTGGAATTCCACCTGCTCCACGAGGCGTACCTCAGATTGAGGTGACATTTGATATTGATGCCAATGGTATCTTGAATGTATCTGCCGTGGACAAGAGCACTGGGAAGGAGAACAAGATCACCATCACAAATGACAAAGGTAATTCTAAAAGTGTAGCTTTCAGAAATAAAGTAAATTAAGTCAGGGAACTTGGTATTTTGTACCAAATCCTTAGTAACTAAAGTTGGGAGGACAAAACTAGTATCCAGTTTATATTAACGAATTAAAATATGCACTACACTAAATACATTTTAAATATTTATTGTCCCCAGCATACAATTTGACAACATCCCCAAAGCCTTAAATTAAGTCAGAGGGTTTGAGCCGGGTTGACAAGTTGATCAACTTCTTATTAGAAATCCCTACAAGGTATAGCTGCCCTTGCCTGATCAAACACCTGGCGTTTTATACATTTGTTCATGTAATATGACACTCCTAAAAAGCACGGGAATAACAGTGCAAACGAGGATGCATTCAGACAATAGCAATAACCTTCCAAATTGAAATTGACTTGAGATACTGCAAACAATTGAAACACAAGACTGTTCCTATCGCCTGCGGGGTTGAGATAGCTGAAACAATGAGGCAAACAGGAAAGCAGCTTCCTAAAAATGTGAGACATTCCTGTCACCTGCTGGGGTGGAAATCAATTTGGAGGCTCCATTCGGACGAGTTTGCAGATCCCTTGGCCATGATATCATTACCACCAACACAGCAATGTCCCAGTTAGCTAACTTTGCAATAGAAACCTGTCAGTGTTGAGGAAATTAAAGAAATGTATCAATCTGCACATTAATAGTCGAGGCTTTGCTTAGTACCTGTTTTTGATGAATAATGAAGTAACACCAAAGTTAAATATAATGTGCATATTTATCTTGTGGCTTAATCAAATAGGTCGTTTGAGCAAAGAAGACATTGAGCGTATGGTTCAGGAAGCTGAGAAATACAAAGCAGAGGATGAGCAGCAACGAGATAAGGTGTCATCAAAGAACTCTCTGGAATCGTACACCTTCAATATGAAAGCTACCATTGAGGATGAAAAGTTAAAGGGAAAAATTGGTGATGATGATAAGCAGAAAATTCTGGAAAAATGTAATGAAGTTATCAACTGGCTAGACAAGAACCAGGTATGCTGAATGTTTAAAATTAGCCATGGCAAAAAAACCCTCCAGTAAATTTCTGAGGGTCATATAGAGAACACAGGATACATTTTTCAGAGAAGGCTATGGAGTGGAAACTGAGGGCGCTGAAGCCATTTGTAAAACTCCTGTTGCAACCCAACTAGAAGTAACCCATTTGGAAATCAGCTAACTTTGCTAATATGAATCCTTGTTTTGAATATAACATCTAATCATGTCATTGAGAAATCTCAAAAGCGTTTCACAGTATATACTCTAAAGTGGATTGACTACTTTGTGGGCAAAACTACATACCAATGGCGTTGCCCTATCAATCAACACCTTCCAGGATCTCACCTGCTGTATAGTTTCACGCTTGACGGATCCTGAAATGTTTCACATTCATTTAGGGACAAAGTAAAATGTTGCATTCCCTATTCAATTATTTTGCTTTTTTTTTAACTGGGTTCTAGACATAGCTGATTTGACATATCTTTAATTCTTTTTAAGACTGCAGAAAAGGATGAATATGAACATCAACTGAAAGAAATTGAGAAGATCTGCAATCCGATCATTACCAAATTGTATCAGAGTACTGGCGGGATGCCTGGTGGTATGCCAGAAGGCTTTCCTGGTGCTGGCTCTGTTCCTGGAGGAGGTTCCACTGGACCAACCATTGAAGAAGTTGACTAAAGATGTGGGATGTTTTGTATGTTTACATCAGTATTAGATAACTGGATGTTTACCTGTGTACTGCAATTTAGGAATGAGAAATGTACTCTTACACTGGAATTAAATGTGGAAGTGAATGACTAAGATTGAACAACACTTTCTTGTTAAATAAATTTATTCCAGTTGAAATCTCTTCTTTTCTGGAATGCATTAATGCCCCATCCCTAAATATTCTATTCTGAAAGCTGTGAGAGTTCTGGTTGAGCAGAATTAGTTCCAAACTACAGCCTCCAATATCTCTGAAAAGTGGCCGTTGTTCATACAAGAGTTTCAATAAATATTGGCAACTATGTTTTTGTGCAATGATTTCTCAATCTAGCCACGTCCATGTGCGGTCAATCTTTTGTGACGCGCAATATCCATTGCAATATTCAACAAAGATTCACTGATCTTATGTATTGCATTATATGAATTGATCATTTCGCCCACAAATATACAGTCAATACACTTTGTCTACTCTGTGAAGCGCTTTGAGACGTCTAGAAGACGTGAAAAGCACTATATCAAATTCAAGGATTATTATTATGTTCTGTGGGTTTTGAGCGGAGCGATCTCTGTCTACGTTTGAATTGTATCTACTTGGTAAAGTATGGAATCCTGTCGCTTAGAGCACTCACCTCGGAAGTGAGCGGATCTGGGTTTTTAATATTTTCTTTACATATTGGTGATTGTTCCTCTTGCGTATCCTTTAGACTGTTCCCAGACTTCTGTTCTTGGAGAACTTACAAGAGGCACTGATCCATGGAATCGGTTAGCTTGGTTCCAGTTAACTACCTTGCTTTCCGCAATAATTCTGCATCCTGGTTTTGAAATGGAATGCCGTGACGCCGTCTCAGTAACGGGTGACAAGTGTCGGCCCTCATCGCTCGACCTTCTCCCGAGTCCAAAACTTAACTGCAGAGGGTTTCGCGTCCCTGATTTAACTGGTGGAACATTTTGCAATGGGAAGCATTGATCTGAGCTGTGCAGCCCAGCTGTAAGCTGGACAATGGTGGGAAAAAAATGGTCGTGTACTGTACTACATGTTCTCTTGCTATGAAACTTGACCCATAATACAAATTGGTAGTCTCTGGTTGCATCGTACTCCTGATAAAATAGGACCGTTTACTAACCCAGCTGAAATCACCCTTTTCTTACTGCAAAGGTATAGGAAGTCTCCCATTGAGGGCAAACTCTGGAAACCCCAAGATAGAATCTAACTGAATGCCCAGGGGAAGGGGACGTTAAACTACTGCGTTCACAAGGAAACAAAAGCTTGTATAGCTTTATTGGGTTACCTGCCCACAAATTCCCTAAGCTTAGAATTTGGAGTGGGTGGTGGGTGGGGGGGGGGGGGGTCACAAGCACGATTGTATTAGGTGATGTTCTGAGAGTACAGCTTTGCAGCCACCAAAGCAAAGCGCTTCACGGATTATACTATAAAGTGGTTGACCGTAGTTTGTGGGCAAAACCCAGCAACCGATTGCGCACAGTCGTGGATTGAGCGACCGATTTTATTTGGGGGCTTGTTGGCCAGTGCACTGCGAGAAACCTTTTGGTCACCTTTCTCCTCCCTACCCATTTCAACTCCCACCTCCAGCTCAGATGCCCAGGTGGCCTTATCAATCACTTAGAGCTATCCTGGCATGAAAGGCACAAAATCAATGTAAACTGTACACTTGCCCTATGTCATTCCATTCTTTACCAAAGTGGCTTCCCATGGAAGCGACCACTGCTCCAACTTTCTTTATTCTAATTATTTCTCAGAATGCCTCTTTCCTCTTGGCCTTTTTCCGCCCCAAGCCGAAGTTTCGACATCTTGCATCCGCCGCTGTCCTCCCTGCATGTTTGTTTACTGTGTGAAATTCAAGATTTTTTTACGTCATCTCTTGGTGTAAGTTTCCTTTAACCTTTAAAATGTGAAACTCCCCGACTTTGCTTCCTCTTGCAACCTTTCAGGCTTCAACTTTAAACAAACACTGAAAAGATTCTCACAATGGGCTTGAACAAACTCAATAAAATGCTGGCAATGCAGAGCAGGCTGATCAGGACGTTGCTTAACATTTTTGGTGTGGCTCTTATTAGTCAAACTGAGTCACATTCCAAACATTTAACTTGCTTGTCTTGCTTTTGCTGATCACTTGGAGAAGAAAGAGCCTGCACTTATCCAGCATTTTCTGTTCAATTCAGATTGCTAGGGCGTTGCAGTATTTCGTATTCATTGAGCTAAGATGCTCGACAGTCCCTTTCTTGGTGCTATTCCTTTCCACCCACCCGGGAGTCCTGTAGCTCAGTGGTTAGAGCACTCGCTTTGCAAGCGAGAGACCTGAGTTCAATTCCCGGCAGAGGGCGAAACCTTGGGCAAGTTTCCTTACTCCACACAGAGCCTAATAATAATCCCTCCAAAAAACCCCAAACAATAATAAATTGGTCATTTTCAATCTACGACTGTTTGTGGGACATTGCTGTGCGCAATTGGCTGCCGCGTTCGCCCACAAATGTACAGTCAGTTCACTTTTCCGTGTGTTCTGTGAAGCGCTTTGGGACGTCTTCCCGAAGTAAAAAGCGCTATATCAAATGCAAGGATTATTATTTATTATTATGTTCGACAGTGCAACACATTTGGTGCTATTCCTTTCCACCCACAAAATATAGTCAATTGACCCATCCTCTTCGAGACCTTCCTCTTCGACTGTGCCTTTGATCACCCTCCTTTCCCTCCCTGCCCTCCATCCTCCCCGACCCCCAGCTTGTGTCCGAAACACTGATTGTCCAGTGCCGCTGGGACGTCCTCCCGACGTGAAAGGGCACTATACGAACGTAATTTTGTTTACCGTATATTCTGTGAGGTGCTTTGAAATGTCTCGAGGATCCTATATCAAACGAAAGGATTAACATAACTACTGTGTGCCCTGTGTACGCAATGAGCAAAGCGAGAAATGGTTGAAATTTTGTTTCAGTCTAAAGGCTCAAGAGACTGTAGAGCAGCATCCGTAGGCTGCAACGTAAGCGTGGTTACAGCAAATCTATTTTTATATTTCTCCGCAGTCCTCAAACACACTTAAGGGGTCTCCAGCAGGTGCCCAAAAAAGGATAGGATAGGTTAGATCTTTAGCCGGAGCAAGTGACACACTAATTTGATGGAAATGAGCTGGTAAATCATTAGCTGCACCTTTGAGAGTAACAGCAGTGCCAAAACATTTTTTTTTCAATTCTCTCTAGAAGCTTCCTCGAGAAGCCCGAAGTTCCTCTTCCGGTCTCGCCTTAGCCTGGGGTCAAAATATTAAAACTTCTGAATCCAGTCTTAAAATTTTGTGGGACTGTTTGTGGGCGCACCGCTGGGCGCAGTTAGTTGGCTGCTGTGTTTCGCCCACAAATATACGGTCAATTCACTTTACAGTATATCCCGTGAAGCGCTTTGAGACAAATGCCAGGATTATTTTATGCATTAAAATTTGGACGCTGCTCCCCTCCGCCGCCCCCACTCCAACAATAAATTCTGCCCCTTAAACTTTTTTATTGGAAAGACAATCCAATCGGTCGTTCAGAGGCCAGAATCGTACAGCGCAGAAGGAGGCCATCCGGCCCGTAGTGGCTGTGCCGGCTCTTTGCAAAGGGATTGATGTGGTAAGCTACGGCTTGTAGAAAAGTGTGGGCGGGGAACGGGTCGAGAACGTTTTAACAGGGTCCTTCTTTTTACGTCCTGGGGGGTGGGGGGGGGGGGTCAAGGGGTTGCAAGGTTGGTCTGAAATTAAAATTAAAATACCTTTGTAGCCCAAAAAGCAGCCCAACCTTACGCAACGTTGGAACAGCAGAGTGACCGATCCAGCAAGATTTGTGTTTTCGAAGCAGTGCAAGAAAACCTCTTCAAGGTGGGGGGGGGGGGGAGGGGACGACGTTTTTTTGCAGATTTAAAACACGATTTTCTTTGCAAAAAAACAGGAAAAACGCCCAATTCACGCCCAGCAGGGTAGAAAACCGCCCAAATTGGGCGTGAACCCGCCCAATTGGGCAACGTGTGGGGGGAGGAGAGGAGAAGGGGGGGGGGGGGGGGAGGGGGAGAAGAGATGGAAGGGAAGCGCGGAGCCCCGCCTTCCTCTGGTGTCAATCACTTCCCTTGCGCCCGCCCCCTCCCCTCGCTCGCTGATTGGCGGAGACGGCGTCATCGGGTAGGCCGCGGGGTGACGTAGCCGGCTCTTTCTGGAAGCTTCCAACAAGGCGCGCATAAAAGCGGCGGCGCGGGCGCGGCCCCGGTCTCATTTGCAGGCGCGGAGCGGGAGAGGACGGCAGCTCGTGTCGTGTCGTCGTGCGAACAACAACAGCCGCAGCAGCAACAACAGCGACCGACCGACACGCTTTTAAATTAAAAGAATAAGGACCATCTGAAGAATCCTCTCTCCAGGTAACTCGGCGCGGACGGGCGGCGGCGGCGGCGCGTCTGTGTGTGTGAGTGTGTGTGTGTGGTTTTGTGTGTGGTTTTCTTTTCGGTGGTTGAGGGCGAAGAAAATCCCCAACGGTTTTTATTTACCGTTTTTTTTTAAAAAAAAGCCGAAGCTCCGGTTGTTTTTCAAAATGTATATATGTGTGTGTGTGTGTGTGCTGCTTTTTTTTAAAAAAAGAAACCGTTGGGGCTGGGGGGGGGGGCTGGCGGGGGTTTGGGTGGGGGGGGGTGGTGTTGGGAGCTGACCCCCCCCCCCCTCCCACCCCCGGGGCCGCGTGTCAAGAGTTACCGCCGTCTCCGCGCTCTCTCTCTTCTTTTAAAGCGGCGGTTGTTTCGCCCGCGAGGGGCAGCGGTTTGTCGAACCCTTTATTTTATTTGAATTCAAAAACTTAAGCGAAATTAATGAACCCTTCTTCCCCCACACACTCCTCTCCCCCCCCCCCTCCTCTCCCCCCCCCCTCCCCTCTTCCCCCCCACTCTTCCCCCTCCTCCTCTTCCACTCCCCCTCCTCCTCTTCCACCCCCCCTCCTCCTCTTCCACCCCCCCTCCTCCTCTTCCACCCCCCTCCTCCTCTTCCACCCCCTCCTCCTCTTCCTCCCCCCCTCCTCCTCTCCCTCCCCCCCCCAAGTGAGTGTCTTAATTTCCTTTGGTCACTCACTTCAAACAATTCCACGGCTGTTTGTTTGTTGAGCGGGAAGAAAGGGGGTTCATAGCTGCTGTAGCGCAATTAATGTGGTGCTGCCTCGTTTCAGCCACACAAAAATATCTATGTATATGTGTGTATCTATACACACAGTCACTACACTTCACAGTATATTCTTTGAGACACCTCAAAGACCTGGTAGAGCTCTTGTGTTTTAATATGTAAGGATTATTTATACAAAGAGAAAAGAGTTGGCTTCGGGCCAAACCAACCCTCCCTCCTCCCTTTCCTCCCCCACCACCACCATTTTATGCAAGTATTTAAGACTTGAGTATGACGGAAGGGGAGAAGAGACCCGTTAAACTAGTTTTTGTTCTTTTTAAAACATTTTTAACATGCAATTGCAGGTTTATACAGCACGGGAGGAGGCAATTCACCCCATTGTGATCAAATTAATCCCGGTGCCCTGGTCTCTTCCTTGCAAATTTGTCCTCCCCAAGTGTCTATCCACTTCCGTGGAAAGTTGCTATCAAACCAGCTTCTGGCGCCCTTTACGGCGGTGTATTCCAGATCCGAACAACTACTTTGTTTCTCTTTTTCGCTCGCTTGCTTTCTCCCCCCACCCCTTCGCCAACGACGCGTTGTTGCATTAAAAAAGGGCAGGCGCAACGGCGCAAATCAAAAAAAAATCCTCTTTTAATAAGATTGTTGTGAGAAATGTTGTCAGATTCATTTCACGCCCAATTAGCCACTTCGGTGTTCCTGCATAAAAGGTTGTGCATGCTATTGTGCCACTTTAGGGTTAATATTTGGTTGGCTTTGGGCTACAAATGTATTTTAATTTCTGGCAAACCTGAAAGTTAAGTAAGGATTGGATGGTGTGCGGGTGGTTTAGAATATCCTCTCTTCAGTCGTTGATTGTTCAGATAATCGTTTTTTTGGCTAGCAGACGCTGACCATTTCTTCTCACTGCATGTGAGGAGTACCACGTGCTCTTTTGTTCATGGCGTGGATTAAGTCGCCCCATGGCGGGTGGCTTTTTGGAGGGGGCAGGGAAAAAGAGGTGATTGATAGACGTAACACTCCCATCTACTGCAGGGGCTGATTTCTTAGTCATCATTTCAAGTATGAGTCATTCTTCCGGTGGAAGGAATCCTCACTACCCCTCCAGCAATCTGCTTGTTTAGATTTATACTTTGATCTGGTGTGGCTTACAATAATGCACAGTAAGAATTTTTTACTGCTGTTAAAGAATGATTTATTTTATTGCATTTTATAATGCAATGACTTGTGTAAGCATTTTTTAGTCCTTGGTATTAGCAAATAGTATAGGGTGTGATTGTGGTTAAGGTTCCTGCAGCACTTCCTTGCGCAATTTAAATGTGTTGCTTTGTTGCTCCTTTGCAGCCAAAATGTCCAAGGGACCAGCTGTTGGTATTGATCTCGGGACCACCTACTCATGTGTGGGGGTCTTCCAACATGGAAAAGTTGAAATTATTGCCAATGACCAAGGAAATCGCACCACTCCAAGCTATGTGGCCTTCACTGATACAGAAAGACTCATTGGTGATGCGGCCAAGAACCAAGTGGCAATGAACCCAACCAACACAGTTTTTGGTGAGTTTATTAAACTAACTTGTAAGGCTTACTTGTTTTTGTCAGGTTGCCTCAGTTGGTGATACTCCAGGTCAGTACTTTAAAACTCCATGTCTGGATTTGACCTAATCCAGGATGATACCCCACGGATCATTGAACTGTAAGGGTTGTTATTTCAAATGACTCAAAAGGGTGTTAAAACCAATTTTATGCACTTCTGGAAGAGTTTCTAGTTTTTTTAATATGAAGGCTATGGTACTTTTTTAATGGGATTTAATCTCTGCAGATGCAAAGCGTCTCATTGGCCGCAGGTTTGAAGATGCGGTGGTTCAGTCTGACATGAAACATTGGCCCTTTGATGTCATAAGTGACAATGGACGGCCCAAGGTCATGGTAGAATACAAAGCAGAGAAGAAGTCTTTCTACCCAGAAGAGGTTTCTTCTATGGTATTGACTAAAATGAAGGAAATTGCAGAGGCCTACCTTGGAAAGGTATGTCATCATACTTAACAGTTTTGTGCTTAGTCAATGTTTTGAATAATTTCAATTTTCTAATCTTTAACATTTTTTATCTATTAGACCATCACAAATGCTGTTGTCACAGTCCCAGCTTATTTCAATGACTCTCAGCGGCAGGCCACAAAGGATGCTGGTACCATCGCTGGCCTTAATGTGCTTCGTATAATCAATGAACCAACAGCAGCTGCTATTGCCTATGGCTTGGACAAGAAGGTATGCCATGTTTTAAAACTGCATTAAGTCCAGAGTAATTTTTGTATTGTTTGGGATATTGTGTACATATGAACGTGATTTGACATGGAATTCCATTCAGTTTGAATAAAAAAAATGCTTTGAGATGCTGCCCTATGTGGAAGGTGCTATATGAGTGTAAATGGTTGTTGTAAAACTATAATTTGGTCTTTCTATAGGTGGGTGCTGAAAGAAATGTACTTATTTTTGACCTGGGTGGTGGTACCTTTGATGTTTCCATCCTGACCATTGAAGATGGAATCTTTGAAGTGAAGTCAACAGCTGGTGACACTCATCTTGGTGGTGAAGACTTTGACAGCCGAATGGTCAATCACTTCATTACTGAATTCAAACGCAAATATAAGAAGGACATTACCGACAACAAGAGAGCTGTCCGCCGTCTCCGCACCGCTTGCGAACGTGCAAAGCGTACCCTGTCATCGAGTACGCAAGCAAGTATTGAGATCGATTCCCTATATGAGGGAGTTGATTTCTACACCTCAATCACCAGGGCACGTTTTGAAGAGCTCAATGCTGACCTGTTCCGTGGCACACTAGATCCTGTAGAGAAATCCTTGCGTGATGCCAAACTTGACAAGGCTCAGATCCACGACATTGTGCTCGTTGGTGGTTCCACTCGTATTCCCAAAATCCAGAAATTGCTGCAGGACTTCTTCAATGGCAAAGAATTGAATAAGAGCATCAATCCTGATGAGGCTGTTGCATATGGTGCAGGTAAGCACTCAATGTCTTAGTTCAATAAATTGGAACATTCACTAAATGTCTGATCCGCATGCCTGTTTTTATGACACTTCTGTTTTTTCCAGCTGTGCAGGCTGCCATCTTGGCTGGTGACAAGTCAGAAAATGTCCAGGATCTGCTGCTATTGGACGTCACCCCACTATCTCTGGGTATTGAAACAGCTGGTGGTGTCATGACTGTCTTGATCAAACGCAACACAACCATCCCAACCAAACAAACTCAGACTTTCACCACTTACTCTGACAACCAGCCTGGTGTGCTCATCCAGGTAAGGACATAATGGTTTAGACTAGATAACTGCTGGTGATGCAGTGGTTTTTTAAAGTTTCAATTGAGATCATTACTGATTGCTAATTTCAATTCAATCTAGGTATTTGAAGGTGAAAGAGCCATGACCAAGGATAACAACTTGCTGGGCAAGTTTGAGCTGACTGGAATTCCACCTGCTCCACGGGGTGTACCTCAGATTGAGGTGACATTTGATATTGATGCCAATGGTATATTGAATGTATCTGCAGTGGACAAGAGCACTGGGAAGGAGAACAAGATCACCATCACAAATGACAAAGGTAATCTGCTAACTAATCTGTAACATTTATATTAACGCACACTGATTACCCCGCTGTGATGATGCTTATACCAAATCATTCGTAGTTTACACCAAAAGCCTTTTGGGGCTAATGCTGGTTTAAGTACCTTCCTTGGATGTCTGAGCGATTACAAATCAATGACGTAATGTAAATTTTTTTNCAATACTGCATACTAATGATAACTTGTTCTTTAGGTCGCCTTAGCAAGGAAGACATTGAACGTATGGTCCAAGAAGCTGAAAAGTACAAATCTGAGGATGACCAACAGCGTGACAAGGTCTCTTCAAAGAATGCCCTGGAGTCCTATGCTTTCAACATGAAGGCCACAATTGAAGATGAGAAGATGAAAGGCAAGATTGCAGATGATGATAAGCAAAAGATAATGGACAAATGTAATGAAGTCATCAGCTGGCTGGACAAAAATCAGGTAAAATAAACATTCAAGCTTGCTTAATGTAAGAGAATTCAAACGCTCATCATTAAGACTTAATGAAATGTTGTGACTGCTGTGATAAAGTATGACCTTTGTAGTTTCCACCAGTAAACAGTTTAATTTTACAATGGTACATCCTCTGATTTGTTCCAGACTGCTGAAAAAGATGAGTATGAACATCAACAGAAGGAACTGGAAAAGATCTGCAATCCAATCATCACCAAGCTGTACCAGGGAGCTGGTGGCATGCCTGGTGGTATGCCAGGTGGCATGCCAGGGGGATTTCCTGGAGCTGGGGGTGCACCATCTGGTGCAGGTGGTGCTTCAGGACCAACAATTGAGGAGGTTGATTAAAGCACGTCATTACGGTCATTAGGAATGTTTGACTTGGTACGCAGCCAGGCTGGCCATTGGCTGCAGATTTCAAATCTGCCCCATAGCTGATCTTAAGGAATTGTTGCAATTGTGATACTTTTTACTGACAAATCCTTGAGGATGAAAACTTTAACAACTTAATATGCAATTATGATGCAAATCTGAGTTCAAATAAAACTTATGACCAGAATCTTGTCTCGTCTTAACTTGAATAACTTCTGGGGTTAGCAGGGAAAAGATTCAAGGATTACAATCATTACTAAATCTACATTTCCAGAGGTAGCATATCAGACATTGAGATGTGAAGGTGCTACACTTGAGATTATTGCATATAGTCACTGCACTTAACACTCGGCATTTTGTTTTAGTTACAATATCAATTTGAATTCTCCTATTTTTCTTTGTGGGCTTGTTCTTAGGTGTTGTGAATCTTTCCCTTTGGTTTCTACCGTCTTCTGTGCCACACTGGTTACACATTCACTGTAAGCAGGTGAACTTGCACAAGTTGTAGGAATTGTGAATGTTCATGGGATTTAAAACTATTGCAGTGATTGGATATTTTCCATCGGCAGAAAATTGTTGGGGATATCTGAGATACACAATGTAAATAGGTTCAAACATTTACAAAACTAATTTGGAAGTTTAGATGCCACTGAGTGGAAGAGGAGAATATCGAAAATTTGGGGGTGGTGACCTCAACCTTGTGTTCAAATCTTTTTTTAAGGACCATGGCAGTTCCAGCTAAACTATCAGGAGAACTTTTAAAATATATTTAACTGGGAACTGAATGTGGTACTGCAGCAACTAACATGGGTATCCTGAGTTCTAATTGAGAACAAAGTAACAATGAGATGTCATGAAGTATTCAGATTGTGAGGGAGTTGATTTCTACAACTCGATTATCAGAGCATGTTTTGAAGGGCTTAGTGCTGCCTTGTTCCATCATATCCTGGAGCCTGTGGAGAAATCATTGCGTGATGTCAATACTCACCAGGCTCGCTGGTGGTTCCTCGTATTCCCCAAATCCAGAAATTGCTGCAGGATTTCTTCAATGACAAGAGTTGGAGTAAGAGCATCGAAGTCGGACTTTCACCACTTTTGACAACCAGGCTGGTATGCTCATCCAGGTAAGGACATCATGCTTTAGACGCAGGAACAAACTTTGTGATGTGGTTTTATAAGTTTTCAATTGAGCTTCTGACTAATTGCTAATTTCACTTCAATCTAGGTATTTGAAGGTATTTGCAGCCTGCTATCTTGTTATCTTGAATGTATCCTTAAGTTGACAAGAGTGCTGAAAGGAGAACAAGATCACCATCACAAATGACAGGTAATATGACACCTGGTCTGTAAAGTTTATATTGGCACACAGATTTATCCCGCTGTGATGATGTTTATACCAAATCATTCGTAGTTTACACCGAAAGTCTCTCGGGGCTAATGCTGGTTTAAGTACCTTCCTTGGATGTCTGAGCGAGTTTATGATACCAAACGCTTTATGTAGTTTTTTTCAATATTGCATACTAATGTTAACTTGTTCTTTAGGTCACCTCAGCAAGAAAGCAATTGAACGTATGGTCCAAGAAGCTGGAAGATATAAATCTGAGGATGACCTACAGCGCGGCAAGGTCTCTGCAAAGAATGCTCTGGAGTCCCTTGCTTTTTAACACTGAGGCCATGTTTGAAGTTGAAAGGCAAAATCGGAGATGATGACGAGCAAGAGCTGATGGATGAATCTTAACAAGATCATCAACTGGCTGGGCAAAAATCAGACTTTCCCCACCTACTCTGACACCATAGTAGTGTGCTCATCTGGGTAAGGACATAGTAGTTTAGACACAGGAACTGAATGATATGGTTTTAGAAATTTTCAATTGAGGTCATGACTAATTGCCTGCACCTAATTCTATGTATTTGAAGGTGAAAGGCCAATGAGGCTGGTATCTTGAAGCAGTGGACACGAGTGCTGAAAGGAGAACAAGGTCACCGTACAAAGGTAATATGGCAACCGACCTGTATTATTTATGTTGACACACACCTATTAACCCGCTGTGATGATGTTTATACCAAATCATTCGTAGTTTACACCAAAAGTCTTTTGGGACTAATGCTGGTTTAAGTACCTTCCTTGGATGTCTGAGCGAATTTATAAATCCATTATTCTAATGTAGGTTTTTTCACTATTACATACTAATGGTAACTTGTTCCTTAGGTCACCTTAGCAATGAGGCTGAAAAATACAAATCTGAGGATGACTCAACAGCATGAGAAGGTCTTTGCCAAGAATGCCCTGAAGTAATATGCTTTTTAACATGGAAGCCAACTGGCTGGACTAAGATCAGGTAAAATCAACATTGAAGCTTATCTAATTCAAGAGACGTAACATTGAGCCTTATAAATAAATGAAGTGCTGTAATTTTTGTGAGCTATGATCATTCGTAGTTTCCACCAGAAACTTGTTAGATGTGTGTTGGCAACACTTCCTTGGATGGCTGACTGATCAATTATGTGCTTTGCTTTTTGTTCCTACTTTTCAATTGTTTGACAATATTGTATTGACGGATTTGTTCCAGAAGCTGAAGAAGGCTAATGGGAGAACCAACAGAAGAAACCAGTAATTGTATTTTTGTAGGCTGTGTGGGTATATTGAATGTATCTGCAGTGGACAAGAGTACTGTAAGGAGAACAAGATCACCTCACAAATAACAAGGTAATATGACAACTGATCTGTAACGTTCATATTGATGCACACTGATTACTCCGCTGTGATGATGTTTATACCAAATCATTCGCAGTTTACACCGGAAGTCTCTTTGGGGCTAATGCTGGTTTAAGTACCTTCCTTGGATGTCTGAGCGAGTTTATAATTCAATGAATGTAATGTAGTTTTTTTCAATATTGCATACTAATGGTAACTTGTTCATTAGGTTGCCTTGACAAAAAAAGACATCGAGCGCGTGGTTGAAGAAGCTGAAAAATACAAATCTGAGGATGACTTGACAGCATGAGAAGGTCTCTGCAAAGAATGCCCTGAAGTCCTATGCTTTTAACATAAAGGCCACAATGGAAGATGAAAGGCAAAATTGGAGGTCATGGACAAGCGAAAGACAAATGTAACTAAGTCGTGAGTTGGCCGAACAAAAAAACAGACTTCCACCACATTCTCTTGACATCCACCCTGGTGTGCTCATCTAGGTAAAGGTATACTGGTTTAGACTTGGAACTGTATTGATATGGTGCTTTTGTAAATTTTCAATTAAGTTCATGACTTGAGTGTTAATTTTAATTCCATCTCGTAATGCAAAGGTGGAAGAGTCATCAAATCGTGACCACAGTATCTGCAGTGGACAAGAGCGCTGGGAAGGAGAACAAGATCACCATCACAATTGACAAAGGTGATATGACAACTGATCTGTAACGTTTATATTGGTGCACACTGATTATCCCGCTGTGATGATGTTTATACCAAATCATTCGCAGTTTACACCGAAAGCCTTTTGGGGCTAATGCTGGTTTAAGTACCTTCCTTGGATGTCTGAGCGAGTTTATAATCCAATAATTTTTTTCAATAGTTGTTTTTTTTCAATATTGTATACTAATGGTAACTTGTTCTTTAGGTTGCCTTAAATAGGAAGACATTGAATCAACCTACGGTCCAAGAAGTTGAAAAATACAAATCGATGACTCAACAGCGTGAAAATGTCTTTGCCAAGAATCCCCTGAAGTAATATGCTTTTAACAGGGAGGCTACAATGGAAGATGAGAAGGTTAAAGGCAAAATTGGAGGGGATGGCCATTGGCTACAGATTTCAAATCTGCGATCCTTTTAATCTTTAGAAAGTGAAACTTTAACAATTTAAAATGCAGTTATGCTTCAAAGTTCAAATAAAATTTATGACCAGAATCTTGTCTACATTTTTGAGTTGGGGGGGGGGTAAGACTATTGATTACAGTCACTAGAAAATCTACACGGCAGAGACTAGCATTTCAGGCAATACAGTGCTACGTCAGCATCAGACTTCCGTGAATTGCATACAAAGCTGCTTGGGATGGGTGGGGGCATGGGGTAGAAAGAGTGTCTGGGATTCAGAATTGTGACTCACAACACATCTTCCACATCTACAGGCCTTTATATCGGAGTCCTGTAGCTCAGTGGTTCGAGCACTCGCCTTGCAAGCGAGATACCTGTGTTCGATTCCAGGCAGAGCGAAATCTTGGGCAAGTTTCCTTACTCCACACAGGAGTAATAATCCCTCCAAAACAAAGCAATAATAAATTGGTCATTTTCAATCCACGACTGTTTGTGGAACACTGCTGTGTGGAATTGGCTGCTGCGTTTTGCCCACAAATATACGGTCAATTCACTTTACAGTCTTCTGTGAAGCTCTTTGAGGTGTCGAAGACATGGAAAGTGCTATATCAAGTGCATGGATTGTTATTACATCAAATGCAAGAGTTGCAAATAGTCACCACTTAAAATAAACACTTGACATTTTGTTTAGTTGCAATATCAAATTGGATTCTCTCCTGTGTGGGCGGGCTTGTTCTTAGGGGAGTAAGTTCTGTAGTGTAATCCTTAACGTCAGTCTACACGACAGAAACGAAGTTACTACAATATGAAGGTGCTGCACACATTGATAGGGAGTCCTTCCCTTCTGGATTCCATTTTCACGTCTGCACACCAAGCAGGTTAGCTTGTACCTGTAGCCCATTTAACAATGTGGAGATTGGGGTTAGATGATGTGCTTCACTTCATACGAGTAGATATTTATCTCTGATTTGAGATGTATCATCCATCTCACCAGATACTTGAATGACAACACCCATGACATGCCTTAGGTTGTCAATGAGTAAACTAGATTCTCTGGAGACTTATTAATTGCAGATTACATGAGGAATTTTACCAGTGTAGTTAGTATCTTCTGTTGACTGAAGAGGGCCGAATGGCCATGAATTTTTATGGTTCTAGACCTCCACCCAAAAAAATGGTCTAACTGGTCTGGCTAAACTAGTTTCTCTGATTGCATTTAAAGCAGGAATGGGTGAGATTTCTTAGATTTAAGTTCATTGCCACACAATAAGACTCTTGCAAAGTCCTTAATCCAGATAGTTCTAGAAATATATCCTACTTGAATTATTGCCTGCAAAATATACAGTTGGTGCACTACAAAATGCCATTAATTTGTCTGAATCGATGTGCTCGATAACAATAACATGTCGCTGGATCCACGACTGTTGCGTCACCCCTGGGCGCAATTGCCTGCCACGTTTCACCCGCAAAACACAACACGGTCGCTCCCGCTTCGCGGTGTTGTGTGCGTTTCGCCCGTGCACAAGTATGCAATCGATTCACTTTGCAGCACATTCTGTGAAGCGCTTTTCAGATGTCGAGCCGGCGTGGAAAAAGCGCTATATCAAATGCAAGTATTATTATTTATTGTTACTATTGTTATGAAGCGCTTCGAGGCGTCTTGGCGAGGTGATAACGGCCCTCTAATGAAACCCGGAGATGACTTATTACTATTATTATACACACACATATATATAATATATATATATAGTAACATATATATACATGCTATGCCCACCCACTGCCTCCCATCACGTGACCACCCATCGAGCGAGGCGAGTCGGCCGGTGGACTACAAATCCCAGCGTGCCCCGCGCGCGGCCTCGCGAGATGATGACGTTACGCGAGAGGAGGAGTGGGGCGGGAGGGAGGGGGGGAAAGGAGCCGCCGCCATTTTGTAAAAAAAACCACCAACGCGCGAGGTCAGAGTTTGGACGCGCGGAAAGGACGTCGCTCACCGCAGGTAAACACGAAGCGGGGGGCGGGGGTGAGGCGGGAGGCGTACCGGAGAGAGACTCGCTCTGAGATAGACACGGATAACGTCACGAGTAAAGGGCAAAGGGGAGGGGAGGGTTTGGAAAGTGTTGGCGGTGGAGGAATTATCATCATCATCTGCTCCTCCTCCTCCTCTCTCTGTGTTGGCGGCGGCACCAGGTTGGGGTTGCGATGGAGACTCTTGAGCTCGGGCCCGGGGAGGGTCAGGGCCGCACGGTGTCTCACTTGTTCGCTCCGAGCAACGTGTTTGCTTTTGAATTACAGTCTCTCTCTCTCCCACTCCCTCCTTCCCACTCTCTCTCCCTCCCCACTCCTTCCCTCTTTCCCACTCCCTCCCTCCATCTCCGTTTCCCCCCTCCCACTCTCTCCCTCCCTCCCTCTCCCCCCTCTCTCTCTCTCTCTCTCGGTTGAAAAAACTGTGTCGGTTTCGTGGTCGTTACTTTTTTTTTCCATCTTTTGTTCTTGTGGGGTATGACAGAATTTTTTTTATTCCCCTCCCCCACAGGAACCGCTGGGTGGTGACTCGTGGTTAAGACAGGAACTGTTTATCAACTCGTCTGGGAAACCCCGCACACCCCCCACCCTCCCCCGCACCCCCCAACCCTCCTCCGCACCCCCCAACCCTCCCTCCCTCCTTCCTTCCTAGTTTGCGGACATGGAAGCCGAAGTCTGGGACAGCGACGGTTGCACCTCGTCTGATTCCTGTGATTTACCAGATATCGTTTCGTCTGACGAGGTTAATAATAATAATAATAATAATAATAATCCTCGCATTTGATATAGCGCTTTTCACATCAGGAGGACGTCCCAAAGCCCTTCACAGAACACACTGTAAAGTGAATTGACTGTATGTGGGCGAACGCGGCAGCCAATTGCGCACAGCAATGTCCCACAAACAGTCGTGGATTGAAAATAACCAATTTATTATTGTTTTTGGTTTTGGAGGGATTATTATTAGGCTCTGTGGAGTAAGGAAACTTGCCCAAGGTTTCGCCCTCTGCCTGGAATTGAACTCAGGTCTCTCACTTACAAAGCGAGTGCTCTAACCACTGAGCTACAGGACTCCGATAAGGAGACGTACCCCGAGATGTTAGGGGACAGGATATAATAATACACACACATAATAATCCTCGCATTTGATACAGCGCCTTATCGCGTCTTCGAGACGCCTCAAAGCGCTTCACTTTAAACACGCTGTAAAGTGAATTGACTGTATATTTTGTGGGTGAAGTGCATTTCCCGTACTGGAGCTCATCAGCAGCAGGCGCATGGATTTAAAACCCTTTTTTACAGTGCCCGGCTGGGGACTGTCTTAGCTCGTTAGCAGTTCTCAATCGCTGCAATTTGATATGTAATAAAAATAATTGTATTTGATATACTGCCTTGTCACGTCATCGAGCTGTCTCAAAGCCTTACACAGGATATGCTGTAAAGTGTAGCGACTGTATTTCATGGGTGAAATGTGGCAGCCAGTTTGCCACAGCAGTGTCCTTCGCAACACACAACTTTCTGACCTCAAGCAAGAGTGCTTCCAACAAAGCCAGGCCTAAAATTGTGTTAATGTTGTGTTGTGGATTCCCACGTTTCAGTAACTAGACTATCTTCTGTTCAACAAAATGTATGTATTAATCTCCATACAATCCAGAATTTTTACAATTTACTCACTCTCACTCCAATCCTTCAGGACCTACCTTAAGCCCTTCCCCTTTGATGCTCCTTTGGTCGCTTTCCCCTATCCCCATTCACGTGTAAACTTTGGACCACCATACCTGGGTAATCCAGTTCCTGAACCAGACAGATTTGCAGTACAAAAACAGAAGTAGCTGGGAGCACTCGGTCTGCAGTATTCCAGGGAACTGCTGATATCAGCACAGCCAACCTGGCTCATCGGCAGGACTTGGAAGGGCAGACCAGTCGCTAAGGGTAGGAAATCCTCCCACATCGCTGCAGTTAACCCTGCAAACCAAAGCTCCAAGTGTAGGGTTGTCCTAGCCGGCCAAACAGTGGGAAAGCTTAAAGACAGTGCTGTCGATGGCAAGCTGTGTGATTTTAGCTGGTTGGACTCCAGCAGCACTCCAGAGGTACTCTGGAATCCGGTGGTCCCCAAGCTGTGTCAAATACTTTCTGGAATTAGGTGAGCAGGATGTGTCCTTCCAGGGAAAGAGTGCGCATTGCATTGCAACAATCTTATCTCTAGAATTTGCATGGCTCTGTGGGATGCAACAAATTCTCAGTTTGCTTTGGATACTCTTAGGTGTGGTGATGGGTTTCCATATGTGTCGGACACTCGGCTGGCCAGAGAAAAAAATATTTGCTGCACTGATTCGACATAGTGTGAACCTAAGAGTCAAAGAACAGGGCACAAGATTAGCCAAGTTACATTGGATAAATAAAGGCAAGATTGTGGTTTAAATCTTTGTTGAGTATAGGGGGGAGAAAATGCATTGGGAGCTGAGGAATTCCATAGCCTTATTAGCCTTGAAAACAACGAGTTAGGACAGGAGAAAGTTAAGTATGTTTTTTGAAGGAGAGGAAAGTTCAAAGAAGTGGTTCATAGTATTGTATTACCAATAGTTCGCCTACACATGCAGTCACAACAACGCAAGGATTACACTGTATTCATAGAATAAAGAGAAAGAATATATATTTCTACATACAAGTGACACTTGATTGTGATTCACAAAATCATGAATTGTGTGCTGCTGTATAATATATTTGTAAGACTTTCATGGTGCAATCTGATTCATCAAACTGGTATGCCCACTTTTTTTGAATTTGTACAGTTCAAAATAAGGCCCCGATCAGACAAGACACTTGCTTCTAATATAAGGATGACTGAATGTAGGTTTACCAGATTTTCAGTAAATGTGATTTGATATGTTATCTTTCGAATTATTTGAAGCAGACTTATGATCATCTGGTGGTCAATGTCTTCAGTTCTCGACGCTAGTTTAGACTGGAATGAAGATCAAATCACTAAAGTTTTATTCTTTTTCAATTCTGTGTGCATGTGTGTGCAGCTTGTTGAGGAGCTCTTATATTTCAGTCTTTTGGCGTGGGCCAGAGTATCTATCGTGTGCTCTATATAGGGAAGATAATTGTAAGTTTAGTTTTTGTTAAATATGCAAAGTTTAAGCTAAACTATTTTACGTGTAGTATAATCCATTTACACAGTAATTGAGTTTGTTTTATAATTATTTATTTGTAATTTCAGGAAGTAAGACCATGGTTTCCTCAGATTGACCCTCCACACATAGGCTTAGAAGGTAAGTAAAATCCAAAAGACTCTTTCTGTACTTCTGGAATAGAATGAGATCAATGGTGTAGTAACCTTCTGTAAAAAGTGATTGAGAGATATACTTAAAGATTACAGAAACAGACAATGCATTAAAGAAGCAATTTAACTGGGATTTTTTTAGCTTTTTACAATATATTATGATGAATTCAGTATATTTTTGGAGCCGCAGGGTACTTTAGAAGAAATAAAAAGAGAATTTCTGTGAAAAATGGGTGTTTCGAAAGTTGTAGAGGATATTCAGTATCGGTCGTGAAAAGGTCATTTAGCTAGAAAATGTATGCTAGATGTCGGAATACTGACATCATAAATGTGTAGTAATAATAATAATCTTTGAAGTTGATATAGCGCCTTATCACATCTTCGAGAAGTCTCAAAATGCTGCACAGAATATGCTGTAAGGCGAATTGACTATATATTGTGAGGGAAGTATGGCAGCCAATTGCGCACAGCAGTGTCTCACAAATAGTTGTGGATTGAGTGACCACAAATTTTTTTCATCATTTATTTTGAAGGAATTATTACCCCCAGAAAAGCGATCCGCTGCTCAACTAACAAACGGGTTCCTGTTTGCTGCTAGGTAAAGAGGCGTGTGGAGTAAGGAAACTTGCCCACCGTTTCGCCCTGATGGGAATCAAATTCAGGTCCTCTCGCTTGCGGGGCGAGTGCTCTAACCACTCAGCTACAGGACTCCATGCGCATTTTATGCTGTACAATATGGCTCTACTTGGCATGCGTTTCGAAAAGGTATTGGAAATGGATCAGCCTGCGTCCAGTTAGCAATTTTGTTTTCCACAAGCACTTATTTTTGTTTACAGTGTTGATTCCAAAGAGCTGGTGTTATCTGAGGACATCTGTTTTGAAGAGACACTGCCATGCTGTGAAAGTGCAGCTCTTGAGCCCAATTCTTTTTGGTAGACCTCATCCAGACAAACGGTATTGGAGCTGGGCTGCTCGGGCAGATCTCGTCCAGAATGAGCAGTAAGTTCAGTGACAGCAGCTGCAATGAGTTGCTGCTTCTTGCAAAACTCTTGTGTGTTTGGCACAAAAATGTGAAGAAGCAGGTGCAACAAGTTGATGCACGTGGTGAAATGTGAGAGGATGTGATGAATTGGAATATTTAAGCTGAACTTGCGGCTTAACCTGCCTTAACACGGCTAAATTAATGGATCACTGAACTGCTGAAAACCTTTTTTGTTCAAAAAGGAGTTGATTGTTAGAATTTGTATGCAACCTTCTAAAAACAAAATAACGATTATTTCACCATTGTACCATAGGTTTTGGGTAAATTCCTTCAACATCCAAGAACATCTTGCTTTGAACCCAGTTTGAGAACTGACATGTTTGTTGCTGCAGTTGTTACTGTATCGACCTTTTAGCCTGTTTTTCAAACTATAATTTTGAATTGACGTAATGTCGCTCATAACATTTGTTTCGATCTCTGAAGTAGAAATTCACTGACCAATTTTTTTTATGAACCATGACACGTTAAAACCGTTTGTTTTCACCTGAATTTCAAAGAATCTAGATGAACTTTGAACTGAAGTTCAATTCTCAATCCGTTGATGATGGAATGAGTTACCTGCAATACCATAATCTCTCTTTAACAAAGGTCATCTGTGACTGTTTAAGATTTGTTGTTACAGTCTCTGGAGGCTGCAATTGAGAAATATTTTTTTGTGCTGGCAGCTGCTACTTGCTGCAGTACTAAGTAAACCCGTAAAGCAACATAAGTATCATCATTATTGTAATTGCATTTGGTGCATTGGAATTCTTTCGCGCAATATTATTAAGAAGCTTTATTGGAAGGAAAAATATTTTTCCATTAATCGCTGGTATGCGGACACGGTGTATAAAATTTCTGGAATTGCTTACTTTTCTGACAGTTTTTCCCTCTTTCATTCAAGATGTGGTGAACTGCAGGACCTTGAACTCAAAACACTGAAGATCATAGACCTCTTAGAATCTGCACACAGGGCCTTGCTGGTTTATGCTGTGAGTACCTGATCTCCCTCCCTCAACCTCCCTAGCTTGCCCCCTCTTTTACGTTTTTAAATTATATTTAATAATCTACTTCTTTGATTGAGCCGATGATCATAACTCCATTCCTCCCCTTTGTTGTTTGCTCAGCATCCCAAGAAGCAATCCGAGAAATACAAGTTGTTACTAAAAAGAGGTGGCAAGATCCAGCGTTTCTTCCAAGTTCTTCTGTTTTTAATATTTGTATTCATAAAGAAGCTTTTGGGATTACCATTTAAAATTGCAGTACAGCGCACAAAATAAGTTTTACCCTTTTTCGAAAAAGCTGTGTTTGTTTTGGGGTAAATTTTAATAATCGCAAGTTAATTCAAAATAAAATAGCATTTAGGACCCCTTAAAGCTCATTGATGTCCCAATGGATCTGAACTAAGTTCCCTGCATTTTGGGAACCAGGGCGACTGCGCATCTTTCCTGCATGGAAAATATTTGATCTGTATTTATTATTGAAAATACTAATTTTATTTTTAAATTATTTTGCAGCTGAAGCGACCATTGCTTATAAAGTTTGTTCGTGTAGTTAGTGAAAACCTTGTTCAGGTAAGAAAAGCTCATTTTTAATTTAATTCTTATTCTGTCACATTTATCGTTCATTGATGTCATTTTACTTACACACAATTCAGATCAGTTCAGATCAGTTCAGATCCATTGGGACACACATATGTCTAGCAGCTTCTACAGCAAAATACACTAATCAAAATAGAATAATCTGGTAGTCCACTAAGTGTCTGCAATGTGTGTGACGAATCTATAATTCAAAAATGTCTAAAATGTGCTACTGCATTTCAAATCTTGTGGTGTGATAGTGTCTCGAAGCAAGAAAAGATTTGAAATGTGACACTGGATTTGGATGGCATAATGTCAATATTTAGGATTTTTAGATAAGAAAATGTCAGTGTCCACTTCCTTTTATAAACAAAGCTTATTATTGGATTCTGCTAACATCTGTGATTGTGTGGAGCTTTACGAAGGTAACCAAAGTCATTTCTTGTGATCTTTACATGCACAAAGAAGGAAGTGATGATGTTGCGGGTGGCCTGATGGCTGGCTAATTGTTTTTTGGCACAGAGTGGTAAAATGGATTATCTGGAGTGGCACCAGCACAGTGTACACCTGTTATTTATAATTGGAAGCTTGAAAAGCCAAGGCATTCTCAGCCTGGCTCCCTCTCTACAGTAAAGGAGATTTTGAAGGATGGGGCAAGGAGAAGATTTATATGAATATTGAATGATTAACCTGAAAAATGCAGTAACGTCTTTGATTTTCTGATGTGGGTGGCTTGCAATGATCTGCTTTCTGTTGTATTAGCTCTTTGATTTATGCATAATGTTAGTATTTAGGTATTCATTTTTTTCTTTTTGTTTTGGTCAAAATAATTAAAGCTTACTTCCTTTTTAAGTGTTCCACTTTGGAAGAGGCAATAAAAGTGGTAAAGGAGCATGGTTTTTTTCGGGATGCCTGGAAAATGCTAACTTTTGGTAATCAAATGCAAAAGGCTACAGCCCTGGCGCTAACTGGTCTCTATTGTGAGTAACACCATACATTACTTTTCTGTAAAAGAGGATATGAAAAATATTAACCTACAAACTTCTGATTTGTATCGCTTAATGGTGCCCCAATTTGGTGCTTTTGTTCACTTGGACATGAGAGGTGGTCTGTTTTAATCCTAGTTTTTAAAAACTAAAAATGATGATAATGTTTGACTTTCACCTTTACAGTCTTGGGTTTAGCAGTTCATTTCCATTAGTTGGTCCTGATTCTTTTGGCCCATTTTGGTGTAAGGTTATCTTAACTTTTGTGTTTTTGCAGATTTCAATCACATAAACCAATACTCAATAGATCATAATGACCTGTTGGAAAAATTTGAAGATCAGTGCTTTGAGGAAGAGGAGGTAAGCGGAAGTAAATGTAAGAGCATGTTGCAGCATATATGGTGTCTGCGTATGTGTATGGATAGATGCACTGCCCATCCTGCAACCCACATGGAACCAGTACAGCTACAAAATAGGCTGCAGAGCAATGCTCAGTTATTAATACCTTCTGATTTGTGTACTGCTTTGTAGCCTCTGGAGGCTCAAGGTGAAAGAGTTAGGGCTTGGCTGCGTGCATCCCACTTATAATACTAAGCGTGCTTTTTGAATGGGAGCATTGTGTGCAGGTACCTTGAGGCAACAGCACAAATGAAAGGATACTGTGGCAGGGTGTGGCAAGGTAGACATCGTTCACGGATGTGCCGCAAACGATATCCATCGCAGTTTTGAATACAAGTCAGGAACAGTGAAGCTGCAATACACATTTATTTTTTATTAAAAAATGTTTAAATTATTTTCAGAGCTTTTCTTCATGGAGCACAACCCACTTTTTCGAGTTAATATTTAAATGCGTTTGTTCCGTATCACTGAATATTTAAATTATTCATCTTCAAGGCTTTCAGCGACATTCAAAAGGTGGAATTTACCTAGCAGTTTGTGTTTACATAAGAAAAAAACCACAACCTTAACACTGCTGCAAGACCTTTAGTAGTCATGTTCAGTTAAGTTGAGAAGGATTTGTAAATGAAAACAGTGGTCTCGTTTGGCTATTTAGCAATCTGAATGTTTGTTTCAGCTGAATTCAGTTACATTTCAGAGTCAACTGCTTTGATCAACTTTTAATTTGGGAGAGATTCACCATTTCAAATTTCAGCATTTTCTTTTTGTTTCTTTCTGATCAGCAAGCAAAAATATTTAATGAACATTGGCAAACTGAAATGAAAAGGCAGCACTACAAAGCAGCAATAAAGTCTTTGGATGAGGCAATAAAAGTGTGGTAAGTCAACAACTTGCATTTATATAGCGCTCTTCAACCGGGTTAGCATCCCGGAGTACTTAAGTCGTGCATGTTGGAGCTTGAGGAAAGGTAAGAGATGCAGAGGGACTGCATAATTCCCACTTGTAATGGGAAACCTATTGGGTGAATGGGAATATTTTGTGCAGGTACATTTGGGAAACAATGTAGGAGGTTGTGGCACGGTGGAGCAAAACGGATAGAGTGCCTTGTTTACAGATATGCTGCAAACAGCATCCATTCCCATTGAGTTCAGGATGCTAGTCAAGCACAGCGTTAACTAATGCAAATGCCAATGAAACCCTTGCAGTAAATATTGTGAATTACAATATCACAAGTGAATGATCAAGAGTATTCTTGACATCTTGACATCCCCTGCTTATTTGTACAGTTCCTTTCACCATTCCCTAGAGTTCTAATGAACTCTTCAATGCTTTATTACTCCAGTTGTGTGTGTGTGTGTGTGTGTGTGTGGTGTGGTCCTTAGCTATTCTGAAAATGGCTTGGAGAGCACCAAAGCTGAGCCCAATTCTATCCTTTCCCAAAATCTACACCTAACCTTTCTAGGAATGGCCACTGTTTTGTGATCAATCCTGGGAATACTGCCAAGTGAAGCAACCGTACTGCTACTGTGACTGAGATCCGCTAAATTATTACTTTGAATCGTGGCTCTTTACGATCTGCCAAAACTCTTTATGATCTGCCAAAAAGGTTGTGGTTTCTCCGGCCATTATCTTAACCCAAAAATATTGGTCACTCAATCCACGACTGTTTGTGGGACATTTATGTGTGCAATTGGCTGCCGTGTTTCACCCATAAAATATATAGTCAATTCACTTTACAATATATTCTGTGAAGCGCTTTGAGACATCTCAAAGTCGTCATAAGATGTTACTATATCAAAGCAAAGATTATTATTAACCAACAGCCATTGGAGATTTGCATAGCAATTTTCAATAGGTAGTTATGACCATCTGAATTGTGGATTTTGTTTTCTTCCGTTTGCATTCCTATTAATTTGTTCAAATGACTGATTTATGTAATAATGATCCAATTACAGCAACTAGAGAACTAATGTGTGCAAATTCTTCCTGTTTCAGTGCATTTGACCATTTGCTGTATGAGAAGAGATCCTACTGCTATTTGCAGTTGTGTCGATTTAAGTAAGTTTTAAGCATGGTACTCGTTCTTATTGACCTCAAAATCCCGAAGTGTTTAAAAGTATTGTTTGGGTTTTAATCACAGAGCCTTCCAGTCTCAGGTCAACCAGCTGCTCCAGGCAGAAACTATCAGGACTCCATAGTATTGCTTTGCATTTTTAAACTAAATATAGTTTGAACCCTTGTAGGTTACTTTATTTTAACTCTTCGATAAGATTTGATGCCGTGCAGTTCTTCACGACTTCCTTACAAATACAAAATGCATATAAAGTATTCTTTAAAATGTCCTCAAATTGATATAATTTTATCATTATATAAACCTATTTTTATAGATCTGAGAAGAAAGACTGAATTAGTTCTGTTGCTTAAAGTAAAACTACATTTTGAAATAATTCAGCCCAGTTAATTCATTCATTTTGTAAATGTCTATGCAGTTTAACTGCATTCATTAAAATTCTAAATGGATGTGTGGTGGTATGCTAATCTGAGTTTTGCTGTATTTGAATACTGTACTTTACATTGTGCTGTTTTGTGCTTAACAGAAAAGGCTGGAGTGATGCCAAACGGTGCATTGTCTTAAGGCCTCATTCCATAGAGGTAGGTATGACTTGGGATTTTCCAATAACTGAGATAGACAGAATTCTCTTTGAGCTGATGTCTCACAGTTAAACCAAAGTTGGATGATTTTTCAGTATCTACTGCTTAGAGATCAGTCCAATAAATCCAACATGTGGTGTTGGTGGTTTATCTGATTGCATTTTGGCAAATTGTTGTTCTCTCTTTTAAGAGGAATGTATTTACTGGATTTCCCAATAATTTTCAATGTTGTTAAAATGCAATTTAAGCAGGGTCTCCTTGGAGCTGAACTGGCTCCAAGGTGACATGTTTGGCAACGGAATGTCGGAATCGAGCCATCCCTCTGTAGCCAGGGGGCTCCACGGTATTACAGGGCAATGCTGAGGACAGCCAGCCAGCCTGGTTCATCGGCAAGACCAGTCACTGGGGGAAGGAAGTCATCCCACTCAGCTCCTGTTAACCCATCAAGCCAAAACTCTAATGGGTGGGGCGGTCCCAGCTGGACAAGCAGCGGGAAAGCTTGCCAGAGAGCAATATCAATGGCAAATTATGTGGTTTTAGCTGGTTAGACCCCACAGCTACCCCAGCGCACACTTTGAAGCCCCCAACCCTTGGCTCTTGCCAACCTGCGCCTAAAAATGTTAATGGGTTTCCACTTATATCAGACAACTGGCTGACCCCCCCAAAAAAAAACTTAAAATGAGATGCCTGTAGCACTAAATAATTTGGTTGTGTCTTGGTGCCCTATTCCTGGCATTGACTGCGGAGAGGTAATCAAATAGAGGTGAATTGGATATTACTAATTTGAAATACTCCTGGAAACTGAATTTAAAAAAATCTACTCCATTACAACTTGTAACCTTGTTGAAAGAATAACTAGCTGGCTTGCCTTGTCTCAAGGGTGTCTTTTACTTTGAGTGTACATTGTACTGATTTTTCTTTCCCATTGTACCATTGCATCTTTTATGTACTTTGGACCCTTGTTCTGTGCTAAGTTCATAACCACATATGGTCCGATTGATTGCAGATATGTACCAACCTAAAGGCTATGAGACTGAAACCTGATTTCCACATTTGTAAAGAATTCAGAATTAAAGAGGAATGTTTTCCCCATAAATTACACTTTATTAAAAAGTAGTTTTGATTTTTTTTTCCTTTTTAGGGTCATTACTTATACGCTGGAGCATTATGTGGAAAAGGCTGGTTTATTCGTGCATTGAAAGCCAATTCTGTGGCAATTCAAGTATGTCAGTGGAAAGGGCTGAATGTGAAAGGGCTGATAGAACAGCAAGAGCTGATTCAAACTGAGCAGGAACTTTCACAGAAAGGTTAGCACAGCCTTTACTTTGTATCTGTCCATAAAACGTACATTGTACAGAAATGGTGAATGATTGATTTTTTAATATGAAATCACTTTAGCGCAAACATGTAGCATTGTTGTTATGATCAAATTTTGTATTTAAAACTTGGATCCGTGTTAAAATTCTGGTAACAATGATCTATATCGGGCAGGAATGACCAACTTTGTGAATTGTATCACTGATTCTATTGACCAAAAGAATTCAGCAGTTGAGGAAGTAACTATTTGCAGCATGGACCCTGATTAGCTTCAAAGGAAACTAATCTCATCCTAGGTATAGTGCTTTTGGAAAAGGATTTACTGGTTCATTTCCAATTATTTAAAAAAAATCTCAGCACTAATTTGGCTTTCACTGTTGTTCAAATAAGTGGTTAAGCAGAACTTTATTATCTAATGTGTGAGGAGAGAACACTTACCTGTAACTTGGCAGGGCTTGGTAGCCAGCTTTAATGTTCGGATCTGCTTGCTAAGCAAATTGTTTGCTGTTTTCTTAAGAGGTCGAATGCAATTCAACCTCTGTTATACAGGCTTTCGTGTCTAGATTTCTGTGCTTGTATTTAATAATAATTTACTTTTTTTGGTTTCAGAAAAGCAAATGGAGACCTGGGAAAAATCTAACACAAGGTAATTACATTTCAGAATCCTTTTCCAAGTTTGGTTAATCATTTGTAATAGGCACTTATAACACAGGCCAGAGGTTAATGGTTCAATTGACTAGGCTGGGCTGTGTCAGCACTTGGAAATACCCACCATCGGTCTTAGTGCCTTTCAACTAGGGAAGGAATAAATCAACCTGCTTCTGGTCATTATCTAGTGGCTACTGGAAAATACATGTGTGTGGATGTCTTTTTCAAACTAGATTGGACTCAACTGTGAAACCCTCATTTTAAGAGCCCATTGTCCAGGCTCACATAAGAACAACAATAACAACAAGATTACATTTGATTAGCGCCTTTCACATTGGGAGTACTTCCCAAGGTGCTGAAGAAGAATGACTTGCGTGAGTTACCGGATGAAAGTGAATGAGGAAACTGTCCCCTAATATTACACCTTCACAAAAGGAGAAACACTGTCCTCTCTGACATAGTTCTGAGAAGTTTTACATAATAACATAAATATAATAGCATGGAAACAGACCATTTGTCACAACTAGTCCACTGGTATTTAAACTCCACATGGGTCTCCACTCAGTCTTTACGCCTATGCTCCATTCTCTTATCATGTGTATATCTGGCTTCCTCTTAAATACATCCTCACTAACTACTTCAACCACCACTTCAGACAACAAGTTCAACATTACCATCTGAGGGAAGAAGATTCTTCTAAATTGCTTTAGAATTTCTTCATTGCTATCTTATACTTGTGTATCCTAGTTAAGGACTCGCAAACGAGTTGGAATACCCTATTTAAGCTTAACTTATCAAATCCTTTTATAAGTTTAAACAGAAGTCTCTTCTCCAGGGCAAAAAAAGTGAGGCAACTGGACACGAATATTAGCACCTTCAGGAAAGCAGGTGGTAAAATACTGTTTGTCCTCTTGGAGAGTTCTGAGAAGTTCCTAACTCTGTTCAGTGTATCCTGCTAGCCCTGGTTTCATCCCGGTAAATCTACATTGTATTTTCTCAGTTGTTACTATATCCTTCTTGGCAACCAAAATAGGACATGGTGTTCAAATAATTCATGAGGCTAATTGTTTGTACCTAGTGGGCAAGACCAAAGTTCCGCAGATGGTTGTTTTGATTCAGAAAAAACAGATGAGGAAGAGGAGCAGGACGATGATGAAGACGAGGAGGAGGAGGAGGAAGATGGTGAATCTATTACAGATGAAGATGATGAAGATGCGATTCCTGCAGTAGAGGATGCGGGTGTTTGGGTTAAAGACAATGGACAACCTGATCTGAAACTGGATGATCAAACATCATTTATGGGGGTAAGTTTGATTTAAGATGGGGTTAGATGTATTAGTTAATTGGATTTTAAAACGTAACCGTTCTAATTTTCTTACTGGGTTAATAAGTTAACTGATATGAGTAAACTGATTATCTTCATAAACTTACCTGCCAAACGACCGCCTCATTTTTACTTGTATTTAGTCACCTGTATCGAGAACAACTCATCACAGTTGCCAAGAAATTGGGGGGGAAAAAGGAACTTATTTTAGCTGGCAAAGGCTTCTGATATCTGGCTCCATCTGTTTAGGCTGTTTGCTTTTGCAGCTATTTCTGTTGAAGAAAATCAGTGCACGCAAGGAACAAATGCTTGTATCTCCTGTGTGGAAGTAAATGGCAAGCAAAGTAGCATTGTTACTTATCTCCTGGAGCAAGTTTTCCCCCTGTTGACTCTTGAGTAACTACAACAGGGCATTCAACTAAGCCACACAAACCAGGAAGGCAATGATTTTAATCCATGGTCAGAGATTAATTGGCTGAACCCGAGCATTGGCACTCTTATCCATTTGCTGTGACTTATTGATCTACTTTATTTACATATGGAGTCCTGTAGCTCAGTGGTTAGAGCACTCGCTTTGCAAGTGAGAGACCTGAGTTCAATTTCAGGCAGAGGGCGAAACCTCGGGCAAGTTTCCTTACTCCACACAGAGCCTAATAATAATCCCTCCAAAACCAAAAACAATAATAAATTGGTCATTTTCAATCTACGACTGTTTGTGGGACATTGCTGTGCGCAATTGGCTGCCGCGTTCACCCACAAAATATATAATAATAATAATCCTTGCATTTGATATAGCGCTTTTCACGTCGGGAGGACGTCCCAAAGCGCTTCACAGAACACACTGTTAAGTGAATTGACTGTATATTTGTGGGCGAACGCGGCAGCCAATTGCGCACAGCAATGTCCCACAAACAGTCGTAGATTGAAAGTGACCAATTTATTATTGTTTTTTGTTTTTGGAGGGATTATTATTAGGCGTGTGGAGTAAGGAAACTTGCCCAAGGTTTCGCCCTGACCTGCCTGGAAAGCAAAAGAAATAGGCTTTGAAAAAAACAATATTTGTTTTATATACAGTCAATTCACTTTACAGTGTGTTCTGTGAAGCGCTTTGGGATATCCTCCCGACGTGAAAAGCGCTATATCAAATGCAAGGATTATTATTATTTTTTCTGTCCTGATTGAGAAATTTGGCCAGTAAAGTTAAATGCTTCCAAATTAAGGTTCACATGTGCACAAACCCCGATATGACAGCATTCACTTTCCAGACACTTTGGAAATTTCAGATTGAGTTGCCTCTTCACGGATGTAGCTGCTCTTTTCCTTCCAGGTCTGTAATGATCACCAGTGATGGTAGTTACCAAAGAGTGTACATGCTGTTGTGATCAGGGTCATTTCATTGCAAAAACCCGTATCATTGCAGCATTAACACCCACAGGCAGCATTGGTGTATTGAATCCAGTGTGACGAAGCTGGAGATTTTCATTTTGCTTTGCAGAGTAAATGAGGATTTGTCTTTGTGATTGCTATCTAGTAACCTCTGCTGGAAATGTGCTTGTACTTATGCCAAAATAAAATATCAAGCTTGGCTGCAATACATTCAAATAGCCTGCTGGCACTCCCTGTTCGGGTTTATTGATTGCTATCTGCCTGACGGGAGCAGACAAATAATCCAAGTTGTATAGAAGCCTGAAACACTGTTACAACAAGAAGCTGTTATGGCGTATTTACTCATTACAAGGTTCGGTTTGGAAGCCACTCAGGAAGGTTATGGAATCCTGTTGCATATTGGTTAGAGAACTTGCCTTACAATTCTAATTAGAATACAATTTTAGGGAAGCAAATTGAGTTTTTAAAAAAAAATTTAAGCTTCCTTTGTAAATCTATGTATCTTATTTATTTTGTTCTCGACTGTAAATGAAATATGTATATATTATTCAAAAAGTATTTTTTTAACACATTTTTCCACAGATTCCCTTCCTGCCTTTAGACTTCAAAGACGATGATGGCTCTGAGTCTGACAAAGATTACAGTACTGATTCAACCCAAGGTCGAGGCTATAAGAGCGCCTTATCTGAATGTGATGCTTCTGACGCTGAATCGGATGCAACTTTGAAACCTAAACAGCAGAAAGGACGTTTTTCACTTCCTTCCAGTGATGTGAAATCTGAAATTCCCATAAAGGCTGATGTGGTTCCTCTGGAATCTGTCCTGTCATCTGATGTGGACCCTGCCAAAGCTGTCCTGTCATCTGATGTGGATTCTGGAAAAAGTATCCGGTCAACGCCTGATGTGGATTCTGGAAAAAGTATCCCCTCAACATCTGATGTGGATTCTGGAAAAAGTATCCCCTCAACATCTGATGTGGATTCTGGGAAAACTATCCCATCAACATTTAATGTGGATTCTGGGAAAGCTATCCCATCAACATCTAATGTGGATTCTGGACAAAATATCCCATCAACATCTGATGTGGATTCTGGACAAAATATCCCCTCAACATCTGATATGGATTCTGGGAAAACTATCCCATCAACATCTGATGTGGATTCTGGGAATGGTATCCAGTCATCGTCAGATGAGGATTCTGGGAAAGGTATCCCGTCGACGTCTGATGTGGAATCTGGGAAGGATATCTCGTCAACATCTGAGGTGGATTCTAGTAACGGTGTCCTGTCCTCTGAAGCAGACGGTGGGACAGCTGTTTTGTCATCTGAAGTAGGTCATGAGAAGGATTTATTGTCTGATATAGATCCAAGGAAAGCCAGGCCACGGTTCGACTTGGATCCTGGAAACACTTCACCCTCGCTGACGTCACCAACAGCACCTCAGGCAGTTAATGAAAGGTAAGAAATTGACTGAGAAAACCCCTTACTCTCTAGATTATAGCTATTTTATACACATTCCATTGTTCCTTTACCAGACATTAGTTCGGTTCCTATCATATATAACTCAAATGACATTGAGCTACTCAAACGTTGGAGGATTTTCATCTAATCCTTTCTTATCCTTTGAAAATGTTAACAATCCAAACTAAGCCTTTTACTTGTATTCAGCATTTCTCATTCATATGCAGCTATAATCATACTGTTGCATGAAGATTGCAATCATTTAATAGGTTGTATTTTTTTAAATATTCAGAAGAACATCTATTATTTTTACAGTAATCTAATGCCTGCTGAAACAGAGTGTGCAAGCAATGATGGCAAGGGTCAAGAGGCCAAGCAAGTACAGCAGGAAAAGAACGACAAAAAATGGGAAGCGACTTTAGAGGTAAGGACACTGAAAGGGGAAAAACGGGCAAAATGTAACTTGTTTTGGCACGACTGCTTGTGGGACACTGCTGTGCGCAACTGGCTGCTGTGTTTTGCTCACAAAATATACAGTCAATTCAATTTGCAGTGTAATACTGTTACGTGCTTTGAGACATTTTAAAGACGGGATAAGGTGATATATCTAATGCAAGGATTATTATTTGTTTGAAGTCAACATAACTGGCATAAATTGCAGGAAGTTAACATTAAAGGAAAGGATCTGGTGGTACAAGTCATCTTTAAAGGCAGAAGCTTCCTAGCAGATTTGATTCTGTGTACTCCAGAAGTGTATGATATGATGTTGCTGTGCTAACTCCTTCTTGGTTTAATTGTCTATCACTTTGGGAGCTCGATCGTGAAGAATGACGATTTTGATGGGATGGCCAGTTGGCAGATATTCAGTACAAGTAGCTATTTACAGAAGAACGATAAACAAGGAAACAGGCTCTTCAGGATTTAAATAAATGTAGTAGTTTTATGCCATTACTGAATCATTGGATTCTGCGCAGTAAAAATACTGCAATTGTCAACTGAACATACTTCTTTAAAAAAATCATTAAACTGGTTATCTTTCTGTAATTGGAAAGAGATAGAGTATGTACACAACATAACTTGCTATAAATTCATCCATTGCATTTCATATAATTCAAGACAGAAACTTAAAACACTGTTTAGTTACTTACCACTGGGATAGTGTTAACCATTCCTTGCATTTTGTAGTCCTCGCAAATCCGCACATTTGGAGATTCAGCTGTGAACTGTAAGTTTTCAGCTTAATGCTTCACATGTGTGTCTGTCTGAGTGAGTGTATATATAGTGATCTCCGATGACACCCTCCCACACAATTTTTTATCAAGCATACAGACACAACCTATGCAAATGTTAACTGAAACTTGTGCGTTAACTTGAAATGCCAAACAACTATCCCCACTTCATTTGAGGGAAACCCGACATGGTGGAAGTTTTGTGATGTAGTCAAATGACATCAGACAACCAAAACCAAAGTGCCCTTTTGGTATTTTTTGGTGACATTTGAAAACCACAAAGTGGGTGTGTGTTTTTTTTTCTTTAAGTGATTCTTTGTGCCCTGCAGTTTCTCACAACATTGCTTTATGTTGCAAAGGCATGCAAAGTCTTACTAATTCTAAATTTCAAAACTACTCCTGTGTCTTCCAATTGAGATGACTAAGTGCCAAGGTCAAAGGTCAGCTCTGTAAGTCTACAGCCACATATCCCTGAAATGATCTTTCTTTAAATATTGAAGATCTTCTTTTGGGTAAAATTATAAAGGTTCTGCACTTCCTCAAATCCCGATCCATTTATCCACAATGAAGGCTTCTACAGAGCACTGTTTCTTTGGAAGGATTCAGTGCAGTGATTGAAAGACCTTTCTCACTAGGTAATCCTGTCCGTAGGAATCTGCATGTCAGCTCTGTTTGAAGTTTACAAGGAGGTAAACAGGGTCTCCTTGGAGCTGAGCCGGTTGCAAGGTGACATACTTGGCAAGAGAGTGGCATTCTCAGTTGTCAAGTTTCCGATCCAGGTGGCTCCGCAGTACATTGGGGCACTGCTGATGACAGACAAGCCAGACTGGCTAAGGGACTGAACTTTGAGGCTCATATTATTGGGAGACTATACTATTCTTCCCACTTGGCTCCTATTAAACCTTCAAACCAAATCCCTAATGGATAGGGTGTACCTAGATGTAGAAGTTGCTGGAAGTTATCCAGGTATTGCTCTCGATGAAGAGCTGTGCGTGTTTTAACTGGTTAAATTCCTGGAATATTTTAGCTGGAATATCCGCACACTAATATTCTCTGGAATTAGGTAAGCAGGGTGTATTCTGTATTTGAGGAAATTACAATGTGTAGGTGGAATACAAATGGGGAACTCTCTGTGGTTTGGATACTCTTTAGCATGTTGATTCACATCCACCTGGCTGATCCAAAAAATAATCACTTGCTGAAAAGAAAAAAATGTATTGTAGAAATAATGTATACCAACACACATTTATCTTGCGACAGTGTTGTCAAAGTCAATTCTGCAATATAAAAGTGAGATTTGTTTCTGGTGGTGGTGAAGAGCAAATTGTGAGAGCGAAGCTGAGGTTTCAACTTGCTGAAACAGCCTTGAAATGTAGTTTAGGTATGATATGGTTAACTGGTCTTCTTCCAGAGATTAAGCAAGATTGGGACTAGTGAAAATGTGTTCTTCACAAATTATCTCCAGGGCTCTGGATTTATTTCAGCAGCAGTGTAACAATATAAATGACAATAAATCAGGTAAGATCGCAGCACTGGGGATATCTGACTAGTTCTGAAGCATCTTGCAATATAAACAGTGCAAAGGTTGCAAATGCTAATTCTTGGCAACATTTGCATTGAGAAGCAATGTTCTGTACTGTGGTCAATTTATCATTGATGTGTATGTTCTGGACTATTTTGCTCGATCTTAAACAGTTAGCTTTTCAGGTTAATAACCTTTTAAGTTTTTCATTGCTGAAATGTCAGTATCCTGCTCACTATCAGTGCAGCACTGTGATCACAAATTTGGAAATTGGTGCTTTGGGCTCTGGATTGTGAACTTCAGAATTGAGCATATGGGAGTGGGTTGGAGGGGTGGATAAAAATTCACTAAAAGCACCCAATTAGCAGAATAGCAGTCCATAGTTACATGCAGCATAAATCCAACTTTACTTTTCTGGAGAGTAACATGAACAGATAATAATAATAATCCTTGTATTTGATACAGCGCCTTATCACGAGGCGTCTCAAAACGCTTCACAGGACATACTGTAAAGTGTAGACTGTATATTTTCTGGGTGAAATGTGGCAGCTAATTACGCACAGCAGTATCCGATATCATAGTATCAGATCCTTTGTGATCAGCAAATTATTGGTTCAATAAAAGAAGTGGCCTAGGATAGGGATTTAATAGGAGCTGAAGATAAAATCCCGTGTTATCAAAGCGAAAATAGTTTTTATTTAAACTGTTTACCGATAAATGTTAAGGCTTTAACATGTCCTGTTTTGTCACAGGTGGAAGAAAGATTGATCAGAGGCAAACTGAAAGAAGCCTCCGAAGCTTTGATTACTTCTAATTTTAGGAGTGCTCAGGAGAGCTACCTGAACGCACTCAATCTAATAAAAGAGAAAAAGGTAAAGTTCCAGTGTGGAGATTTAGAGCGGTAAATATTTGAAGACCGTAAAATCAATCTGTTTTTAAATTTGCAACACCTTTTTCATAGTGAGCGAGTTCTGTCACAAACTATTTTTCACGTCGATGATGAATGAAATCTAATTCTTAGCCGTTAACATTATTTTAAACATTCTGACGAGAGTAACCAGAATTTTTCAAAAATACTAAAAACTTTTTATTGGAGACGGGTGAACACTTACCTCAGTGAGGGAATCTCTCATGTCTGGACAGTAACTCATCACTCTGTGTTCATCTTCAGAGCAGGCAGTTGTTAGCAAGTTTTGATGCTGAAACGGCTTGAAATCAGCTGAGAGAAAACATGATCCGCAGTGCACATTCTTGCATTTGTGACTTTTTGAAGCTCTTTTGATTTAATCCCTTGAGGACGAGTGGAGTACTTTACACCAAAATTCTTTTGAAACAGTTTGTACAGATGTTTCTTATGCTGCTGTGATTCCAGACCTGCATACTTTTCTTGCTCTCTATTGCAGCATAGAAATTAACAGCAATGCTAACAGCAGTCTTGACTTAAAGCCTTGATTTTGAATGGTGCGAAAGGTTAATTTTCAGTACGCACCTCATCACTTTTTATCCTCCTTTCTGCTGTGGGTGAGGGTGCATGGTTTCAGTGTTGGAACTGGCCACTTTGCTTGTGGTTTGATGAAGTAATGAATTTCATGTATAAAGTCTAGTTTTTAAGTCTAGACTGTCACAAGTCTATGATGGCTCTTAGGAAGCAATATAATTTTTTCCTGGTAAACGTCTTCTGAATCATTGACTTAATTTCGTAATAGTTGCTGAGGCTGTGCCAGTGAAGTTGTTATGATGTACACTATTTCAATGCAAATATAACATTCTGGTTACTTTATTCTTTTTTTTTGTTCTGTATCATTTCGGCATGTTTAATTACTTTGGGTTCATGTGTTTTTGTAAACTGAACTCCACTTTGGTCATTTGTTGCCCAACCAGGAGGGTGAAGTGTTTTGAGATGTCCTCCTGACATGACAGACACTCTAAATATATATTGTATATAGGAGTCTGAAGGTTTCTGAATTTCAAAAGATTTTTCCTTACAGGTGTATAATTTGACGACTCTGGAGTACATTATTATACAGTATGCCTGTGGAGTGTCCTTCCTCGGGAAAAACTTAATTCAGGTGAGTTTATATTTTTATATATAGGAAAAAAGAGGGTCTTGCCACAGAGGCCCGTTTTTGTAAAAATTCAAATAGCTGCAAAGAATTATAATTTTGTTTCAGTATTTTTTCCTTATTGAAAATTATAATGGCTATCTTATCCACAGGTTATTTTTTGTTGCAATTTTTAGGAGTTAGCTGTGCTGGCACTCGACCATGGTTGCATTGTTTAAATCCCAGTATAATGAGTACCAGTCTACAAGGTACTAGGGAGATGTATCTTTTACAGTTATCGTTGAAAGGTGAAGGATATGCAACGATTAACCTGCAATCCTGTGGTTCAGGATTTAAGGGTTTCTTTTAGGGTCATTTATTTCAGTTAATTCAGGGCCATTTGATTTCAACGTGTAGTAGGTAGTTTTTCAGAGATGATGAAAATACATTTATTTCAATGGTGAAAATACAGTTGGTTGCAAAGTATGCTGAAACATTGCAACACTATAGCAGGTGTTGTGACACGCTTTGAAAGAAAGGATGCTAATTAACAAATTATACCTCTTTTCCATAGGATATTTTGGAGGCTGAACGGCATTTTATGAAAATGCTAGAAGAGTTGAATGGTGCAGATTTCCGTCACTTCATCTGTCTACCATATTATGGTCTAAGCCGTGTCTACCTCAAGTGGAATAGGTAATACAGTTCAAATCACAAAAGTTGTTGGAGTAAAGGACTATTCTTGCTTTTAACCCAATCTTTCCATGTTTCTAAAAGCAAAATTGAAAGATGAAATAATTGAAATGCTGTAGCATGTGAATTTGGCTTGAGCTCCACATCTTTCCTGATCAGATGGGGATTGATCCAAGGATAAGAGGAGGAAGAGTGTTTAGTTTTTGTACTTTAGCTAATTTTAAGAATCATACATTTTACTTTATCCATTAATCATGTTGTGCACCCACAAAATACCACCACTTCACAGTGCGACGTTTCGACGATGACAATGCAAGGATAATTATTATTATCTTTACTTTTCGTTTTAGACATAAAGAAGCAAGGACAACGCTAGAGAAGTCTCTTGCACTGGTTGACAATAATTTAGTCCCAGGGCTTCAGGTGTGGCCAAGCACTGATACAATTATTGAAGAAACTAAGGATGGAGTACTCAAAGTAAGAAAGCTTCATAATACCTTTTTAGAGTAAACTTGTACACTGGATAATCTAGACCCGTTGTTAAATAACTTAAGGCTGTGTTAGTATTGCTGCACATTTTCAGAATAATGCTCAAACTGGCTATTAAATAAGCTTGTGTTTGAGTAGAACGTTCTGTACCGTGCGCTTCTATCTGGTGAACTTTTCAGCTCGATTCTTGGTAGATAAAGCAGGTACATCATATTCTCTTCTCTGTAATTCTTCTCACCCCAGACTTTCCATCAGCAGAAATGGGATTCTAACCAGGGCATTTATTTAAGCAAAGACTTGCAGCCGTGAAATTCATTTGGTTTGAATCTTTTGCACTATATTTCAACCTAGGAGCTGCTGGACTCCCTTCTTAAAGAGTGTTGGTTCCACCCACGCCCTGATGCCGTTTGTCATTATGAGTTGTGTCATATGCACAACATCAAATGTAATATTTATAGATCTGATCCGGATTTCAAGGTAGGAGTTTTTTGATTTATGCAGTGGTTCATGCGAATGTAAGATTTTTTTGACCTAAAAAGTAAAATTAAATCTAAAACCGTCTTCCCTATGATCGTATCACAAATATCACCAGTATAATGGTTGACGTTATATCCAAATGTTCTTAATCCGAATGTTCCATTCAAGTCAGTTATACATTATATATAATTGATCCGTCATGTTACACTTTTTTTTCAATAATGTCAGATTTGAATCATCTTTTTAATGAAGATGTAAGATGTCAGTTTTGTTCGTAACCCTTTTCCCAATGTTCAATTTACATGTCCTTTCCTTCATTTTGTATCTGAAGGGGTTTGTTCGTGTGCATTGCAGTCAGAATTGTCGCATTGAGTATCACATATACTGCTGGAAGCGCTGCAAAATTAAAGCATTCCAAGACAAAATAGAAAAGGTGTGTACTTGTACATTGTAAATTGTTTCTTCATTTTATTGTATAGTTTGAAGAATTAAGAGGGAGAACTTTTCATTTAGTTATTACAATGTTGATGGGGTAGCACTGGTTAGAAGATTCTAAAAGGTTAAGAAACATAGAGAGTAAGCTGGAGAAAGTGAACTTGTTTGTCTTTTGATGGTCAAAATACTTTATTTTGCCTCCCAAACAGGGAAATGCTCACAAATTACATTTTGCTTTTGTTATAGGAAATCCTTGGCTTTAATTGCCACACACCAGACTGTGTTGGCTGCATCTGGAAAGTGGACATTTTTCAGGATTCTCGTCATAAGATTGTAAGCTTACATTTTTTTCGGTCAGCTGTGCATCTGACACATGTGGAAACCCATTGCCCATTAGAGTCTCAACCTATACAAACTAAAGTAGCCTATATTTGTGCCACCAATGCATGGGAATTTCTGGCATGGAGTATAATTGCACACCGGGAGGACTTTCCAGAGGACTTCCCAAAACATTTTCCAACAGGATTTACTTGTGTGCATTTGTTTGCAGATGTGGCAGCCCAATTGCCCATGACAATGTCCCACAAACTGCCATAAAATGACCAATATTTTTTTGGGGGGCGACTGTTGGCTGGGAGACCGGGAGAAACTTTTCGAGTCTTGACATGGGATCTTCAACGTCCACTTGAATAGGCAGGTGGGACCTTAGTTTAAAGTCTCATCTGAAGCACACCACCTCTGCAGAACTGCATTGGAGTCTCAACCTAAACTGTGCGAGCTTAAAGTCCAGATGTGGAGTTTGAACCCATATCCTTCTGACTTAGAGGCAAGAGTGCTATCACCTAAGCTAGACGCTCTCAGGGGTGATGCACCCTTATGAAAATCTGGAAAGCATCAGGCAATGCTTGTGCGTTGGGGGGCTGCTGGAATTTAACCAGCTAAAGCCACATAGTTTTGGTTTTGCAATAATTTCCTGCAGAGTATTAGTCACCATATTAGTGTTTGCAAGAAAACATCTTTCAGGGGAATTTTAGACATTAGTTTATTCACTCGCTTAATTTAATTTTTCAACATTTATTTAAAGTATTGGATAAATTTACATTTTGTCTTCCCAGATTGAAATTCCAAAGCCGAAAGAAAAGAAAAATAGCCAAAGCACAGGTGCTAAGCAGTCCTCTAGCAAGTAAGTTTCTGAATATTTTTAGTTGCCTGACAATTTTTTGGGTGTTGAAAAATTCAGTATTTCTGTTATCCAGCTTTATAAAGATGTGAATTCTGTTTATGCTTCTCTTTAAATCTATTTTGGGATGCCTTCAAAATAAGATTTTTATTTTAGATATTTCAAAATACATTTGCGACTGGCCAGATCACAATAAAATATTTTGTTTCCATCCTGCACATCAACAAATACAACAACAAAATTACTTTGTATAGCGACGTTCACATCAGAAGGACGTCCCAAGGCGCTGGACAGTCAATGTTTCAAACTGCATTCATGCATTCTTCATAATTCAGAGCCTTAAATCACTAGATCATCCTTGTCGCTTTCTCTGAATCCTGTCCCAATTTGTAGTGTGGTGTCTAAATTGTAATGTCAGAAATTGTGTGGAGAATTCCAAATGTGAGCTCGGTAATAATTTTAGATGCATCTGGGAATTTGGTTAGTGATCAATACCCGTTGACTAGACACTTTGTGTTTAACCAAATGTCACACCCAAATCCTTTCCCACCTGTCCTTTTGTTGAATGTGTACTGCTCAGTATACTTTACTTATCAAAAGTTATATTTCAAGCCTACTCCTTTATCCAGCTGCTGCAATACTCCGTCTTTCTGATCGCTGTCTATTCTTTATGTGTTTTTAAATAAAAGATTCAGTACTGCGGATATAATTAATTAAAAATATTAGCTAAACCTTGATACTGCTAAATGAATTTTGCACAGCTTGACTTATCCAAGTAACAGATGGCACTGGGTACATTTTGATCTGATATTATGAATAAACATGGTAAACAAATAAGTGCATTAAATCTTTTAATGTTGCTTTTAAATAAAACCTAAATGTAGAGTTAGTCATTAAGTGCAAAATAATTCTAACTCCGTGGATGCATAGATTTTACAATGAAGTATGTTACTTTTTTAAATATCTATTTATCCTCTAAAAGCATGAGGAAGATTGGCAGAAAAAAAGAAAAGAAAAAGAATCAAAGTCTTGGAAAAGCACCATCTAACATCCAACAAGAACAGTCTGGTGAGTAATTAACTACCGTTCCATATGGAAATTACTTCTGGTCGATGTCCTTACCTGATGATGTTAATGTTCAGTTTTTCTGTTTCTGGATTATTTGAGGATATTTTCTCAATTGGCAAAATGTAGTTATTTGAGGTGATTGAAATTTCTCCCCCACCTTCCCCAGAAAACTCAAATATTCACAAGACCCAGCATGTGGTTACAGAGAGGGTTCTAACTTCACTGGAAGCAATAACCTTAATGTAATCAGGTCTTGGGCATCAATGGAATGTGGTAGTGAAAAGAAATGGGATTATTTTACCTGGAGCAGGAGGGAGGCAACCATTTGTTTTAATAATTAAGTGGGTGTAAGATTAGATGAGATAACCATGTTACCAATTTCAATATGAAGCACAAAATACTGCAAAAAAAACTGACATTCATTTATGGCACAATCGTTTTGGAAACTAACTAATCTTGCATGATGCAGTTGAAGCCATAAAATGCACCTTTAGGAAACGATCAAGTGACCGATCAAATGTAATCTGATTTGATATTTGATCTAGATCTAATGCAAAATAAAGCTGGGTTGATGTGTTTTTTTCAAATAGATACCTTGAGCAAAAAGACTGATCGAAGTGAACTGAAGGTACAGTAAATCTGACTTATCATTCTTTGTTCTCAGAAACATACATTGCTGTTGAACTCGAGTAAATGTGTGCTGATAACTAACACTGATTCCTAGTAGTAGACAATTAAAATTTGATACTGAGCTTCTCCATTTCATGAAACGTAACGATATTTTAGCTTTTCTGATTAAAGTAGGAGTAAATTCCCTCAGCTGTGTATAGAAAATGGAACAGATGCCATTCAGCAGAGATTCAAAGGGGGGGAAAAAAATCATGGAAAACAAATTAAAAATAGAAAATGCTGGAAACCACAGCTGGTTGATCAGTATTTGATAGAAGCCAATATTTAAGGTTCGACCTTTTCACCCTTGTATTTTAGATTCAGGTAAATCTAGGAACCTTCTTGCCCAGTTATCTCCAGTGAAAGACTCTTAGACTCCGAAATAAGAATCTGTGTTCATCAACAACTTGCCTTTACATAGCATCCTTCACGCTGAATGGAGTGACCCTGTTGAATCCCTTTATTATTTTAAAAAACTTAATTAGATCACACTTCAACCTTCTAACCTCGAGGGAATACAGATTTTTCTGTCAGCTGGCTATCTGAAAAGATTTACATGTGTTTTCAAGTTCGGTTGTTTTGACCTGACTGCTCATGATCAGTGTCTTGATGCTGCAGCACATACTCCGCTGCGCTAAAAGCATAAATCTTCAGAGTTCCTGTCTTCGCTTTTCCTGCTTCATTTTTGTGTCGAGTTGAATATATCAAGAATACTGGGAACGTTTGACATTTGAAAGACCATCAACTTTCATGTATATGGGTCTTTTCCAACCTTCCTCTCATTTCTCTTCTTGACCTGCTACTATTAGGACTTGCTTATTTTCTGAACTGTTTCTTGGCTTTTATAACTATTTTTAGGTGACTCTTGTTTAATAAAAGGTTCCAAATCCTCAAGCTTGTGAAAGTGCCAAAATCTCCGTCTCTACTTTCGACTATCATTGGGTTTTTAAAATCTATGCTCAGCATCATTTTATCACATTTTCTTGTGAATGGACAAATAAACAGTAGGAAAATACCTATTCTGAAGCCATATTTGTACTTGCTGAACACATTCAGATAATTGGCAGTAGACTGCACTTGAACCTAAGAAGATGTACTATTCGGATAGAATCAAAGTCTTCTGATCAGAGCATTTATTTCTTTACTTGTTTTGAGCACGGAATTGCTTTTTCATCTCAACAGGATGAAACCTTTGGAGCCAGAAAGAAAGAAATCAAACCCAAGGTATTTTAAGTCCTTCCTCATTCCTAGTGTTTGCTGTATAAATTTTTCCCCAAAATTAGAGGGAAGTTGCGACCAATGCAAGGATCGTTATCAGCCTCGTTGTAATACGTTCATTATTGTTCCTGCTTCACACTCAAATTCTGACTTTAGGAATAGCTTCTTCTCCCTCCTGATTTTTGCCCATAGTGGATTTGCGTTCTATAAATCATGCAACAGAATTTTGCTGTGTGCAAAGACACAACAGGTTATAAAAAAGCACACCACTTACAGAAAACTCCAGATAACTTAGCCTGGATTAAGTCGTTCGTCACTATCACTTCCAAGTTATCACGCTGTCGATATCCTTCCCATATAAATATGGTCACTCCTCTTAACATGTAATCCGTTGCATTGTAGAAAGCCTTGTGAGTGCTTACAATGTAAAATTCATTGGATAACTCGTCCTATAACATGGCGTCTTGCATCACCTCGCGTGCTGACTATTGTGGGCACTCGGTGGAGGTTGGGCGCACATGTCAGATCGCAGAGGCCTGTGGTCTATTGGAGGGCTGCTGTGTCTTCCCGTCCTATCCTGTGACTGGTGCGGAGACTTAGCGAGCGTTGAGCACGCATCCTCAGATGCTGTGTGCGTGGCGAGCGGGCTGGCTGAGCAAGCGAGAGAGAGCAAGGCTGACCACCCTGGGACCATAAAGTGAGGTCCAAGGGTTAACTCACCACATCGGATAATTCATCACTGGGGCCCTTTTCTCTTTGAATGAAGAGTTATCTAGTTTAATATATTTTAGTGTATGATGTGATTAATCAGTGTGGATACTTGCTTTTATTTTATCCGGTCTGGAGGAATCGGGTGCCAGTCTCTAGACTTTGTTGCAAAGTAATGGGAAGCCAAAGGGGGATTGAAATGATCTGGACTGCTTGTACATTGTGTTCATTATCTGCAAATACTTAATGTCAGCATGAAATGTGGGTGGCACTGCACCGGCCACCTGATTATGTAATACTTCTTTCAGAAGCATATTGTCGTAAATATGTTGACACAGAAATGTATGCAAAATAATTGTTGTTATTGATGCTGTTTATATTTAGTTGCATTTTGATACTTTCAGATTGCCAATTTTTATTGTAAAGTTGGTAAATATTTGTGTGGCACTTGATTTACTTTGACAATTCTGATCTATTCCATCTTCCCTCCTTCCCCCCCTCCCCCACACTTTTTGCTCCACTTCCGACATTCAGAAATTTTCAGGCCCTTCAAATGAACGGATAAAGAATGACAAAAGCTGGTAAGAATCATTTCATATTGGAAGGCAATTGTACAAATATGGAGAAGGTTTGCAGGAATCCTAAACCATTCCTGAGTTTATTCTTAGGAACACATTTAGCTGCACCCTACTCTAGGCAAATGATTTACTCGAGTCGGAATATCGCCTTTTTTTTAACACTACATTGAGCACATTTTCAGCTGTACGTCAAGCCGGTGTTCTGTTTTTTTTGCTTATTATTACCTTTCCAACGTTTTTCCCCCAAGAAAGCCTGCTTCTCCTAAGCCAAAACATATACTTGTACAGTTTGGCCCAGAGGCTTCAGGTTCCTTTCACTTGATTGATAAAAGTTAATTGGTAAAAGCCTACAATTTCAGCCAATCTTTGGCAAATAAACTACTGCAAAATAGGGCTTAAAGTTTACAAAGTAGAATTGCTATGAAACCAATCCCAGCACTAGGACACTAAGTGGAACAAACCACTCCCACCCCCCACCTAAACACATTCCATTCCTAATCAGTGTTTTGGGGATCTCACAAGCATTATCCCATTGTGTTGTCGAATTTAGCACTGAATAATTTAGTTAATTGGAAATAAATGTGAATGGGTTGACATTTTCGTGGGTGATAATTTGCATACCTATTTGACTTTACTTGCAATAAGGAACATGAATGTTTTGGGAAATTCCACCGTTGAAAAATTCTTCATGAGAGCTTTTCAATGGCATGTTAGCACATCCCTGAAGTTGGCCCTCGTCAGAAATGTAAATGTGATGTTAAAACTCCCAATTTATTTCCATTTTGTGCTGAATCAAATGCAAGGATTTTTAAAAATTATTTTCTGGGCAGAAAGTGCTTCAAATCAAGATTGTTGTCTTGATACCATTGGTACCATTGATGTGACCACTTTGAATCTCCTTATTTCTGAAACTTTTCCTGACGGTGACAGGAAAACCTATTTCAGTTCACTGCTGATCACCTATTATTTGAAAGAGAATGGATATTGGATATGGTGTAAAAGCAGTGGTGTAAAAACCGTGATTTATAAATTGTATAGTCGTCTAAGTTGTACATTCAACCAATTCCCATTCAGTTTTCTATCGAAACCACTTAGATTTCTTTGCTCGACTCATATTAATCATTTCTGAACTCGTACTTCTGCTCCCTTACCCTCGATTACTCCCGCATTTACCAACAGAAAATATCATTTCGACTTTATGAGCCTTTCCTTTCACACTCCAAATCCACAACTAGGAGACTCAATGTGGGTGACACAAGGGATGCCTTTGTGGGAAGAGAAAATATCAATATTGATGCTGTAGATGGTGTCATTGTGAGGGCTGAGACCGGCGAGAAACATGTTTACTGTCTATCGGCCTGTGCGTGACCTGCTTTTGGGCTGATTTGTGATATTGGCTCTTTGCTCGAGTGCTTAGGTTTGACTGATTTGGACTGGGATCCACCTCCTCAGCAAGTCGGCTTGAATAACTTGAGTTGAAAGTTTAGCTGACATTCCATTTTTCAAAGCTAGAAATAATCGGGACCAAATCTGTGTTGAATTACTTCTTTACCCAGAGAGTGGTGGGAATGAGGATCTTGCTACCACAAAGACTAGTTGAGGCGAATAGCACGGATGCATTTATGGGGAAGTTAGATAAGAACATGAGGGAGAAAGTGGAGCGTAAACCAGTTGGGCCGAATGGCCTGTTTCTGTGCTGTATATTCTATGTAATTCTTCAGTCATTATAACTCTTTGAAATGACCTTCCTGCACTTAATCTTTCAGCTCCATGTCTAATCTGGATGAAACCAGTTCCGTAGGCTCTGAAAATCTTGATCTCTGTCAAAAGGCACCAAAATGTGAGGAAGTGAAGTTGCGGAGTTCAAGCATCAAAGCCTATTTGGATCATGCTTTTGAGGACCAAATGCAATTATCTCCATTGGGGGTTTATCCGGATAAAAAGAGTAAATGCAACACTAAAGCAAACGGGCCGTCACCAAAGATTGAAAGATTAGCGGATGGTTCATTAACTGCCCACAAGGAGTCATCTGCACCGCATTTCCAGCCTCATTCTCTCAGTGTTCCTCTCCATTCTGGTTTATTCATCCAGGACCAAAAGAAGGATGTTCAGGTTAGCAAACCAAAGCATATTAGTCTCCTGCAAATTTCATGTTAAAATAGCTATCTAACTGAGGAATTCAACAATGAGATAGGAACTAGAAATCTTGCGAACCTGAAATTGATGTGGCTATGAATGACTGGTTGACTTTAGGAATATGGACAAAATTATCATCCTGTTTGAACTCTCCTGGCCAGTCAAATGGTGCCAAAGAATGAATCTTGTGAATTTTAAATAAACAGCTTTTAAAAAAAAAGGGCTTTATGAAGAAGAAACATTTTGGATTAGATTCTACTTTCCTGTGTTTCCAATCATTGAATCGCTCTCAGCTTATTATCTTAAAAAAAAACCTACATGAGATATGTAGAAACCCATTTTTTTCTGCTCCCATAGTAAAATCATTTGTGTATTAAAACATTAAGTGGTGAGTAGTTTTAATAAATTCTCAGTAATTGTATTTCGTACCATTTGAGAATTCTACAGAAAGATGTCATTTGGTTTAAGTTACGCAGTGAGATTGGTGGGAAATGTTCTGGAAATCCCCTTTCAGACCAGATTGTTTTTGAAAAATAAAGGTCACTTTAATTTAAATACAGATTGGTGACTACTATGGTAAAAACTACAGGATTCATTTTACTTCTGAGGGATCTGAAGTTTTAAAACCAGAGAATTTTTTTAAAAAAATATTGTTTTCTCCACCCCCCCCCATCCCCAGATTATATGAAATATATTTTTTTTTCCTCAGAGTACAACGTTTTGCAATGCTGAAGTCCTCACTGACCCAATAAAACCATTTGAAACCAGAGAGGTAAAACTAGAATCATAAAATTCTTTGTTAAATCTCTCTACTGATACTGCACTGTATAAACTGCTGGGTTTTGCTTTCTAGAGAACCTTTCTGCACCTGTATCACGAGAGGATCCAGCTCTTACAGAACTATGAGAAATCGGAAAGACTGTACGTCCGATTAAATTCTGAAAATCCATTTGAAATCCAAGCCTCAAAAGAAAAGCATGAGCAGCTTGTGCTCAGGGAGGAGGTCAGTGTCATTTACTCTGATATAACTGGTGCTGGTCTTGTACTCTATTTTGGGTATTGTCCAATATCGATTTGCTTCAGTTGTTCCTGAATAGAAGATGTTCATCCGAAGTTCTGTGTTTCCCCCATTGAGCAGTGAACCCCGTAAACAGCAAATTTCTTTCCATTGAATTCTCCTGTTCTCTTGGTGTGGATGCGTATTTGGAACACACCATTATAAAATGCACACATCTCCCTCTCTCCCCCCCCCACTTCCGGCTCGGGGTCGTGCTCAGCCACTGTCAAGCGCTCTACGATGCTACCCAGCCTGAGAGACTCTATAAATGCAGGTTGTTGTTACTTGGGTACCAACCCTATTTGGTTTTGGCAATGAGTTTCTACTTGTAGCCATCACTATAAAGCTATAAATTACGATTTAATTTTCTTTTGCAAATCCCAGAAACTGAACTGAAGCGCATTATTCCAGTCCTATTATAATGCACGTAACTGTACAGTCGTGTGAACTTGCTTCTAAGGCTGTTGCATAAAGGTAGCATGCTGACTTCTTACAGTCTGGTTCAAATCTATGTGCTAAAATGGCCAACCTCATTAGGTGAGTTGGGGAGAGCTATGAGCTTTTCATTGCACAAAACAAACGCATGTGGTGCATATATCGGGTCCAGGCAGAAACAAGAAATTCTAGTATTCGTTTTGAAAATGGAGTAGCAATTTTTGAGATCTGCAGAAATAAACACAATACTATTGAATGAGAGGAAGTTATTGTTATTGAAGTTATTGTGTTTCAAGCATAAAGTCAGGGACGGGTTGTTAGATTAAAATCTTGTGAACCTCATTGTAGCTTTTGTATGTGTCACAGCAACTTTTCTTCCCAATACTGTCTTTTTCTAAAATATGTACTACTGCCTCTATGTAATAGAAACTGAGAGAGAAATTCACAGCAGCAAAACTGCAGTTGGAAGAAACGAAAGAGAAAATGAATCATAAAAGAAAGCTTCAGTTACAAGAACTCTGCGAGGCACAGGAAAGGTTTAAATCTGTGAAGGATAATTGTGAAAGGTATGGAGTGTTTATAATTAAAATCCTGCCATTTGATATAGTGCCTTACAGCAACAATAGGGATTGTTGGCTGGGGCATCCAGAGGAGCTCCTCTCCATCCCGCAGTCCTTCTGCCTTGCCCCCTCCCTTACCTCCTTCAAGACCTGTTTCAAGACCCTCCTCTTCGATCACCTTCCTTTCTCCACCCTCCCTGATCCCCAGCTCGGATCCGAAAAACTGATTATCCAATGGCTTGGGACGATCTCCCGATCTGAAAGGTGCGACACATATGTAATTTTGTTGTTGTTACTTAATGCCATGGATTCTTTAACATCCATCCAAAACAGACAGGACTTGGTTTAACATCTCCTTAGAAAGATGGTGCCTCTGACTATGCATCGCTCCTTCAGCGCAGCATTGGTATGTCACTCTGGACTATGGGTATAAAGGTGCAACCTGGGATTTGAACCTACAAACTTCTGTTTTAGAATAATGGTACCATAATGCTACCAGCTGAGCCAGGGTGACCGCTTTTATCATCACTTGCTGCCTAAACTTGCTGGTCTCATTTGAGAGGCTGCTCTGGGTTCTGTGTATGATGATAACTGATTTATCTGCTTAAGTTAAGGCCTGACTTTGGGAATGCTATGTACTGTATGTTTGACTGTTGAAAAATCTGTTAAAATTGTGAGGGGAATGGGAAGAGAGCTCTGCTGTCCAGACAAGCTTTTCCTTTCAATTGGAGTACGCTAAGTGTATTTGGTTAGTCCAAAGAGCCTCCTGCACTGAAATGTTCAATGAATTGAGAACGTGAGCGAAATTGTGAACATAATTACCATATCATTTTGCACTAAATGTGTTGTTTGCAGAATGAAAGCATTTCACATCTAGCCAAGTGTGCTACAATACTTTTTTTTTCTTTTTAGTAACAGGAAACATATTCAGGAAAAAGATACACAAATTCTGAAGCTGAAAGAAGAGATGCAGAAAGAAAGGTATTCTACTGGTTGCCACTGCACACCCACAATGTTAAGAAGTGTGCATTTAATGTTGGCGTATTATAATTGGGTAATCCAGCAGATAAAAATACATTGTTCCTTGTTCATTCAGTCTATAGATAAGTAGACTTCAATCTAAACTTGGGGAAATCTAGGGCAACACAGTTCCTTCAAAGATTTAGTATTGTACAACCACTTGCATTTATATAAGAACCCCTCATGCAGGGTAACGTCTCAGTGTGTGTGTGTACAGGAGCCATATTACTCTTGGTGTCTTCCCCACCACTACTTTATTCCTTCTTTATTTCGGAAGGGTGGCTTAGTCCTGCCCTCGCCAGCTTCTCTTTAAAGCAAAGCAGAAGTACAAAAAGTGGGAAAATAAATAAGGAACTCATTTGTACACAATTATTAAACAAAACTGTTCCAAGGCGCTCTCCTCCAGCCTCATTGGAAATTTTCTAATTTTCCCTCCTAATGGGAAACTTAAAGTAACTTCCCGTTTTTATATGGTGATCACACTTCTTTCAAACAATAAGGTTGTAGGTTATTTAATGTGATATTTGTACTACATTTTATACACTAAATCTGCATTCATGTAGAAATACTGTATGAATTTGGGCTGAATAGTAAATCACATGAGCCTCAGACTACTTGGAGAGGAATGCTCACTGCTGGTTATGTTGACTGACAATGGTGAGCGATCCAGTACATTTTTGTTAATATTTCAATCACATGCACAGAACTTTGAAATCAGGAATTATTTTTCAACATCCCCATAATCCTGAGTCTTGGGAAGTATTGACGGGGTTTCCAACTCCATGTTGCTTTACTGCTTGAAGCCATTTTACTTTACTGTATTTTATACACTACCAATGTGGAAAAATATTGGAACATTTAATTTGATGAAACAAAGGTGTCAGTAAAACTGCATTTTCACCATTAACCAGGGGAGAACAGCTGTTAAACATACCAAGCAGAGCAATATTTTAACCCTGGAACATTCTTACTTGTGTAAATATGATAGTGTTAGTCTTTGGGATATCTGTGCCTAAGTGTGGGTGTCACTTATTGATATTAGGGCCAAATGGGCACGGGATAAGAAGAAATTACAGAAAGTTCTTCACAAGCAAAAGGAAAATTGCAGAGATTCAGCAAACAGAATACATTCTGCTGAGGTAGGTGTTTGAATAATAGATTATGGCAATGTCTGTGCAGCCATCTAAGCTGGATGAAATTGATATTTATCACTTATTACAATTTCACACTTATTCTTGAATAGTGAATATGGTTCATTAGATGATCACCTAGCAGCGATACTGTATTATAATTTAGTGTATTCTACTTTGTACAATAAAATGCTCAAAACCTAGAGATTAAAAAAAANTGTTATCCTCATTTGTGAGACTTGGAGGTTTAGACTTTTCCTTTTACCTGTTAACCAAAGCTTCAACATGTTAGGAGCGTTTCACCTACAAAATACAGTCAATTCACTTTACAGTATATTCTGTGAAGCGCTTTGAGACGTCTAGAAGACGTGATAAAGGGCTATATCAAATGCAAGGATTTTTATATCAATCAGTCAAGTGTTACTTAAGCTTCTCACTGGGGTTATTTAAAGGGAGTGATGCTGTCCTTCTGATCCTTCTGGTCCTTCTGATTTCATTCTCTGTACCACCAATTACATTTAATGGTAAGGTGAAACTAGATGTGTGTATTTTAGCCAGAAAATAAATGACATTTTTCTCACTTCTTGAAATTGAAGTCTTTATAAAATGTGGTTAAATGGAGATCAGACGAAGGAATAAGAAAATCTGGAGAATGTTTTCAGATACTTTGTATTGCATATTTTAATGTATGTTGCAGCCCAATTTCAGTATTTAACATGTTATATTTCATTCCATTGCCTGGTGTAGGTTCAGACTTCTGAATGGATGAAATACATAGAGTTGCACGGACCCAATCATTTGCTGAAGGAGGCTGGTGGAAATATGAAGCTTTATTCTACGCAGAACGCACAGTAAGTGTTTGAAAATTACAAGAATGTACTTCAAACAGATCTCGCCGTCTCATGCTGTACAAAGCCAGACTTGGAGAGTCTCAGAAACATTATTATTAGAATCGATAAGGTTTGTTAAGTGACTTCCATGCACCATGAAGGTTTTTTTTCCGCCTCCCCTTTGAAAGGAAGCAATACTCTTTTGATGTGCACAGAGATAACCTGTCCGTATAGACCAAATACCATGTTTCTTACAAAGTACAATATCAATCTTTTACCAAACGGAAGATAGTAAATTCCAAATGGATCTCCTTTTTGTTACTACTTGATGAGGCAGGGCCATTAATTTAAAACACAAATAAGATATTTCATATTTTATAAAACTCTAGCAGTTTTGAAATGTAAATTCTTGTAATTTTTTTCACATTTACATAGAAATATTGTTTTTTTGGATGCTGCTGGTGACGTGAGAGAGAAAAGAATCAAAGAAATTCAAGGACAAATCAATGTAAGTTTCCTTTACTATCACATAATCGGACTCGGGTGACTAATCTGAGGGATTACTCAAAGCCTATCATTTCTCCCACAAAAATATACAGTCATTACACTTTACAGTATATTCTGTGAAGTGCTTTGATACGTCTCGAAGACGTGATAAGGTGCTATATCAAATGCAAGGATTATTATATAAACACTACATTTTACTCTGATGTAATTTGAGATGTGTAGACATTATTAGCAACGTATCAAATAAAGAATTCTTTATAATTGGATCTGAGTATTCTTCCAAACTTCTCAGTCAAAGATGTACTATAAAGATATGTAGCCCTGGATTTCATAGAATTTGATTTTACTGAGCATTATATTTTCATTTAGGCTGCTACAGCTCTACCACAATACAGTGATGGAGAGTCCTACGGTACATCTTCCAGCAATTTAATATCATCCTTGTATAAGTCTAAATTTCAAAGTTCTAACTATTCTGCAAAACAGCAAAGAGCTTCAGCATCTCCAACACGATTGGACGTGAGCAAGCATGTTGTATTTGGTGGAAATTCTGCACCCTCGGAAAATAGCTGGATTTTACCAGGATCCAAACCTGCTTTCCTTAGGCTTGACGGAAGTGCTTCATCTTCAGTGGGAACAGACAAAGACTCCTACACATCAGCTGCTTGGCTTGCTAATCGTGCAAAATCTCCAAATGTGCCGCCAAACTTGGCCGTTGATCATTTGGACTATATCCAAAATCCTGAACGTAGAATGAATTATAGGATGTCTGCTGGTCAAGAAAGATTACTCCTCGACACATCTGTTCAGTTTTCAAATGGTAGACAGACTGGTGGTTTGGAAATACCAAATTCCTCTCTTTCATTTGAAACAAAAGAGAAAATCCCAGATATTTCCCTTTCTACATTAACCACACATGAGCCTGGAAATCATCAGAACCATTTGTTTGAGACTTCTGTGCCAGGAGCCAAATCCTTTGATACAGAGTTAACATCTTTACAATCTGTGCCACCGGGCATGAAGAATGAGGACTTTCAGATTTTACATGGACAAATGTCATTTGGTGGAGTTGAGCATACATTTCCTGATGCTGTTTTAAGAACATCTACCAGCAACATTACAAACGATGTTGGCTTAACCAAACTTACAGAACCAAGATCATCTTATCATGCAGTAATGGAACAACTTTTCTTCCAATTCCCTGGAACAAGCAAGTAAGTTTTATACTTATATCGGAGTCCTGTAGTTCAATGGTTTGGATCACTCGCAAACGAGAGACCTGGGTTTGATTCCCGTGAGGGCGAAATGTTGGGCAAGTTTCCTTACTCCACACAGCTCTGCTTACCTAGTAGTAAGTAGGATCCCGGTTGTTAGTCAATTGGTGGATTGCTTTTATGGGGGTAATAAGTCCTTCAAAAAAAATAATAATGAATTGGTCACTTCAATCCACGATTGTTTGTGGGACACTGCAGTGTGTAATTGGCTGCTGCGTTTCGCCCACAAAATACAGTCATTTCACTTACAGTAAATTCAGTGAAGCGCTTTAAGTCTCAGACATGATAAGGCATTATATCAAATGCAAAGGATTATTATTGTCTTTCTCTAGATAAAGCAACCCAACTCGATGCTGAGAAAAGTACTACAGCTTCAATTTGCCACCTTCCAATGCTGGACATCATTATTAGTCATCTCTTGTCGTTAACCTCAGAAATGCCCTTTCATTTTTCGTGTTCAGGTCCTACTGCTAAGGCGTGTTCACCATATGGATGATTTTGAGCAAAGGGATTGGGAAATTTTGTGTTGGTGTCAGTCTGACTCAGCTGTTGCACTCTCGCCACTTGAGTCAGAAGATTGTGAGTTCAAGCCCCACGTTAGGAACCCATGTAGTCTTTGCTGATACTCCAATGCAGTTTTGCAGTTCATCTGCATTTTAAGAGGTAACATCCTTTGAATGAGATGTTAAAACGTCTGCTGTTCAGGAGGATGTTAAAGATCCCATGGCACTATTCAAAATGAAGTTTATCCCAGTGTCTCCAATAAAATTGGTCACTCAGTTAATGGTTGTTTGTGTGCAAATTGACTGCTACTTTCACCCATAAAATACACTGTTTTACAGTATATCTGTGAAGGGCTTTGAGACTGGTCTCGACCACCGTCTAGACTTGACCCATTCTTGTAGACTTAAATCCAAATGGGAGCATCTTTCAAAAGCAAAAACCACTAAAATGTATTGAAAAATAAGAATGTAAGGTTGCTCATGGAATACTATTTTATTCTGAATTAATGGTGTGAATAATTTCAGATATACCTGACTGCAAAGTCTTAGGGAACTTGTAACAGCTTCTCACCCCCAGAAATGACCTAATTTTGTTAGATTTCTTGTAATTTGTTGGTAAGATGTAGTTATTAGCAGCATGAGTCTGATTAATTTGATCTTGTTTTTGTGCTCCAGAGATGTATTTCATTCGTTCATCAATAAAGTAAAGGAGGAAAATGGTGGCACGCTGTCAGGATTGTCTGTTGATGATCTTGTGAACCGTGTCTCTAACCAAGTTATCCAGGGCACATCCCACAGAGAAATGGTAAGTTATGCAGTGCAGGTGATTGCTGGATTCACTTTCATTTTTGAAGGATATCAATGTTTTGATTTTTAACAATTATTTGGCTGGAAAAAATGGGTTGCATAAATGGTGTTAGCTTTTCTAGTGTCTGAGCATATCTTTTAGAGGGAATAATCTCAATTTGCTTCTGTTGTCAATAATTCTAACCATCGATCAAATTGCTGAAGCTAGTACAGTACATGTTGGGCTGTGGGAACTTACACAAATATTTCAAACAGCTCATTTTAATTTAGTGATGGTCACCATAAGGTCTTGTGGACAATTCTTTACTTCAGTTGTGCTCTGGCCCTTCAAGCATGTATTGACTCGATTGTTTTGTTTGTTGTTGTCTACTTTTCAGGCATATCAATCACCTGCACAGCGCTCATCGTATATCCCCTCTCCGTACAACAACACTTTCTTCACCACCCTTCCTGGTCTGCAGTCCTTGCAGACTGATTCATCAGGGACACCACCAGATCGGTTCACTGGCCTCGCAAACTCGGATCCTTTAGGCCTTGAAACCTTGCCTCTGGGTGACTTACTGGAACTAGAGTGCTCTTTTGATTGTTTGTAGCAATGTGCTCTAACGCATATTAATTTAGAAGGCAAGCTGGTCTGTATGTCTCCGTGACCCGCATCGGGTTAACCCTGTATCCTTTTACTGTGAATTCTGGAATTGCAGTCCACACATTCTATTACAAAAAACAGTATGTCTGTATCTGGCTTCATCATGATACATTTTTCTCATTATAGTACTGAAAAGGTGTAAATCTGAGTTAATTGGTGGTGCTCTGATCTCTGAGTCAGATTTTGGGTTCAAACCCCATGTAGGGACTTCAAGCTCATTGTGTGGGCTGGTTCTTCAATGGAGTGCTGTATTACTGGAGATGCCATTCATCAAATGAGATGTTGAGTCCTGTAGCTCAGTGGTTAGAGCACTCGCTTTGCAAGTGAGAGACCTGAGTTCAATTCCCGGCAGAGGGCGAAACCTTGGGCAAGTTTCCTTACTCCACACAGAGCCTAATAATAATCCTCCAAAACAAAAACAATAATAAATTGGTCATTTTCAATCTACGACTGTTTGTGGGACATTGCTGTGCGCAATTGGCTGCCGCGTTCGCCCACAAATATACAGTCAATTCACTTTACAGTGTGTTCTGTGAAGCGCTTTGGGACGTCCTCCCGACGTGAAAAGCGCTATATCAAATGCAAGGATTATTATTATTATTATTAAACCCAGATCTATCTTCCCGTTCAGGTTGATTCCTGGCTACACTTCTTTTTCTACACGTGTTTCACAACGAAAAGATGGAATGCTGTGTAAAAATAAGGATATCAATTCATGTACTTGGGTTTGGTTATATTTAATAATAAACTGATACGTCGTCGATACATTCCATACATGTTTATATTATTCTTCAGGGTATTCACTCATTCCCCACGGATTCCCTTTTCAGCCTTGAACTGATACCGTTCCTCATTCTGTGAAGATTCCAATACAGAATATCTGGTATTTTGCCCTTTTTATGTTTTGGCTTATCTTATCCACATCTTTTCTCATAACCTCAAATCTTGTCCACTGTATCTCAAAATCCACCCCAACATCTGATGTGACTGCTTTGATGGGGATGGGCTCAAAAATCCTCAATTGTCCATTGATTTTCCACACGGCAATGGGTAGTTTCTTGTAAATAGATGCGACTTTGTGACTGGGGAAAAGAAACTGCTTTAATTGTCAACAGAGCTATTAACGTGATGCAGACTGTCACCCACTTGCATTCCTTACTCTGAAAGATTTGTATATGATCAGTATATAATAAAGAGGAAATGATATTTTTGGTAACTTAAGTTCCCCTTTTTCAATGATCTGTAGGAAAATAGGAAAACCAACTATTCAGCAAACAAAACTGATGCAATATGTTTGTGTGCATTTTCTGTCTGAATTGGTTGCCTAGTGGTAAATACTGCTGCATTTTTGGAAATCTTACCACAACTTTCCAAATAAAAGTCTGCAAATGCTGGACATATTTTTAATGTTTTTCAAATTACACGTTATGCCTGATCTGTGTTTTGAACACTGTGTACGTACCCTGATGAATTTTCTAACCATACGGAGCAAAAATAATTGAAATATCTCCCCAAAATATTAATATCATTTTTAAAATTCCCTCCAGTATTGTTGCAACCCCTTTTGAAGGCATACACTTGTGTTACCTCTAGTACCTTACATAAGTGAGGTAATGTAACAGAGCTAACAAAATAAGGTAAGGTATTGGAGCTAATACATATTCTTCACGTGACTTCCAAGTAACTGAGTAGTTCTGGTGCACTGATGGGGGAGTCTCCAATAGCTTGTGAACTGTTGTATAATTTAATTTTGTTGACTGGCTTAACATCAGTGACAGTGACTTCCATTCTTTCAATGACTTTCAATACCTCCGATAATGGGTAGGACGATCCCAGCTGAACACGCAACAACCACAACAATTTGCATTTATATTGTTACAGGCATGTAGTATTGACCAGTCGCCACATGCATTGGAAACGCATTGAATCTCGGAAAATGAAGTTCTGCTCATAAAGCGACAGGTCTGTGCTTCGTGCGATTCAATGCAACAGGACGGTAAGTATGCATGTGGTGACTGGTCAGGTCGCCATTTGAGGTAATGGCAGGTAGGGGAGTGGCGTTACAAGTTGGAGAATAATTAATCCGATGAATGCAAAGAAATTCAAGTGTTGATAAGAAAATGAATGGGACTCGGGTGCATATACGGCTTAAGCGATTGTACGATTTATAAAGCTGAGACTTGTAGGAGTTTTACTGTACTTGTGAGGATTAGGGGAGAGCTTGCCAGCTGCCTATCTTCCAGCCACTCAGATATATTTGATAATGTACCAGGAACTGATAACTTACTGAATTACCTAGAAAACCAGGAACTTTTTCTCTCTGCGTATTTCGAAATCTAACTTTCCAATGTGATGAGGACTAACAAACCGAGAGTCATGTAGGTAGTACAGCGGTTAAAATTTGTGGAGGTCGAAAACAAATTTATTAAAATCATCCTGACAAGTCAAAAAAATATTATTGTGTGACTCATGTCCTACACAAAGCTTGAAACTTATTGCCATTTCCAATGAGTGTACAGTTGGTTGTAACTTTCAAAGTATGACTAATTCTTAACACTTGCTCATTGAATAAGATGTTGTCTATTCTTGTATTTTCTTGTTTCTAGGTATGAAACTGATTTTTCGTGCAGTTTCTTGTATGATACTGTAAGTCATTACACAGTGCAATCAATCTGCCTAACAAATGTCTTAAGTTTATGTTAAATTGCCAGATATTGAGGAGACATCTCTGGAACATTCTTGCTGCCCCAACACAATGTTGTCATTTCCCAAACCAGTTACCCTTATATTCCATCTTCAAACCTATATCCATTGAAGCACTTTGAGAGGTAAAGTGCTCCAGAACGCCCTGATAACACGATAAGACACTATCAAATCCAAGGATTATTATCATTGAAAATAATTATGACAATTGATTTTGATTGTAAAACATTTTATTGAAAAGTTTCAATGTTACAGGCGTTAGGGCGTCCTTTGGAATCGCTCCCCGCTGACTTAATGAGTTCCTCTTCCCTCAGTCAGCAGACTCCGCCACTGCCTCACCCACGCATTGGTCACCTCAAGGCTCGATTATGGAAATTTCCTCCTCATCGGCCTTCCCAACTCTTCCCTTCACAAGCTACAGATCATCCAAAACTCTGCAGCTCGTGTCCTCTCGCCCACCAGGCCACATCACGTGACCACATCACTCCCACCCGACTCCACCCGACTCCACCGGCTCCCCATCCCCCAGAGGATCGAATTCAAGATCCTCGTCCTCATTTTCAAAGCCATCCATGGCCTTGCCCCCTCCTACCTCTCTGAGCTGATTCCCTACCAACCTGCCGCTCCCTCCATTCATCGGGCTCCGACCTGCTCCATGTCTCCCGCCCTACCATTGGTGGTCGGGCTTTCAGCCTCTCTGCCCCCACACTCTGGAACTCCATCCCACAGTCCCTTCTCCTCCCTCGTCTCCTTCAAGGCCGGTCTGAAGACCCTTCTCTTCGATCGTGCCTTTGGTCTTCCTCTCACCTCTCCGCCTTCCCTCACCCCTACCCCATGCTCAGGTCCTGACCCCCGACTGTCCAGCGCCTTGGGACGTCCTCCCGACGTGAAAGGCGCTCTCTACAAATGCAATTTTGTCGTTGTTGATGTTAAGGAGCTCCTCCCCTCAATGACTCTGAATAAGTCCCTCCCCCAAGAGGCCCCCCCCCCTATGGAGATCTCCTCCCCCCCAGTGGACTCATCTAAATGATCTCCTCTGCCCAGTGACTCCCCCACCCCCCACTCTTAACGAGCCCCTCCTCCCCAAAGCTCCTCCCCTCAACGAGCCTCTCACCCTAGAGGCTCCAACGCTCAACAAGCCCCTCCTCCTCCCCTCAATGAGCCCCTCCTCCTCCTAGAGGCTCCTCCCTTCAACAAGCCCCTCCTCCTAGAGGCTCCTCCCCTCAACGAGCCCCTCACCCTCGAGGCTCCAATGCTCAACAAGCCCCTCCTCCTCCTAGAGGCTCCTCCCCTCAACGGGCTCGTCACAGTGACTCCTTCCCACTCGTGAGTGTCAGTCAGTGAGCTCCTCCCGGGCGGCAGGTGGCGCTGCTGCTGCGCCTTTTCCTTCCCCCGTGTGTTTTGTGTGTGTGTGACCTTGATGCCCGTCGGGATGTAAACAGAACCGGGGTCGGGAATCGGCCGAGCTCTGGAGCGGGGTGTGGGGAGGGAGAGACCGGCTGCAGGAGCTGAGATGCTGCGGGCGGCGGAGCGGGAGAGAGCGGCGGCGTCGGCGGGCGAGGAGGGCCCAGCACCGGGCCCAGCAAGTGGCTGGGCCTCGGGGCCCTGCTGCTGACCGGCCTCCTCCTGCAGCAGCTGCTGCTCAACGTCTGGCTGCTGGGCGCTTGGCTGCTGGTGGCGCTGCTGGGCGGCTGGCTGGGCGCTCAGCTGGTGCTGGGGGCCGGGAGCCCGGTCCACCTGGAGAGGTTCATCCGGCTGGAGGCGCGGGGAGGAGGGGCGGCGGCGGCGGCGGCCGGGTCCGAGGGGGCGGCCTCCTCCCTCCTGTCGGCCGAGATCCAGGCCACGCTGGGCAAGATCGTCCGCGACTTCGTCAGCTCGTGGTACCGCCGGGCGGTGAGCCGCGAGCCGGGCTTCGAGCGCGAGGTGCGCGAGGCCCTGCGGGCGGCCGCGCTCGAGCTGCAGGCCCGCGCCGGGCGGGCCGACGGCAAGGCCGTGGCCGGGGGAGCCCTGCGGCTGTGCGGGCGCCACCTGGAGCGCTACGCGGCGGCGGTCGGGCGGGCCGGGTCGGCGGGAGACACCGAGGCGGTCTGGCGGGCCTACCTGGGAGCGGCCGGGCGGCTGGACCCGCAGCCGCCTCACGAGGCCGCGGTCGGCGGCCCGGCGGCCGAGCTGCCCCGCGCGCGGGCCACGGTCGAGCTGCTGCTGCGCGCGCTGGTGCCGGCGCCGCAGCTGCGCAGCCGCACGGGCCGCCTGCTGGTGCGCGAGCTGTTGGCCTGCAACGTCTTCCTGCCCCTGGTCGGCAAACTGAGCGACCCCGACTGCCTCAACAGCGCCATCGTGGGCATGGCGGCCAAGAGGGGTAAAGGCGTGCGGGGTGGGGGGGGAGGAGGAGGAGGAGGAGGAGAGCAGCAGCAACAACCACCACCACCCCCGCCATCATCATCTTCATCATCGTCGTCGTCGTCGCAGGAGCAACCGCCGCAACAGCAGCATCGTCGCCTTCTTCAACCGGAGCGACGACAACAACAACAACAACCGCCGCCCTCTTCGTCGTCGTCATCTTCGTCGTCATCATCGCAGGAGCCGCCGCCGCCACAGCACCACCGGCGTCTTCTTCCTCAACCGGAGCGACAACAACAACAGCCGCAACCGCAACGGCAGCAGCAACAACAACAACAACCACCCCACCACCGCCACACCGACAACAGGATCACCGTCCACAACAACAACACCCACAAAAACATCAACAACAACAACAACAACGGCAACCACCCCAGCAGCCGCCGCCGCCGCCTTGCCCGGCCAGAGGTGCCCGCCTCCTTGCCGTTGATCCCCGAGGGAGGGTACGCCGTCCGCGAAAGGACACCCACCCCCAAGCCCGCAGACTTGCCGAGCTGCTCGCCCGGAGGGGGGCCCAACGCGGGCGGCCACGGGGAGCCCGTCGGGGACGGGGCCGGCGATTACCGGCAGAGGCCGGATAAGTTGACCTTGTTCTATTCGTGCGAGGAGTACGACCCCGACGACTCTCCCCCCTTTTCGGACGCGAGGAAGGACTCCGCCGATTCTACGGCGCCGCCGACGGCCGAAGAAACTCTTGCGGAGAGGCTGGCGCCCACCGGACTGTCTCAGCCTTTGGAGACGGCAGATGATGGAGGCGGAGATGAGCTGACCACCGCTGGTCAATTAACCGTTTCGGACACGGACGCCGCGAGCGCGCCATCGTTTGACCAGAACCCGGAGTCCGTGGGGTTTGAGAATGCGTCCGACGAGGACGGGAAGGATGAAATCTTTTCCAAGTTGGCAGCTTCTTCCACCGTATTGGCCCACGAGACCATCCGGATTCTTTCGCGACAGCAGTCGTTTCAGGAAAAGGAGTGCGTTCCATCAGACAGTCCCACCAGTAACTCCTTGGACGTCCATTCCGCAGAACTCGCACATACCTCCTCGCCCACGGGACTGAATCTGCCCACGTACGCCTTTGACCCACTTTGCAGCCCTGATACGCCTGTGGTCATTCAGAACTTGAGAATTTGTGGAACCATCACAGCAAAGGAACACAGAGGCGGAGGGTCACACCCTTACACTCTCTACACTATTAAGGCAAGTTGTTGCCGTGGTGGAACAGCTCGCTATTGAATACGCAATTATAATATATAACAGTAATCTTTGCATTGTTATGGGGCCCTTATCACATCGCCGAGCTGACTCAAAAGCGATTCACAGGATTTTACTGTGAAGTGTTTGCGGCTGCGTATTTGTGGAGCGAAAGAGAGTGCTCGCTCCATTCCAGACAAAATGAAATTTGGGATCCGGGGAAGTCTTGCCTGGAATCGAGAGAGCTCCCGAACTCAGGTTCGGATACTCTTTAAGCATAGAGTTGTGCGTTTTTTTTTTGGTGCGTGTCCAAAAAAAAGGGTACAAATGCCTTGAACAACAGCATCTTGCGTTTACGTAGCGCCCTTCGCCCAGGGCAGCATCTCGGAGCGCTTATTAGCGGCAGATCTAGACGCCGAGCCGGTAAGAGAGGGGAGTCGACCGTAGGCATAGACGAAGAGGAAGGTCGGATGATTACGAGACTGGAAGACTGGTAAGGTGAGGAGGAGCAAGACGGAGGCTCTGGTCTCTGTGAGCCGGGGCACGGGTGGGGTGGGGGGGATCGTCAGTCCTAGCTGGTCTTTTTGGTAGGCGTCCGAGATGGTCCCTTTGGTTGGTTGTACGTGGTTGGGAATCGCCTCTTATCTGTTCTGGCCTCCGCAGTACGAAACTGCACTGGACACGGATCACCCTGGAACGCTCCAGCAGGTGGCTTACCACACTGTGAACCGACGCTACAGCGAGTTCCTGAACCTGCAGACCAGACTGGAGGAGAAGACGGAACTGCGCAAACTCATCAAAAGTAAGGATTTTGTTTTTTTCCCCCCCCCCCTACCCCCGTCGCGTCTTAGGTACGACGTGCCCGCCCGCGTCTTTGGCCCCCAAAACATTACGGTCCGTTCCCTTTGCGCTATACTCAGCGACGCGCTTTGAGACGTCTTGAAGACGGGACGAGGCGCTGGATCAAACGCAAGGGTTATTATTGCGTGTTGTAAGGCTTTGCACCGTTCTCAAGCCAAGAGTGTGCACAGGGAAGTTGCTCCGTGGCCTCGACTGGTCTCTTTCTGCGGAAGGCCTTAGCATTTTTCCCGTTTATTTCTCTCTCCTTCCCTGAGGAGAAGAGTCCGACTTGTGTTTGATGCCTGCCAGACTGAGATAGGAAACCCGTTATTTCATAATCCTGAGCGTGAAATCGAATCGGTGCCCCTTTACCCGCCACTGCTCTAATGGCCGTTCGCATTTTTTTTTGAAATTATCATATTTACTTGCCTGCCCTGTTTGTTCCTCTCCTCCAGATGCTAACAGCTATCCTCTGGTACCTTACTTAAGTGGCTGTTGTCCAGGTGTAAGCCAGACAGTGAGTTTCAGCGGGAATATTCAGCAGGACAGTGTAACCGTGGCTGTTTTTCGCGCAACCTGCGATTTATTGAATCAAATAAAAATCCACTTCATAACCACAGTAACAATCTTTGCATTTGATACAGCGCTTTGCCAGATTGAAAGGTGTGAAGTGCTTCACAATTCTTTGCTGTCAAGGGTAGTGACTGTGTATTTGTAGACGGTTTGTAGATGCAATATCCCACAAACAGCCATGAAGTGCATGAGGATTTTTTCTTTAACATGGAGGATGATTGGCCAGGATATACTGAACCAGTAGAAATCTATGGATTTCTCAGCATTTTCAGTTGAACTCAAGGTTGTGGCTTAGCTTTGCTCACGTCCCCAAGCCCACCTGATCGTTGCTCCCATTCGGTTCAGCAAGTTTATAAAGCGGTCAGTTTATTTTCACCGAAACACCTGTTCCAGCAAAAAGATAGTACTTTGATCTGGTAGACTGAATGCACTTGATCACAATCAAAATATTTTCTGCAACTTTCCGCAAAGCACAAGGCAGCAGCTGAATAAACGTGTAAATGTTTTGCCAGCATTCTTGTCCCTTTTATTTATAATTAATCAATGTTATTATTCTCGTGACAAGTATTTCATGTTTTCCTTCTTTGTTTATTTTTGCTGTGATTTGGATTCAAAAGATAAAAGAATTTACCTCAAAACATCCTTAATTGCCTTTGGATGAGGGTTTTATTGTAAGACCGTTAAGTGCTGCAACTTCTCTGCCTTAATGTAAAAGCTTTCACCATCAGCCTTTCTTTCACAAACTGCATTGACGGTCTTCCCACTTCGTTGCAAAGCAAATCTCATTGTGATATTAGGTGGCTTCCATAAGGTGAAAGGGGATGTGTGGAGGCATGGAGTTGTTATTCTATATCAAGCGTTATTAGTTATTATTATTCCGATTGATTGGGCTAACCATAATTGATAGCTCCCCTAGCTTTACAATATTGGCGGTGTTTTCCATGGTGCTGAAATCCAGTGTTTTCACCCGTGTTTCACACCATTTTAGCAGATGACTAATAAGCAGTCGGCAATAATAATAATAATAATCCTTGCATTTTGATGTAGTGCTTTTTACGTCTTCTAGACGTCTCAAAGCGCTTCACAGAATGTGCTGTAAAGTGAATTGACTGTGTATTTGTGGGCGAAACACGGCAGCCAATTGCGCACAGTGTCAAGGAAGTAAAGCACACACAATGATCAAAAAACACTTGCACATTCTGCTTTTCGTCATTCCATTTTACCAACAAGAAGGTCAAAGTACACACACACATGCCATTCGAATATAAGTAATGAGATCACGTGCCCAACCAATGCGTCCATTACTCACTTTTTATTTACTAATCAAAAATGCGGTTTTGCCACATCTGGATTCCCAATCCACCACATGTGGCTTGTGTCTTAACGTATCAGATAACCCTGCTGCGAAGTCTGTGTTTTGTGGACAAACTGTTTGTCCCAATAATATTTTTTCAAAACTCCAGATGTTTACTCGATGTTCTCATAAACTCTTCTTTGATTCCAGATGTGAAGGGACCAAAGAAGCTCTTTCCAGACTTGCCTTTTGGAAACATGGATAGTGACAAAGTTGAGGCTCGGAAAAGCCTTCTCGAGTCCTTTCTTAAGGTGAGAGGAAAGTGGTGCACGACTGCAGTTGATCACTTCCCTGTGTGATGGTTGATAGAGCAGTCAGCTTCTCTCTCACTACGGTTTTTTGGGGGTCAGCCGGGTGTCCTTGACACATGAGGAAACCCATCACCGTGCTTCAGAGCATCCAAACCAAACTGAGCGTTCCATGCATCTAACCTATACCTGGAAATTCCAAATATTGTTTTACGTATATAGTTCTGTACTTGCTAATCTACGTCTTCCATCCCTTTACGTAAACAGAACAGCATTTACACGTGATCTATTTCCGTTGACTTTCTGTGGCATCCCGTTTGTAGAGCTTTAACAAAAATATTGCTTTTTTGTTTATAAGCGATCATAGGTACAGGGTAGGCCCTATTTTCGTTTCATTGAACTTTTTTGCCAGTGAAGCTTCTTTTCAGAACCAATAACTAACCTTGTATTTTTTTTCTGCGCAGCAATTATGCGCAATTCCTGAAAGTGCAAACTGTGAAGAAATGCAGGAGTTTCTAGCTCTGAACACTGATGCCAGGATCGCTTTTGTGAAGAAATCAATCGTATCCCGGATTGACAAGGTAAGGGGAGAAGTGGGATTTTGACTGCTGTCAATGGATGGTAACCAAGTGATGATTGTTTTAGATTCCGTAACTGGTTAGGTGCTTTGAACTGGATTAAAATTGACCAACCTGTTTAAAAATAACTTAATTTTTTTAAAAACAACTATTTTGTTCAGTATCAATCGGTCTCCCTGAATGTTCCCTTGCTGCAGAAACTTCTAAGGTTGTTATTCTTTTAAATGTGAAAATAAAATGTAGTGCATATTTCACTACTTCACCTTAATGGACCGTAAAGCTGTAGTGGTAATATTCTGACTAATTAAATGATGCTTAGTTTTTTTTAAAAAAACATTTAATAAAAAATTTATGACAGTTCTAAAAATCTCCACAATTTTTTATTATATTGCTTCCTGGACATTGGACAAACCTAACATCTTTTACTCAAGCCGTCAAGAAGGTTTATGGCGGATAACAGGGCTAAGGGGAGTAACTGTGGAGAGATGTGACCTCTTGCAGATTGTGGTTAGTGTGATTGTGGATACACTGAAGACTGCATTCCCCCGAGCAGAACCCCAGAGCCCTACAGAGGAGGTGGGAGAGTGCGAGGTGGATGGAAAATCTCAGTCAGACGGAAAAAAAACGACCAAGTGAGTCTTAAATGAAAACATTGTTAAAATAACATTTCAGTGTGTAAAAGTATAAATGCAAGTTGTTGTGGGAGTACAATATTCTCCCCCCTTTTCCACACTCCTGAAGACTGGTGTACTTGGGACGTCCTCCCGACGTGAAAGTCGCTAGACAAATGTCATTTTGTACTGTATGGCAGCTACGGGCTGTTCCCAGTACATTACTTGTGCGACCATTCTTCTTGAAGACAAGGGTGCCCTTGAATGTAGGTGCCCTTTCTATGCAGTAACAATCTGATTGTACTGTAAAGGGTAGTGGCTGTGTGGTTTTGTAGGCAAACAAATTATTTTATTAATTCAGTATGGAAATTGTATTGCGTGCTACGGTCGAGCCTGGTGAAGCAACTATGAACTGTGCTTTTAGAGGTCAGCATGAGGTGTAAAGGAGAGCTTTAAACAGGATGGATGCAGAACACAATACTTTGCTGTTCCTCAGTGTGTTTCCCCCTGTACCTGTTGATCCTCGTCTTGTTTCTGCAGATCTCGTCTAAGGTTTTCATCCAGTAAGATTGCACCAGTCCTGAGTGTTGCTGATATTCAAGCAAAAGTCACCTATTGCTTCAATGAGAATCGCGTAAGTAACCGGTATTTTTGTCTTGTTTCCGTTTGAAGTCTGGAACAATAGAAACGTTTTGCTCGACATGGTATACAACAGAGGCTGTTTATTAGATCCGATCAAATCCTGTTCAAAAGCCGGTACTTAATGTGTCCAGAGCCATTGCAGTTCCAAGCTGCTTTGCATTTATTTACGAAGTGTGTGTGACTTTACATTTGACCACCCCCGAATTGATGATAATAATCCTTGCATTTAATATATCGTGTCGTGGAGACATCTCAAAGCGCTTCACAGAATATACTGACTGTATTTTGGGGTGAATTAACATCAATGATTAATAAATATAGCCCCTTTCATGTCAGGAAGAGGGCTCAGAGCACTTCACAGGATTTTACTATAAATTATAGTAACTGTATCTTGCAGGTGAATGTGCTGTCGTTTTTCAGAGATTCCAAAAGAATCTTGAAAGAGCAGTGGGAGCTGTGGCTTTGCAAATGTGTTGAATTGACGATGTGTTATTTTTTGTCTGGGTTATGATCTCACTAACTTAACTGCCTGTTGGTGGTTGGTAGGCTGAATGGTCGAGTGAATATGCTTGAATTTTCGTTACCTTCATTATTATTATGCAACTGTTTTCCCTTTCCCTCAGTTGCCATCAGAGGGCCTTTGCTTAGCGGGGATGGAGGATTTCATTTTGGAGCAAGAGAGGCTGCTGGAGAGAATGCAGACAAGCGCGGGGGTAAAAGGGACCAAAGAGGAGATCAACGTAGAAGGAGAGGTTTCAGCCAAGAGACCGCAGATCGTTCCTTCACCATCTTTTGACCGGAATTTCAATTCAGGTACGCAAGTGCAAAACGCAAGAGGTAAATCTCGTCCTTCCAATCGGATTTTGAATTGAATTTATACCAATTCTATTCAGATCGCGTTGAGTCGTTTACGGACGCTTTGATTGCCACTGTCAGTGCTTCACTGACGAGTGCAAATGTCAGCTGTAACAAATGGTCACATTTTTAGAAAGTTAATCAAAACATTATTGTAAGAATGTGGGGTGCCTATGCATTTTGTTTTATATCATGGATCACGTTCAACAAACAGGGAGTTTGACGTACTCCCAGAAGAATGCCCAAAGGAGTGTACTTTTAATTAATTCTGAACAGTTAGGTGTTGTAGCTGAGGAGTTTCTCTGGTTCTTTTAAACCTTGGCAGCGGACATGGTTAATAATATTTTTGCTTCAGACTGGAATGTCTGAGAGTTTCGGTGCCAGGAGGGAGCTTGTGTTTTTTAGTAAATAAGAATTTAAGCCAGAGGTTTTTTTTTTAGTTTTTTTTTTAAAAAAAGCAGCCATTATCTAACTCAGAATCATGCAACAGAATGTGCATCAGGGCATCAGGTAACCATTCCTTCCTATTTAGTAACACCATTCAGATCTTATTCTCTTTTTTTGCTATTGAGGTATTCTCCTCAGGAGAGGACTCAAATCTGCTCTTGGTTGTCCTTCACTGCATATAAGTAATAATAATAATCCTTGCAATTGACATAGCGTCTTGTCATGTCTTCGAGGAGTTTCGTGGCGCTTCACAGAATATACTGTAAAATGAATTGACTGCATATTTTTTGTGGGCGAAACCGGCAGCCAATTACAGACAGCAGCGTCCCACAAACAGTTGTGGATTGAGTGGCCAATTTATTATTTTAAAAAACGTTTTGAAGGAATTATTACCCCAGGAAAAATGATCTGTCAATCAAGTAACAACCGGGTTCCTCCTTACTGCTAGGTAAGCAGAATGAGGAAACTTGCCCAATGTATCGCCCTGCCCGGGAATCAAACCCAGGTCCCCTCGCTTGATTTTGCGTGTAGATAGTTGGCTTTATTAACCCCTTTGTGTTTTATGTAAAACTCTTCCAAATGTCTTTTGGTCACTTTGACCAATGGTTAAAAGAATAAACCAGGCAGAGTTACACATGTGCTTGCCACCTATTCATCCAAGTTTTCCTTTGACTGGAATGGAGTGCACATTCTCTCCCTGGAGGAACACACCCTACTTGCACTAGAACTTTGTCATTAAAACTAAACAAAGATGACTAGAGGACCCTTCTCCATTCAGTCCTAAAGGACAGTGTCACAAGTTGATGCCCACCCCTCTTCCAAAGGATCATTTGTCTGGTATTATGTAGATTATTACTATTAAGTTTTTACTGTGCTTCCTAATCTATATTAAGAGCTACAAGAGCCTTCTCCACATGAAGGGTACTATATATGTGTGTGCACACACACATATATATTATATATGCAAGTTGTAGTTGTATATTGAATTGCATCTCTCTTCCTGTTTGAACAATATCTCAAATCGACACTTAACTAACACGTGTCATTTTGGATCCATTGTTATTTTCCTGAATCGGATCAGTGCACGCTGTGGAAGCCATTCGCAGTTTGAGGTACTTTAATATTAAAAAAAACACCCCGCAAGGAACGATGTGGTGCGCTCCGAGATGCTACTGAGACGCTACCCTGGAGGGCGCTACAAGTTGTTGTTGTTGGTGGTGGTGGTGATGGATAACAGCTGTGGCTGCAGCACAACACTGACTTCACCATTGAGAAATCCAAAGGCGAACTTTAGATGGAGGGATTCTTGCCGAGCAGCTCCGAGCCTGACATTTGGATATAGATTTCAGACCTTAATGTCAGTTCCGAATGCCAACCATCCCACAGATGTGTACAATGATAGCAATGAAACCAGAAATACACACTTGTACCATCCAAGAAGAATTTTGTTTGAATATTAATATATAAATATAGGATTATGCCAATAACAGGATTAAGTAAACACTTGTCTTAACCAGCCAAATGGATCCGGTCTAGACGGGGCTACCAAAGTGTTGAGCTGATATAAATGTTTATAAAGGTTTGAAACCAATTGGCCACAGGACAGATAGCATTACCTGATATTTTGGGTGAAAAGCTATTTCTGTTTCCTTGGGATCTCAGCATTCTCTCACTGAAGTATGCAAGGGATGAGACACGCTAAAATATTTTACCATTTGTTCTAAATATTGATCTAGTTTACACTATTAACGATCGTGTGCAATCGCTATTCAAAAAAAGAAAAGCTTTTGAAGACAGTTTATAATGAGGGAATATGATAAGACCATAAGATGTAGGAGAAGAAGTAGGCCATTCGGCCCCTCGAGCATGCCCTGCCAATTAATAAGATCATGGCTGATCTTCTAACCTAATTCCATCTACCCACCCTATTCCCATATTCCTTCATCCCTCTATCCTCAGAAATCTATCAATCTCAGCCTTAAATATGTACAAGGACTGAGCATCCACAGCCTCTGGGATAGAGAATTCCACAAATTCATTACCCTCTGAGTGAAGAAATGTTTCCTCAACTCAGTTCGAAAAGGCTGACCCTTAATCTTGAGACTATAACCCCTCGTTTTAGATTCTCCAACCAGGGGAAACAGTCTCACGGCATCTACCCTGTCAAGACCCTTAAGAATCTTATAGGTTTCAATAAGATCACCTCGAATTCTTCTATATTCTAGAGAATACAGGCCTAGTTTACCCAACCTATCCTCATAGGTCAACCCCCTCATCCCACCAACCAACCTAGTGAATCTACGCTGCAGCCCCTCAAAGGTGAGGATGTCCTTTCTTAAGTAAGGAGACCAAAACTGCACCTAATATTCTAGGTGGGTTGGGATGCAGGGAGATTGAAAGAGATAGATACATGAAAATTTACAGAGCAGAAGGAAGTCACATAGCCTGCGATGGCTCTCTGAAAGAGCTATCCATTTAGCTGCATTCTCTTGTTCTTTCCCCATACTTGGTGTTCATCCTTAAACAGGTGTGCCAGTTGACTGTTCCCTAAGTTCTTGAAAGTACTCGCTTCTCGAAGTCTGGTTTGTTCATATGTGTGAATGTACTACCACGACAACAACAACAAGTTGCATTGTACAGCGCCCTTCACGTGGGGTAGAGTCTCAGAACCATAACAGGTCTGTATTGCAGAAACAGATGCAGTTTATTCAGCCCCGTGCTTTGAAATCTGCAGTGAAAGTGTGCTAACGTGCCAAATCATTTCAGTCTGCTCATTTAATGGAGCGAATGTTCTGTGTAATTACGCTACAGCAGTTTATTTTTTGGAATCGGTCCTGTCTCGTTTGCTGCACAAAGTGCCATAAGGCACGCATTTTTTATTTAGCTTTCGTCGTCTAAGTTCCTTAGTTCTGCTTAGGAATTGCTTTTGGTTTTACTTGTTTATATTCTACCGTATGATACTTGATAAACTGCTCAAAGCCCTAACCTCTGCATGTTCCATACATATTGGCAGTAATTTATGGCTCATCTGAAAACATTTTGTCCTTCAGTAGTTTCTAAAGCTGGACTCAACAACACTTGTCTCAGGGTGCTCATTATTGTAAGTGCTACTTAGAACATAAATGTCTGCCACTAGGCTCTAGTACATCCAAAAATACTGGCTTCATTTTTATATACTTCCAGTAACTAAATTCACTAGTCTGTTTTTTACGTAGCTCATCTTTCTTATACTTTATCTTTATATTGTGTCTGTATTGCTGGGAATAAAGTTATCTCTCTTCCCAGGAATAGAGTAATGTGGAACTGAAAATCCCCCTCCATATTGCATAGCATTGGATATGAACACCCCATTTTAGAATTGCGAGAACATGCAGCTTAATGGATTCACAGAATTTCAGCTGTTGGTTTGTTTAATCTTACAGTGTAACACAAATTTAGATTTCATGTTGGGAGGACGTCCCAAGGAGCTTAACAGTACTGGCTTGGCACCCAAGCTGGGGGTGTTTATCCCATCATACCGCCTGTCAGGAACTGATCTCCAGCTCCACAAGCACTGACTGATCCCTGATCTTTACGGTATATTTGGCTGCAAATTGAGACTTTCCTACTGCCAACGAGACAAGATAGTGGCACGCCACAACAGTTTTCAATGACAGTCAATATTCTGGAAAATAGATATGAAATGGGTTTAGCTGTGAGACGGATTCTCAGCCAAGGCAGTTCTATTGCTTATCTCCTTCCAAAATCAACTGGATAGACACAGGGGCCTAAGTGTAAACTAAGTTGATCAAATACAATCCTGGACAGGACATGGTACAATCCAATGGCTGGTGGTGTCAGTTTTCTTTTGCGTCAGCTGGTTGTCGAGTGACACGTGTGGAAACCCATCACCGTTGCTTATGAGTATCCAAACCCAACTGAGAATTCCACGCATCCCACCTACCCATGTAAATTCCAGAGATAAATTCTTGGAATGGAATACACTCTCTCTCTCTCTCTCCCCGCATCCTGCTTACCTAATTCCGGAGAAAACATCGGGTGTAGGATGGCAAACAGCCATGCCAGTGTTAATTGAGGGAAATGGGTACATGTTTTGTCTGGTTATGTTTGAGCAAAGGGGAGAATTTGTTTGACAGGTGGGGTAGAGTCCATGAGAGGTTAGAAGGTACTGGGCCTGAGGAAGGAGTGGGTCAAATGGCATTTTTCTTTGCCATGTTTTAATTTGCTGACCTATTGTACGGACAGAAAACTACCTTGAAGCTTACTTGTCATTCTCCACTAGATGGAGGTGGTGTACTACGTTTACAAGCCTTGCAACCTGGAAACAAAATGATGTGCGTAAAGTATTTACCCCCACTTTGTCGAAGTGTTATTTATTATTTCTACTTTTACGGAAAGTTTGTTAAATGAAATTCCTTCCAAAACAGGAAATGATGGATTCCTGCTATTTTCCTTTGCTGCCAAGAAATGATAGTAAATGTGGTCTAATCCAGTTTGCTGCATTACAAAATTGCCAAGATTAGTATTTTCTTTTAAGTCTTCATTACTCAACAAAATAATTAGAAAAGTTAGTTTTGCGTTGACATTCTGGAGATTATGACCCTTTGGACACGGTTGTATCTTGTAGGCTGACGTCTGTCGCTGCTACACAGCTTTTGTGAAAATGAGTAATAAAAAAAAGTGAAACAGCAGGAGTTTAGCAGTGAACAATTGCCCACTTTTTTGTGCGTCTGCAATTCTCTGTACACCAAACGTCAATCCTGGTATTCCGTAGGAGAGGTGTAAAGAAAAGAAATTGAAGGTGGGGTTTGTGACATTTTCAGATTAATAGGACCTAATAAAAAAAATTTATCCTTAATTAACAATGAAATGCCTTTGAGTGGATTTCATTGCATAGCCCTTAGATTGTGCGTGAAAAATGAGGCGGAATACCTCAGTATAGACTTTGGACTCTGGCAACTTTCTGGCTCATGTTTGATATATTTCAGTAAGAGTAAAGATGTATATTGACAGTCAAAAAAATATTCACTTTCCAGTATATCCTGTGCAGAAGTCTCGAAGATGTGATAAGGCGCTATATCAAATGCAAGGATTATTATTGTATTTTAACTTTCTTTATGCTTTTAAGTGAAGCTGGGGTACATTTCCACACTGAGCCTCCAGTGCTAAGTCAGGTATCTGTTCTGGAGTTATATGACAGCTTATATGAAGGATCATAACTTTTAGCATATCTGCAATGGCCTAAATATGTTGAATTTTTTTGTCAAGTATATTTTTTCTTTTTAGACATTAAAAGGAAGGTCTGTTAGCCTTTTAAAAGCGATGATGTACTTTGCTTTCAACACTGTTTTTGTAAATAAACGTCTCCTGACTTAATTCTTTGTCATCATAGCACCAGGAATTCTTAGGAAGCTTGATCATGATTATTGGGTTCTCGCTCAGAGGACAAGCCACAAAGTACATATAACCTTTAATCTTGATACTTTACTGCTTACTCAGTTTTTATTAGGTAAATGTGCCTACTCTTAAGTGTGACACATTTAATAATCATCCTCATAACACAAATAATAATCTTTCATTTGACATCGTGCTTCATCACATCAACACATCGCAAAGGGCGTGAAAGGATATCGTGTAAAGTAGTGTGACTGTGTATTTTGTGGGGGAAGGCAGCAGTCAATTTGCACACAGCAATGTTTCACAAAATGCCGTGGAGCCACTGACTGATTTTATTTGGCGGATTGTTGGGCAAGACACTGGAATCCTTAGCGTCCACCTAAACAGACCGGCAGACAGGACCTCGGTTTAACATCTCCCAAGGATGGATGAAGTTGATCTTCCAATAAGCAATTGTCTTGAATTGTCATCTTGATTATCTTCACTTAGTTTCTGATCATCGCAGGGATATGTTGTAGTAGTAGTAATAATAATAATCTTTGATTTGCTATAGCGCCTTATCACGTCTTGGAAACGTCTCAAAGTGCTTGACAGAATATACTACAAAGTGAATTTTTGTGGTATATTTTGTGGGCGAAACGCGGCAGCCAATTGTACACAGCTGCGTCCCACAAACTGTTGTGGATTGAGTGAGCAATTTAATAATGTTTCTTGGGATGTTTGTAACCAAACCTTGCAGACTTGGTAATAATATTTTCCTCGTTTCTCTCTGGAATGGCAGATTCTGAAATGGCCTTGGCAGATGTTGCCCTGGATGTTCTGTGCTTGTTGATGAAGGATCACTGGAGTTGGCTTTGCACTGAAAATATGCAGAAGGTTATAAGGCTTCTGTGTGGGACCCTGCTAGAAAGGTAGGTGTAATTCTCTACATATGCAGTCCAGCTCATGTGGTATCTCGGCACACATCCTGAGCCACACAGGGAGGGTAATGAGACCTACGTGCATACCAGCATGATTCCATTGATATGTCTCTATGAAAAATCTAACATTAAAGGTAAATATTTTCAACATTGAGATGAGCCTCATCCCTTTATCATGCGTTCACTCCACCCACTGAGGTAAACAAAATAGGTCACTGATAAATCACATGCGATATCGTACACCCTTTGCATAATATCATAACATAACACAAAGTATTTTTTTAAAAGGAACACAGAGATCATAATCATTTTAGCTGAAATATTAAATTTAATAGCCCGTTTGAAGCAATAAAAAAGATATTTAGAAAAACATTGGTTGAGTATAGTGACCTCTATGTTTATTAACTCCAGTTAACCTTTCAACTGATGTATACTGGAGTTTATTCAGTTGGATGCTATTTATACTCCGGAATATATTGGACTTCAGTGTAAGGCGTGATAACCTGTCCAAGTGACTCCCATTGCTGCACAGTATCTTGTGAAGTGATGATTGCTTTCTTCGCTTCCCTCCCAGGACCTGACGAAAGACGATTGTGCTACTAATTATTGATATTTATATGTCTAGATTTTGTTCGTTCGACATTTTCATGCATTTGTAAGACCGTCTTGGCAGTGGATCTGGGCTCATTTAAACAACTTTTTTGTTTTGTCCGAATTCTTATACTGCCTCTGGCATCCTAACGCTGAAGCAACTGGCACCAGTTGATTGATAGTGTTGGAATATTGGCTGTTTCGTTCACATTCACCCTGACATTTTGTAAAGAATCTGAAAATCAGTAACAATATCATCTTGTCTAATACACAAGGATTATTATATTAGTACCTACTCAATGGTCAGAATTCTACCATTACTATGAATGGCTTAAGCACCGATTGATGTGCCCATATACTGATAATTGTGTCGTTAGGGATAAATATTGGCTTATTCAATGAAAGCTGTAACTTTCAATTGAAATGTTGAATAATTGGTTGCATTGTTGTCTTAACCCATCAAACGCCACTCTTGGGATGTTAATTCTGTGGCGTATAAACACGTGCAGGGCCTGTTTGGGGCCGAGTGGTCTGTTTCCATGCTGTATATTCTTTGTAAAGATAACTTTGGGGTAACTTGTACTAATTTACTCTGTGAGCTTGCCTTTGAAGATAACCTGCAATGTAAAGCAGCAAAATTGTCTGGCACCACAATATCCTAGACCATTCTTTTGCTGTGGGATCTCCTACTGTCTCCTTACTGAGTTGTCTCTGTCTCCAAAATAAAATCCCGTGGCTTTGAAGTGAGAGGTGTGACTAAGTTTGGGGAAGTTGAAAAAAAAAGAATTCCACAAATGCAGACGTGTGCAGAGTGGAAAGAGCCATTTATTATTCCCCAATTATCTGTTGACCGGTATTTTTTACTGTGAGGTCCAGCACAGACCAGTGAAAAAATGGGTACATTGAACGTTGCATGTGTTCCTTCCCTCGTGTTGTTGAGACATGTAATTCGTAACATTGCATTTCTGTGCTGCCATTGGGAAAACCCGGTTGTTTTCTTGTGCCTAAAGTACTTTACGTTCTCAGTAGGATAACACGAAACTGGTTGATTCTGTATAGTATTGGTTTCTGCAGGATTTGGCAGAGTTATAAAACAGGTGCTTTTTCTCTTTTTTTCCATGTCCTTAAGTTAACCCTCTATCACTCCTCATAGACCGCCTCCGATGACTAGAATTCTGTCCCTCTTCCAGATGACCTCAGCTAGAACCAGGAAACTCCCCTCCCCAAGGGGAAGTACAGGTGCTGCCTCGACAAATAAAATGTGTAAAGCAATTTAATTTTTTTTCCTCCATGAGCCAAAAATTATGAGAAAAAGAAAAAAAAAGGCCCATTTCAGATCATAAACAGACTGCAGTTATGGAATGCTGACCAGCCATGTAACGCTGGAGAAGAAACAGTGGGATGTCCCTCCATTTAAATATAAATGCAGAACTTACAAACCCGACCATTTTTTGAAGCTCAGTATCACCGTCTTAATCAAGTCACTTAGCAGAAGGATTTCAGTACTCTCAGGTGACCTGCCCATCAATCAGTTTATTGCCATCAGTAGGAGTGCCAAATAGATTGCATTTTAAGTAAAGAGCTGATTTAGCAAAGAGCTGACTTGAAACTCTCCATTCAGGTACTGCTAACGTCTTAAATGAAGTTAAAACGCTACATTAAAATGCAAGGATTATTATTATTACTCCTTAAAACGGGCTGTTGTGCTGCTTTTGTATTGCACTCTTTGTGGTGAGTCACGGTACCTTATAAACCTGAGTTTGACTTTGCAATATTGAAGTGGTTTCAACTGTGTTTTCATTCATTGTACTACAATACTGGTAATGGGTGCTGTTCTTGTAAGGCATATCTCAAAAGCTTTCAAGGAAATTATTCTTTTTTTATCTGTAACTCTGTCCCCTCTATTGCATACCTATCCACTGCTCTGTATTATGTGTTCCCTCAGTTCATTTCCCAGAGGTTAACTCAATCTGCATTTGTAGATCACTGTTGGACATCAATAATCCTGCACTCACTTAAGTGACTTAATGAAACTTGCAGGTCATTTAATCATATTTAAGCAACATTGTAAATAAAAAAGCTTAAAGTTACCCAAGGGTACCCACTGGAAAGAAGTATAAAAACTAAAATGACAGCCCAGCTGAAGGATATAAAGTATATGTGCATCTGCACACTATTGCTTGAGAAACTATTTACCCCCAGATGATTGAAGAAGACCTACACTATTTTCTTTGCAAGGTTAAACTTGTTTTCAACAGATGGTTACAGATTTTCATCCAGCCAGAAGCTGGTTAACAGGTTCCAACTACTACAGGACCACCAATTTAAGGCAAACATCTTGCCTAATATAGGATAGTAGAACATTACACCACATAATCAGGCTGTTTGGCCCATCAAGTCGGAGTAATACAGCAATATCAAGCCTATTAAATCTGTACCTCAACTGCAATTACCTGCCTTTGCCCCATATCCCTTAATACCCTGACCTAACAAATATTTCATCTACCTCCATCTTGAATACATGAATGGATCCGGCATTCACAGCCTTTTGGGTGGAGTGGGGATAGAGTTCCAGATTTCCTCTACCCTTTGTGTGAAAAACTGCCTCCTGATATTCACTCTCTTAGAACACTTATTGGAAACAATATTTTATCGTTCAGTAGAAGAGGAGGGGAAAAATGGCTTTACGCCCCCAAATAATCAGATAGTGGCAGAAGACATAGCACAAATGAGTAGCTGGAGGCTTGGCACCACATCTTGTATCCTAGTTTACTGGTAATGTTTCTTTATCTCTCTCACTCTCTCTCCGTTCTTTCTCTGTGTTGTTTTCTTTACTTCTTTGTTTCAGGCTGTTCTTTTCTATAAAGTATACCTTTCTCTCTTTGTGAAGCTCTTTATCTTTCCCAAAGCACCCGCCCTGAATAAATTATCTTTATGTTAACATTGTGCATAAGGTGTGCCTTGCACAACAACACAAAGGCTTAGCAATTTTTTTTTATTTCTTCGAACGATGCAGTTAACTTTTCCCCCTCGCAGTTTCCATGTGTTATTGCTTAGACCTAATAATTACCAGGATTATGTGCAGTAGTTTTATACAATTATTTGCACACAGAATTGGAAAGAATGGCACACAAGCGGAAGATGTTCCATTTGAACCAAATGGGGGTTGTCATTCCCTTGGGGTTTGGTTGTTCTGACAAGTGTATTAGTCTGGTTCAGTGGTAGCCCTCCCGCCTCTGGGTTAGAAGGTTCACATCTCACATCGGGACTTGAACTCACATAGTCTGAGCAGGCACTCCCATGCAGTGCTAAGGGATATGTTGTGTCGTCCGATGTGCCATCCTTCGGGTGTGACGTTATACTGAGGTCCCGTCTGCCTGTTCAGGTGAACGTCAAAGATCCCATGGCACTATTTGAAAAGAGTCCCTCTCGTTGTCCTGACCAACAAATTCCCTAACTAAAATCGGTCACGTATTGGCTGTTTGTGGAACACTGCTGCGTTCGCCTGCAAATATACACAGTCAATCCACTTTGCAGTATGTCCCGTGAAGCTCTTTCAGATGGCTTGACGGCATGATAAGGCGCTATATCAAATGCAAGGATTATTATTATTTATTTGCTCCTGGTTTGAAACCTCGGGAGTGCTTTGTAATTTATTTTTGTACATTGTGGTTGTACACAACCACGACAGTGGTTTAAGAGCAACCAAAGGAAATGGGCTGCTACATCTGAAATATTTCTCAGAGTAAGCAGTCATCTGACAGGTATAGCAAAAGTAAAGCAGAGAGTAATGTTGTAAAAACTGCAATATGATGTTCTCTCTTCTGTGCAGAGCATCTTGTTGAATGCAGGTGCATTAAATTTGTTACAGCATCATCTTCTGTATGATATCATTGAGTTTACAGTCTACCCTGGAGGCATTTGTTCCCATCTGCTGTACATATCTCATAGAATCTGTCATGTTTTAACAAGGATAAAGTGTAGGAAAAATGGGAGAGAAAGAATTGGCAAATAAATGAGAAATATTATAAAATGGTACCAGTGAGCACTTGTGTCTCTCACTGTTCCTGAATATAAAAAAATCACCAAGAAATATAAAGTTAGAAGAAAACGACCGGTTCTGGATGTACCTTCCGAGTTTTTTCATAATTGGTTCATGAAAATTAAAGGTCTTCTTTCAAATAGAAGATGTCCTTGATGTTGTAAGTTACATTTCAATGATTGACTTTATAGCATTATTCCATTTTGCTCTGCAGACAAAGTTGACCTTTTTCTAGTTGATGTCAAGAAATGATATGGAATCATTTCACCCTACTGTCCCAAGTTTTCCAACTCCAATCATATTATCTTTTATTTCCAGCAAGATTTCAAGGTCCAGTCTCATCTGATGATGAATCATT